AACCACCACTTGGTACGCAGCACCTCGCCCACACTTGACCAGAGAGACCATAATGACGTCGAGAGTCAGGATGAGGGAGATGGGTTTTGGGCCATGTGCCGCAAAGAGGAGGAGCACCTTGGCAGTGGTCGCTCGCTGTCGGCCCGATCGATCATGAGATGAGATGAAGATGAAAATTGGGGAGATGGAGTTGAAGATGGAGGTCGGCGTCGCTGGTAGATGAGAGTGGGCATGTAGACGAAGAAGAGAAGGAGGTAGTTGATGGAACTCTGCGTGGTGGGGATGTTGACATTGTACTCGGCGGCCAGGAATTGGGACGTGACGCCCGTGCCGGTGATGAGCAACGACAGGAACTGGCCCAACAGCAGACCCCACAGCACCTTGCGATCGGAAAATGTTTCCTTCAGGCTCACCCCCGCCCTCTCCGCCCATCGCTTCAGCTCGTCCGTCATCGCCGGCTCATCGATGAGCAGATATTTTATTTCGGTTTATAAAAATCGAAATAAAATATATAAATTAAAATGTTAGGAAAGTTCAAGCTGGTGTTGCCGCAAATCGAGTAGTGGTAGGCGCAAATCGAGTAGTGGCACACAGCACGCACAAGGAGGAAGACATGCCGCTGGTGTCCGTATCGCAAAGGAAGGAGGATGGCACGCCCCTGCTGGGGATTGGTGAGGAGATGATCCTCGCGCTTCCCGGAGTGGAGTGCCATTTCGACCCGTCCGGCCCATCTGAGGGTCCTGGCTCGCTCTACGTCACCACCAAGAACGTCATCTGGCTTTCGTCACAAGTGTGCATCGTTCCTTCCCAACGTTGCTGCCTGCTCGAGCAGTGCTGTGGGTGGTCCAGAGATTTGATTACTATTTTCAATCTGCATGTGTTGTTGTTGGCGGCGGCGGTGGTGAGCAGGGCGACAAGGGCTACGCGCTGGATTTCCCCTACATCGTGATGCACGCCATTGCCGGCGCCGAGTCGTCTCTGTACGGCGGCCGAGCGTGCCTCTACTGCCAGCTCGATGGCGACGACCTCCACGAGGTGGCCTTCATCCCTAGCGACCCAGCAGCACGTGCGTGCTTTTTCCTGCACACCACCACCGCACACGCACCACCGCACACGCACGACACACTCATCGAACTCCGAACGATCGCCTGCCCGCACGCACGCACACTGCACACCGGTGCGGCGAGTGGTCAGCTCATTTGTTGGAACCCTCTCCCGGTGGTCGTGGCGCCATGTGGATGGTCCGATCCGTGCAGTGCAGGGCCTGTACTCGGCCTTCAGCCGAGGGGCCATGCTGAACCCGGATGAGGAGCAGGAGGGCGAGGGTGACTTCTACTACAACGAGAACGAGGTCGGCGCGGCCACCGGTGAGAGGCTGGAGGGCATGATGGACCTGTCCCAGCTCCAGGACTCGCTTCCCCACGACGTACCCCCTACCTACCCACCCGGCTCTCTGCCCTCTCTGCTCCTCCGCCCCGCCTCCTCACCTTCTTGTCGCTTCCATTCTTCGCACACGCACACGCACACACACGCACACGCACGCACAGGGCTATGGCGAAGAGCAGTTTGAAGATGGCGAAGAGGGCGGCATGGAAGATGGCACGCAGTGAGCGCACACACCAGAGCAGCAGCCACCACCCAACAACGACGACAGCTCACCTTCCCGCGCGTGGGCTGCTCATTCATCGAAGAAAAAAACAAAAAAAAACTGGTTTCATTTTCTGGTTTTTACATTGGCGGAAGAAGAAGATGAGGAGGAGCACGGCAGCGGTGGCGGTTGTGTGGGTGGTGATGTGCTTCGCTGCCTTGGCGTGGTCCATCCCGCGCAGCAACAGCGACCAGCACATCAATTCCTTCTGGCTCAGCCCGAAGGAAAAGGGCCGGGAGACTGTTTCTATGGTTCGTCCCCCCCCCCAATTGCCTAACCCACCCACGTTGCGGTTGCCCAATACAGCCGTAACCACCACCACCACCACAGGTGACTGCCCAGGGCGACACTGTGAAGTGCACGTTTGACTACAGCACCCTCCCGGTACTCGGCTTTTCTTTTATTGTTATTTATTTATTTATTTATTATTGAATCAAATAAAATAGAAGAGATAAAATAATTTGAATAAGAAAACAACTTTATAAATTTATTATTTATTTATTTGTTCACTGCGACGCTTCTCGTGTTCTTCTTGGCGGCAGGTGGAGAAGAAGGACACCGAGGCCAAGAAGGAGCTGCCGCCATCGGAGATCTTGGCCGGGTACATGGCCACCAACCCGTGCCTCAACTTCAAAAACGACCATGGCTACACCGTACCCCCGCCGCCCCGCTCTCGAGTCCTCTGACTGTGCGCTGTTTCCCTTTCCATGACCTTTTTTTTTTTTTTTTTTTTTTTTTTTTTTTTTTTTTTCCTTCTCCCCCAGTTGTGCATCGGCAAGAACGCGACACAGAACATCAACGGCGCCAAGACCGAGTCTGTGCTCCTCGGTGTGTGCCCCTCCCTCCCTCCCTCCCAATCACATCACACCGCATCGCAGTGCATGTGTGGCGTTCGCCATCGCGCGTGGCCGTCGTTGTGACCGGAGGGGGTCGAGCAGGCACCTTCAAAGATTGGACCGCGCAGGGGGAGCAGGCCTACGAGGGCGGTAGCGGTGAGCACTGCACAGCCCCGCGAACCGCCACCGTACAATTCACCTGCGAATCGGGCGTACGTGCTGGGGCCACAGAAGAGTCTGCCTCCTCTGTGCTCCCTCCTCGAACCACACACGACACACACGACACACCCCATCACATGGTCGCGTGGTGTCACTGTGAAACGCTCGCTGACCGCCGGGCGATTGGCCTCGTTGGCCGCGTTTTGTGCGTGGCGTGCGTGCGTGCGCAGCTGAGAATCGCGTCGGTGTCAGAGCCCGTCACGTGCAAGTACCACTTTGTGGTGGGCACGCCGGAGGCCTGCGGCCACCGGGTCTTCGAGCGGTCGGCCGCCGTGGCCGGATCGGAGACGTGGTACATGGAGATCTTCGAGGCCCACGACGAGGCGATTGGCTGCGTAGTGCACGCTGCCGGCTTTGGTCAGTCCTCGCCCATCCACTCGGGCGTCGTCACCGACTTCTCGCTCGGCCTGGAGAAGGACAAAACCGCTCTCGCCATCGCCTCCTTCGAAGCCAGGTGCGCACCACCACCACCACCACTCACTCGGCTGGGCCCATGTGCGGCGGAAAACGCGGCCAGCTCATAAGCACGATCTGCCACACGCACACCGCCGCACGCACGCGCACGCCACAACAGGCATGGCCAGCGTCTGTCGTACGGGCGCCAGGATGTCCGCGTGAGCGAGGGCGTTCTCAAGCCGCGCAGCTTGCCACTCCCCGCTTTGCCCAACTACCTGGCCATCACCGCAACGACGACGACGGCGTAGTGCTGGCCAAGACCAGACCAGACCACTTTGGGGCGTCAGTTGCGAAGGCAAGCATTCGCCTCTCTTCTCGCCCGAAAATCGAAGGGATAAAAGCCCCCAGGGGCCATCAGGGGCATTAAGCTGCGAAATTTCGATTCCTGGCCGATGGCCCAATGGTGCTCGTGTTGAATCCGGGATTTATCCGCCAGGCAGATCCGTCGCACCGATCGGAGCGTTGCCTGTGCTCCGCACCTGTCCCAGCGAGCGGTGTTGTTCCCAACCGACCGCGGTGGTTTTAAACGGCCGTTGGCTGCGCCATTGTGGCCCTCTCCCTCCTCTCCGCACACCACCTCACTTCGTCACCGTCCTACCCCCCCCCGTCAAGCCTCGTTCTTGCCTGTATTGCTGGCCCTCTGTTGTATTACGGATAGCTCTCGAAATTTGCTCCTCCATCTCGACTCTCCTGCTCTTAAGCCCCCCTCGGCTCTCCATTCTCCAGATTTCCTGTTCTGTCGGACTCAATTTCGAACAACTCAATCGAAAGAGAAGATGAAGAAGATAGCCGCGCCTAGGCCGCTCAAGCGATCGGGCGTTGTCCCGACCGCCCGCATGCGAGGCGAGATGGCGTATTTCCGGGACGACGAGAGCACCTCGGGGAGGAACGAACGCTACGAGGACCTCTACAACGACGTGACGAATGGTGGAGAGGAGGAGGCGGTGCGCGATGTTCTGGCGGCCAGCTATCGATTCGCTTCGAAGTTGGACGACGAGAGCATTGAAATGGAGGGGTCGTGCGAGATCCAACGAATCTTCCTCTCGGGCTTCCACACGCCTGGCCCTCGTGGCGCCAACGATGAAGACGACGACGGCGATCGAGATTCACGGCTCTACTTCCTGAGCGAGACCCACGCGACCCAATCACCATCCTTCCAGTTCTTCATCCCCGCCCCTACGCGCAGCTACGCCCACGAAGGGACCTACGACGAAGACGACGTGTACGCCATCTCCAGCGATTTCCCTCTGCTCGGCCATTCCCCCTACCAGCCGAACAACACCAGCGACGACGAGAGCAGCTACTTCGAAGCCTACCACTACCCACGAGCCGCCAACCCGATGCCCCTCAACACGCCCTTCCATGCCTCGCTCGCCAACGATGGACCCTCTACCCTCTACGAGAGCCAGCACCTCGTCGTGGGCACCCGCGGCCACTTCTACACCCTGCCCTCTGGCGGGACGCGCCCGCACAAGGCTAGCGATGCCCATCTCCAGCAGCAGTATCACAACTGGGAGGGCGCCGCTGAAGAGAACGATCCCCACAACGTGGGCGAGATGAACCGAACGACTCGCAATAGGAGCTATTCCGAGCCCATCCCCTTCGTCCCTGCCGCCACACCAACCCGTGGCTGATGAGCAACCTGCGCGCGTTCGGCGATGCCATATGTACAATCCCCTCTCCTTCGCCCTCGCTTACACGAGCTCCATCTGTATATCTTCTTCTTCCTCTACTCCGGTCCTCTTTGATGTAAACAACAACACCATATCACCGCCCTTCGACGAATCGAGGGCGGGTGTAAACAATACAACAGCGGCAAGTCGCCTTGAAGATGACGCTTTGGATCTTTTTTTTTCTTGCTTCTCTTTTTCTTGCCCTGTACAGGTGACTTGGCACGGCGCGCTTAGGGCCGTGTCTTGGTGGCCAGGTTGGGGAACGTCTTCTTGATTTCCATGAGCACGTGTCGGCTCACCTGGTTGGTGCTGTCGATGCCCAGCTGCTTGAGGTGCTTGCACGACCTACACGTGTAATGAATGCCACAGGTCGTACAGCCAGCAAGCAGGTCCCCCACACCCACCCACCCCAACCCCCCTTGTGGTAAGCCCAACGCGGCGGAACCACATAGGCCACAGAGCAGCAGCAGCAGCAGGAGCGGCACCTAGGGTCACGTACCGGGCGAGGTGCAGGACCGACGTGTCGGAGATCTGGCGGCATCCGTTGAGGGAGATGGTTTGCAGGAGGGGACAATGGGCGGCCACCTTCATCACCGACGCATCGGTGACCTTGTAGCAGCGGCCCAAACGCACGATCTGCAGTGCTGTACAATGGCGCGCAATCTTCATCATGCCTGCCCGATACACGACGGGCGACACACGACCGGTACATCAGCAACGATAGCTATGGGCTTCGGGCGCGCGCATAAAGTAATTAAACCAAGGTACCTGCGTCGGTGACCTTCCAGCATCCTGACAAGATGAGCGCCTTCAGGTTGACGCAGCACTGCGCCACGCCCACGATGCTCATGTCCGTGATCTTGGTCGCATTGGCCACGTTGAGCAGCTGCGCGCCAGAAGGAGGTCACCCCGCCACCCACCATCAGGTTAGGGTCGGACACCACCAACTCATGGCGGCGGCGGCGGCGGGGGAAGAGCCACGCGCCACGCGTACCTCGAGGTAGGGGCACGAGTGTGCGATTTTGAGGAGCGCGTCGTCCGTGATCTGCTTACATTCGGACAGATCCAGCACACGCAGCGCCGGACAGCTTCTCACTGCACGCGCCCGTGGCCCGTGGCCCGGTGGAAACGGTTAGCGAGTGAGAGCGAGTGGGCCGGATTGTGTGTCGCGCGTGTCGTGTGCGCCCGTGTGGTGCGGATTCGGCGTGCCTAGCTGTACGATGGCCGGGGCGGAGACACGGGGACACCAGGACAGGACGAGCTGCTGCAGCTCGGGGCAGTTCTGGGCGGCGGCCACGAGCACCTCCGACTTGAGCTGCTTGCACCGGGCCAGGTTGAGCTTCACCAGCGACGGACAACTGCGCAGCACGTGGATCAACGCCTCGTTGCTCACCTGCACACCCACCCCACCCGTCAGAATAAGTATGACACCCCACTTTCATGAACGGTGGCGCGACGACAGAGCGTCGGCCGGAACAGACAGACAGAAAGTAAGTACTAAGAGAGCGAGGCGTACGTTATTGCAGTCGGACATGTTGAAGACGCGTAGGTTGGGGCAGTGGTGGGCGATAGCCATCACCGACGCGCTGGTGAGCTTCTCGCAGCCGGCCAGATTGACCACCTGGAGCTTGGCGCCGGCACGCGCGATCACCTGCGCGAGGGCGTCGTCGGTGATCTTGTACGTCCCGCCCAGCAGAATGGCCTGCAAGTTGCCACACCTGCACGCCACAGCCACACCGCCAGCGGCAGCGGCAGCGGCAGCAGCAGCAGCGTCAACAGACAACAAACCCCACAACCCAGAGAACAGAACTAAACAAATATGGGGCGGGCGGGCGGGCGGGCGGGCGGAGGTGAGGGTGTGGGCCGCACCGCTTGGAGAGGGAGAGGATGGCCTCGTCGCTGATGGACTGGCACTGGTCGAGGCCGAGGGACTGTAGGGCAGGGCATCGCTCGGCCACCTGCATCACCGACGCGTTGCTCACGTTCTGCCGCGTCGACCACAGGAAGACGATACATGAACGGAGGGCGGGCGGGCGGGGTAAGCGATGCACCACCACCACCACCACGACGGTGGCCCAGCTGGAAGCGAAAAGCAGCAGCCGCAGGAGCAGCCGCCAGGTGAGGTAAGGTGAGGTGCGGCGGCGTACCTTGCACCGCGAGAGGTCGAGGAGGGCGAGCGAGGGGCAGTGCTTGGCCAGGCTGGAGACGGCCGCGTCGGTGAGCTTCTCGCACCCCACGAGGGAGCACGTCTGCAGCGCCGGCCACCGCGCGGCCACCGCCATCAGGGCCTTGTTCGTGATCTGCCGTGCGCCGCATTGGCGACGACGATACGATCGGTATTGAGTTCAATGGACGCATTGGCTTCAGGGCAGAGAGAGAGAGAGAGGAGGGGGAGAGAGAGGACGCGGGTCGTGTGCGGGGGTGGTGGGGTGGTGGGGTGGTGGGGGTAGTGGCAGGTTGTACGTTGGCGCAGGCGTTGAGTTTGATGGACTTGAGGCGGGAGCACTTGGCCAGGGCCAAGAGCGAATCGTCCTCGATGCGGCAGCCGCTCAGGTCGACGCTCTCCAGCGGCGTGCACTGGGCGGCCACCTGGGCCAGCACCGCCGTGGTCACGTTCGTACACAGCGCCAGCGACAGCGACCGGAGGCTCGAGCAGCGGGGCAGCACTTGCACCATCACCTGCACCGCCAGCCACCGCCAGCCACCACCACGCCGTGGCCCATATATATATAAGCCGGCTTTCGACGATGGACCAGGGACGAGGAAGGACGTGAGGTGCGTACCTCGTGGGAGAGCTTGCGGCAGTCGGCGAGATCCAGGTGGCGCACGCTGGCGAGGGCCGGGATGTTGGCGAAGGTCCGAGCACTCGCCGCCACGCCGATCAGCCCGCAGCCACGCAGATCCAGCAACTGCAACGACGGACACTGCGCCCCCAAACACACGCGCGGCGGCGGCGGTGGGTGGGTGGGTGGTGGGTGGTGGGTGGTGGGTGGTGGGTACAGGTAGGTAAGGGATGGCATGCAACGCATGAATGGGGGAAATGAGGGGATTGGAGGGGGCGGGGGCGGCGGCCGCCGGGGCTATATAAAGGTAGAGGTGGGGGTGCGCACCTGGTGGAGGAGGTGCACGAGGGTCTCGTCGGTGACGGAGCTGCCGCTCAGGTCCAGATGCTTGAGGGACGGGAACAGCGGTCGCCGCGGTTGACCGGCGCCGCCGCCGCCCGTACCCGCCGGAAAGGCCTCGCTCGTGAGCCTGCAGTGGTGGTGGCCGTGTCACACCCCGGGAGGAGGAGGAGGAGGAGGAGGGGGACTGGTGGTAGGTGGATGGTACCCGTGGCAGCCGGCGAGTTTGAGGGTGACGAGGCGAGGTCCGTGGTGGAGGGCGATGAAGGAGAGGGCCGAGTTGGAGAGCTGTTGGTTGGTCCACGCCGCGTCCACCTCCTCGAACGTGGGGCACCGTTGCGCGATCTTGACCAGCAGGGCCAGGTCCCGCCCCTCCATCGCCGCGCCGCTCCCGTCGGCCCCGCGTGGAGACAGGAACGGCGAAGACGACAGCAAAGACGACGACGACGACGACGAATAAGGCGAGAGCGGCGACGCGGGGGAGCGGGACAGGGGCGAAAGGAGCGAAGGCGGCGAATAGGGCGATGAGGATGTCGATGACGGCGAGAGAGGCGAAGAGGGTGACGAGGACGAGGTAGATGAGCACGACGAAAGAGGCGACAGGGGAGAATGCGGCGATGAGAAGGGCGATGACGACGACGAAGAGAACGGCGAACCGAAGAGAAGGACGCGGAAGTGTCCGGAGAGGAGCGCGGGTCATCGCGAAAGAGGGCCGCCACCGGCGAAGTACGGGCGGCGCCGGCGGTCGGGGAATACGAAGTGGTCGTGGTCGTGGTCGGGGCAGATGGCGGCGCCGAGGACCAGGGCGGGAGAGGCGATGGCGACCGAGTGGCGGTGGCGGTGGCTGGCGCGCGCTTGGTGGGGGACGCGTAGGGGCTGCTGGTCGTAGTGGTCGTTGTGAACGGCAGCAGCGGCAGACCGGAGCCACAGCTGCCGGTGCTCCACGAGGACAGCGAGGGGAGGTCGGGCGAAGGTGCGAAGAGGGAGGCCGGGGCGAAGGACGAGTCGCCGGTGCCGCGCGTAGGGTCCACGAGGGACCCGCGGATGGGAGAGACCGGGGGCGAGCGCCGCGTGGGCGAGGGCGGCGTGGAGAGGGAGAAGGTGGGACCCGGCAGGCCGGCCTGCGGGGGCGGGGGCGAGGGCGATCGGCGCAGGTGCGAGGCCAACGAGGGCGAGGACGAGGTGAGCAGCAGCGACGACAGCGACGTCATCGAGAGCGAGAGGCTGGTCTCCTCGTCCTCGTCCTCGAAGGCCGCGTAGTAGACGTCGTACTTGAGGTGCGGATTTCCGTCCACGCGGCGGTCCGTCTCGTCGTCGTCGTCCTGCGAGCCCTGGCCGTGCCCGCCTCCTCCGCGCTGCTGCTGCTGCTGGTGCGACGGGTCGCCGGCCTCCTTCCCGGCCGTGGCCGTTGTTGCCGTCGCGGTGGAGGAAGGCGCCGAGGGCGTGGGCGCGCTCGTGGCGGGCGGGGCGGCCCCGTCGGGTGTCCCGTGGGGCGGCGGCGGGTGGTGGATGTGGAGGCCCGGATTGAGAGCAAAGGCGCGCGCGTACTTGTCGCCGGAGAGCTGGTAGAGCTTCTCGGCCTCCTCGCCCGCCTTGGCCCTCGCCTGCTCGTACAAGATGTCGCCCCAGCTGTAGAACGCCTGTTGTTCACGCCCGTCGCCGTCAGCGCCAAGAGCTGCTCCACCAGCCATCACCACCAGCAGCAGCAGCACCACCAGCACCAACCGCCAAGGGGGGGAGCACAAGAGACGGACCTGCCACAGGTCGGGCCGTAGTTCGGTGGCCGCGCTGTAGGTGGCGGCGGCCAGGAGGTAGAGTCGCGCCCTGCGCACGCCATAATCGGCGATAGAGAGCAAGAGAGCAGGTCGTGGTGGTGGTGATGATGGTGGGCGGCGGGCGGTGGGCGGTGGGTGGTGAGCCATGGCTGCGCCCACATCCAGTTTGGGGGTGGGGAGGGGGAGGAGCAGGTGCGGTACGAGCTCGTACCGTTCCTCGGCGGTCTGGTCGGAGGCGAGCCGGTGGAGGAGCTCGCCGAGCTTGGTGAGGGAGAGGGTGCAGCGCATCTGCTGGTACTTGTCGATGGCCTTCCACACGAGCCTGTCGCGCTCCTCGCCGGCCTTGGTCTTCATCTGCTCGCACAGCCCGTCTCCCCAGTTCTTGAGGATGAGCTGGTTGTCGGGCATCGATGACAGCGCCGTATCGAACTTGGCCATGGCCAGGTTGAACAGACGATCTGCAACACACCCGCGTACGCACACGCACACACGCACACGCACAGCACACGCACGCACACACAGGGGGGAGAGAGAGACATTTGGGAGTGCCGCACGTGAGTTTAGGATGGAGGAGCGATGAATCAAGAATGGGTGCAGGGCAGGAGGTAGGGGGGGTAGGGGGTACCGGACTCTTCGCCTTTGGTGTTCATGGCCTGGATGCAGAGGGCGGCCCCTTCGGCGTGTGAGATGATGTCCATGTGCTTGGCCTTGGCCGAGATCTTCAGCAGGTCCGGGTACACCAGCTCCAACGAATCCGGACTCATCGCCAACTGCCAGCAGGGCAGGGCAGGGCAGGGCAGGGCAGGGCAGAGAGAGTAGTGATGAGACAAAGAGGTATGCATAGCACCACACGCGCCCGAGGGATCCGGGTGGTGGCTGGTGGCTGGTGGAAGATGGGGAAGAGGGGAAGAGGAGGAAGAGGAGAAGAGGCGCACCTGCTGGAGAGCCTTGACGGCGAGGCGCACGCCCATGATGGTCTGCAGCCGGGTGAAGACGGTGAGCATGGAGACGTCCCTCTTCAGGTTGTAGTCGGCCGCCGCCTCGTCGGTCGATAGTCCGTTCACAAACTTACGCCCGAGCACGCGCTGGCGAGGATGCCGTCGACGACGACGACGATAATTGCACGCAGCAACACCACCGGAGGGGGGGGGGATATGAGAGGGAGAGAGAGAGAGAGAGGCGTGAGATATCACGGCCTCGGCTGTACTGACGCTTTGAGCTGCAGCATTACCTTGATCTCGACCTTCCAGAAGTGGTCGGACTCAGGTCGCTTGCCCAGCACGAGGTTGAAGTAGTCGATGAGCTCGCGGCGGTAGGGCTCCTCGGAGGGGAGCGTGGTTTCCTCCATCTTCCGGCGCAACATGAGCCGCAGGCTGCACTTGATGGCCCGACTCAGCATCTCGTTCAGCAGCAGCTGCTTCACCGGCGCCGAGCTCACCAGAAATCGGATGCGGCCCAACTGCACCACACGCGCACACACGACACACACGCCCAATGACGTCGACGCGGGGGAATGAAAAATGAGAAGGAGGGGGGAGGGGGCAGAGCCTGGAGATAAGGGGAGGTGGGATAGGGTACGTGTCGGTTGTTAATGCCCTCGCGGTGCATGAGCTGCGTGAGCTTGAGGCCCTTCAGCCGGCGCTCGTCTTGGCTGTCGAGCCAGGCGGCGAAGCGCGGGATGACCTTGCGGTGGAGGCGCTGGGTGGCCTCCACGACCTCGCGCTCGTGGACGTCCTTGTGGTGCTGCCCGAACCGGGAGAAGGCGTCCGACGACAGCGGCACCGGATTACGCTTCACAAACTCGGGGCGCAAGAGACAATACAGGTAGCTCGCCTTGGGCGACCTGCCATATATGGCAACACCGGAGAGGAGGGGGGACATCAGATCTCGCTTGTGTCGTGTGTGTGTCGTGTGTGTGTGAGCGTGTGTGTGTCGTGTGTGGGCGTGTGTGGCATGTGATCATCGCCACGGGGGAGAGATTTTCAAGGAAGGAGGATGGGATAGGGTGCACACCCTTCGGGCATGGCTTCGGGCGGATACACGCGAGCAAAGTCTGGATGCACGCGCGTGACCAAATGAGGGGCGAAGCCAGGTGCGGGGGCGATGTGAGCAAGTGAGCCAAAGGAGTGTGCCGGGGGAGAGAGAGAGAGAGAGAGTGAAGCGGGCGAGCAGAGGCAAGCGCGCGCATGCACATACCGAGCAGATAGTAGCGGTCGTCCTGGCCTTTGTGGCCTTCGATGTCCGTGGGGCCTGCACGCGTGCGTATTCCATTCGATCGTACGTGAACTCTAGTGGGAAGTGGATCGGGGAGGGGAGGGGAGGGTAGAAGGCGTAGGTACGACGTACCGTAGATGAACTTTTTGTCGGTTGACCGGCCGGCCACGTGGCCCTTGATGTTGAGCTTCTTGGCGGCGCGTTTCATCATGTGGTTCATCAGCGGATCGTCCGCGTGGATGGACAGTCCCCCGTCATTGGAGCCTGATGTCACGTGGCACACACCCGCGTGTGCGCATCGCAGGGCCAGTTGTCGTGATTGATCCGGCAAGGAGGAGAAGGAGGAGAGGGCGCGCAGGTGGTGCTGGTGTACCGTAGACGAGGCCGCCGTAGTAGAGGGGAAGGATGCTCATCGCGATCAAGCGGAAGCCCCGGTAGTCGATGAGGGTGCACAGGGGCACGTGGACACCTTCGATTTGGCACTGGTAGTAGCCCATGAGGCCCTTCAGCTCGTGCCCAGCTGGTATACATCAACGCCCCCTCCCCCGGTGGTGAGCCGTCACACGCCCAAAAGCAAGAGGGGAGGCATAAACGGCCGAGGCGCGCATTGGGGGGGGGGTGGAGGTTGCCGCGGATGAAGGGAGGGCCGCACCAGCTTTGGACGAGTACTCGTCGCCCGAGTAAATGCCCACGGTGTCCACCGCAAACTTGAAGAGGATGCCTGCCGGAGAGGTATGCCGCAACCATAATATAACACCACCAGATTGGCTCATGACACCCGACAGGCATGACACACCCGGCATACCAAACCCCCACAGTAGCACATGGCACAGGAAGAGGAGGAGAACGGCGCACCTTGGCAGATGTACTTCTCACCGCCGGCAGTACCCTGTGGTGGCCGCACGCGCGTGAGTGCATCGCCGGACGGACGAGAGGAGGGCAAAGAGCGCTGCATGCGAGAGAGGCGGGAAGAGCGATGGGGGTTGCTGGTGTCGTACGCCGATGTCGACGGGCTTGATGGTCTTCTGGCCCGAAGGCAGAAAGCGCTCCAGGATGATGATCTTCCCGTAGGTCTTGGCCACGTACACAAAGTCTGCCCCAACCCCCGCCCGGCACGTGGGAAGAAGAGAAGCGTGCTCACCGGTGAGTGGGTGCGGGTCATGACAAGCAAGCCCCTCGGAGGCGGCAGGGCCTCGAACGGTACGTACCATGGGCAAGGCTGCTCAGTTTGTTGTAGTGGTCCAGCTTGCCGGCATCGCCACAGCGGGCGATGCCACCCAAGACCGACTGGAATTCTTCGTTCCTGCGCACCACCCATGACATGAGTGCTTGTCTCTCCCCCAACAATGTCTTGTCTTGCTGCCAGCGGTAGCGGCCGGTTGGGAAGATCGAAACAACTCGAGAGACGGGTGGACGCATACCAGTTGCGGATGGGTATGCGCTCCTGCGGTTTGAGCACCTCCAGCTTGCCGTAGGCCTCGTGGTAGTAGCCATTGCTGTTGGCGTAAGGGGTGCTGCCTCCATCCTCTCCATCAAATGAGGGTTCCAGTGCTGCCGGGTACGACGTTTCGTCCTCTCCCTCCTCCACCTCCTCGTCTTCATTCCCGTGTCCCCGCCACTGCTCCTCCATTTTCTAATTGCGCCTATGAGGATTTGTTGTACGCCAGATTGCGCTGGTGGTGTTCACTAAACCTGGCGCACAACGTTCATTTTTTTGGCGGGAAACCTGTCACAGCGCAAAAAAAGGGGTGGTGCACATGCTTCACAATTTGTATGTACACGTGGTGCCCTCTCCCCTCGCTACCTACCACTTGTGGCGGGAGCAGTAGGGCCGGCCCTGCTTCTCGAAGAAGTGGTCGTTCAGGAGGGGCGTTGCGCACTGGGCGCACGCGAAGCAGTGACCGTGCCAGATCTTGCCGAGAGCTCGCAGGAAGCTGCCCTCCGCGATCTGCTGCCCACAATTCCCGCACGACAATGACGACGATGCCAATACCGATGGCGCCGATGGCCCCGGCGGTTGTCCCGCGTAGCACGCACCGCACATGGGGCGCCCATCGACGGAAAACATCCGGCCGCCGGGCACCTCGCCACCGCATCGCTGGCATTCAAACACCGGGACCGGGCCACCGCCGGCCGTAGTCGGACGATGCAGGTGGTGCACCACCACGCCGCCGCCGTTGCTTGGGCTGCTGGTCGCGGTGGTCGTGCAGGTGGGGGCGGCGGCGGCGGCGGCGGCGGGAGGCCTCCTGTCGGTGGGTGGCGGGATGTCCTCGCACTCGCTGCAGTGGAGCAGGCCCGCGGGGGAGAGGAAGAAGCACGCGGGCGAGAGTTGCGTGGTGCATCCGGCGCACCGAAAGTGCTGCGGGTGGTAGAGCCGCCCCAGCGACGCCACCCGAATGGCCGGCCCCGCAATTGCCTGCTGGCACGCGAAGCACGTGCGGGTCCCCTGCCATCCACACGACACCACACGGCCACCATCAGCTCTTGCTCTGTTTCTACAGCTTTACGAGCAGAAGCTGCGTACCGGAGCTGAGGGAGTTGCAGCAGTCGACTGGCTGCTGCTGCTGCTGCTCTGGTGCCACCCGACGACGACGGCGGCTGCTGTTAGGGTGATATTTGGTGGCGGCGGGTTGACATGTGAGGGGCAAGGCCGGCGGTGGTGGGTGAGTGGGTGGTGTACCTCCGGTGGGAAGTTCGGCCGCGGCGATGGCAGGTTAGTGGGGGCCGCGGGAGCGAGCCGGTGGTGGGCCTGGGTGCCTCCAACCGAAGCCTGGCGGCGGTGCGTGGCGGGGTGGGGCCTGGTCGGGGAGGGCAATGAGACGAGGATGGATGATTGCGACCTGGAGATGGACAACGGCGGCGGCATTGGCGTCGGCGTCGGCCTCGGTTGGGGCTCGTGGTAGGGCGCGGCCTTGCGCGGAGAGGGCAGGGGGGCCGAGGGCAGGGGGACCGGCGACGCGTCGCCGTCGCTGGCGGCCAGGAAGGAGGACGAGGAGGCGCCGCGCAGAGAGATAGAAGAGGGGCCCTCGGGGCGTCGGCGCGGAACGTGCAGGGTCCAGCTCTTGAGCTCGTCGCTGATTCCGAACTGGCGCACCTGCTCGGCCACCCGCGCCCGCTGCATCCGCCAGCGCACGGCCATCTCGTCGTTCTTCTCCCTAATTGATTGCGGCACCATGCCGGCGGTGTCAGGCCATTGGGGGAAAGCAGCACCAGCAGCAGCAGCAGCAGCACGAATTTGGGGGGAATGGGGGATGGATGGGGGAATGAGGGATGGGGTGGTGTACCTTTCCGCGAGGCGTTGCTTCCGCAGTTCGTCGCGTTGCCGCTCCTGGAGTGCCCGGCGGTGTTCCTCCTGCAGCTCCTTGATCTCGTCGTCGAGCAGATCCGTGATCTGCTCCAGCAGCGACTTGCTCGTGTCGGTGGATGCACCTATGTAGCCACACACGGCACGGCACACGGCACGACACACACGACACACACGCAACCACACAACCACAACCACACACAAACAATACGGGGCTCAGTCACGTGGGCGAAAGTAGTTGGGCGTGGGCGCGGGCGCGGGCGTGGTAGCGATGATAGCGGTGGTGGTCGTGGTGTAGTACTGGGGTTGTAGGCCTCGTCGTCGGGGGAGCCCCAGGGCGGGAAGTGCATGCCGTGTAGGAGGTTGGTGAGGAACTGGCCCTGTAGGTTCATGGTGACCACCATGTCGGCCATGGACAGGCCCGTCTGCCGGAAGATGGAGGGCGCGAAGATGGTCGCGATGTTGTCCTCGTCCATCCGCGTGGTCTCCACCACCTCCGGCAGCAGTATCTGCTGCTTCAAATACCTGCGCGCGCGCGCGGAAGGTTGCCGTGAGGAGATGTGAAAGGGGACTTAAGGAAGAGAGGGGGGGAGGCAGGGTGACAGGGGAGGGGGCGCACCGGACGATGTATCGCAGGACTCGTCGGCTGAGCTCGGGCACCTCCGAGAGCAGAGCCACGCTGTCCTCCACGCTGTCGATGCAGTCGTAGCACCGCGGGTAGAGCACCGTCGGAATCAACGGCTCCGCCAGCTCCCTACAAAGCCACCACATATACAGCATATGCCCCATGCGCGTAAGAAACGACGGTAACACACACGACACACGACCCACGACACTCACCCACCCACACGCACACACACGACACACACGACACACACGACACACACGATACACACGATACACACACGACACACACACACGACACACACTACACACACTACAACTTATATCTAAAGCTATATACCTGTAGATAGATAACAAGTAGTGCGCGGGTGGGTGGGTGCGGGTGGAGGAACGAACCTGATCCACTGTTTGAATAGGGTGGCGGCCAAGTGAGGTTCCGTGATGGTGAGAGCCACGGCGTAGTTGCCCGCGTTGAGTTCAGCTTCGATCTCGCTCACGCTCACCTGCGTCGCCGACACCCTGCATGATGCGTCGAGTCATGGGGGCCGTAGTGGCCCTCGTTGTTGGTACCAACCAACCAACCAACCAACCAACCAACCAACCAACCAACCAACCAACCAACCAACCAACCAAGGAAGCAGGAATGAAGAAGCGGTGGGAGTGGGTGTGAGTAGTGGTTGGGGGGGGGATACCGGAACAGGCCCTGCCGCTTGCATCCGCCCGTGCGGATGATGGCGTCGGCCAAGAGAGTGAGGCTCGCCGGCAGGGTGGCGTCCGGGTAGGCCTCCTTTTGGAACGCCATCGTCTGCACCCATGACACCAAGAGTCCATCCACGGCACGCACCACCACCGCCGCCGCCGCCGCCGCCGCCACCACCACCACCACCACCACCACACCCGACTGTGTGAGGGGATGCGCGCTGCTGCTGCTGCTGCTGCTGCTGCTGCTGCTCGGGAGGAGCTCCTCTTGTGGTGGCGTGGGCGCGGGCGCGTGCGTGTTTGTACTGTAGGGTACCTCTTCGAGGGTGATGCCAAAGGCGCGTCGGAGCTGCGAGGCGGCCTTGGCCGAGGGCGACGAGGAGGCGCCGAGGGGGCTGCCCCCGCGGGTGGCCTTGCGTCGTCCCTGCCGGGCCTGCTCCTTCTCCTTGCGCTTCTTCTCCTTTTCCTCCCGCTCCCGCTCCTTCTTCTGCTGCTTCTCGCGCCTGCGCTCTTCCTTCTTCTCCCGTCGCCGGTCGTCGCCCTTGCTCCCCATCCCGAACAGGCCCGCCTTCTTTTTCGCCCCCGCCGCCCCCGCCGTCGCTGGAGGGCCTGCCGCCGCCCCCGCCGCCGTCGGAGTGTCGGCCGCGTCGACACGCACCGAGTCCTTGCGGCCCTTGAAGAGGTCCCCCAGGCGCGAGGACGACCGCGTTCGCTTGTGGCCCGGCTGCCCGTCCCTGGCTGATGTCATGACATCATGCATGATCGTGATCGTGATCGTGGTATACCACGGCGGTGATGATGGTGACGGTGATGATGATGATGAGTCGGCGCACGTGGGGTCCACCCTCCCCCCCCCCAATCCGGAGGCACGAGGGTACGCACCAGCCTCGAGCTCCTTGAGGAGGTTCTCCACGCTCGCCAGCTTGGCTTCCTGCACCGAATCGACCGTGCCCCAGCTCGCCCCCAGCTCCTACCCCCCCCCGCCGCCGCAACCAACCCAACCCAACCCAACCAAGACGTTGCACGCACGCACGCGCCTCGTCAGACGGTGGTGATCCCGGGGGGGGGACATGCCACGACCGACCCGTATGTGTGCATGTGCAGCTGTCGCGTGTGTCGCGTGTGTCGCGTGTCGTGCCGTGCTGTGTGCCATGCGGTGCATACCTTGCTGTGGTCGGAGAGGAATTTAGCGATGAGGCCCATCTCCCGCTGCTTGACCGGCTGTGGCTGCGGCTGCGGCAGCGGCGGCTGGTGGTTGTGGTATCCGTTGTTGGAAGAGCTTCCCGTCGAGAGCTCGTCCTCGCCGGCGGCGTCCTGGACAGGCCAGGTGAGGAGGTCGGAAGGGGGAGGGAAGGGGGGGACATGCTCGTCAGCAGCAGCTGGAGGGGTGGATGGGGGGGGGGCGAGGGGGGCTCACCGCTATGACCGAGTCCCAGAAGGAGCGTAGGGCGGGAACGTTGGCGCCCACGAAATCGTTGAAGACGGCCATCCAGGAGTCCTCCGCAAAGCGCGTCTCGCTCGCAATGCCCTGCAGCAGCTTGGTCACCAACGCCAGCCCACGACGCACCTCCGCCGACAACTCTGCATCACCAGCCACGACCAGCCACCAGCAGCAGCAGCGGCAGCGGCAGCAGCATCCACCACCACGATGACGGCGAGAAGAAGAATTGAGGGGGAGGGGGATGTGGTGAGGCCACCGAGAGGGGATGGGGTGCGGAGAATGGAGGGCGGAGGCGCACGCACCGAGACCAGGCAGAAGGCCGAAGCTGTCGGGGGCCGACACGACGACGAAGAAGAACCGGGTGAAGAGGAAACTGCTGAGTGCCTTGTAGCCCGACCCACCGAACTTCTGCTGCGTGCCCCGGTACAAGTGCGCCGCCAACATCTTCACGTCCCTGCCTCCGCCACACAAACACATGACACACACGACACACACGACACACACGACACACACGACACACACGACACACACGACGCACACGACGCACACGACGCACACATACGACACACGACACGACACGACACACACATGACACACACGATACGACACGCACACACGATAGACACGATAGACACATACGTGAAGCCACCGTGGTAAATGAGCGTGTGTGCATCCCCCGTTGGGTGGTGTGTCGCGTAGGTGAGGATGGGAGGGGGGGGTCTCCGTACCGCGAGACGAGGGGCAGGCTGGTGGTGAGGCAGCGGAAGAAGTGCTGGGCTGTGTTGTGGAGGGTCTGTTGGTTCTCGAGCAGGATCTGGCTGGTGGCGCAGCGGGATGGTTCGACCTCCACGCGCGAGGCGTTGCTCAGTATCATCTGGGCCGTGATGGGGTTGATGATGTACTCGAGAGCCTTGGCGTTGTCCAGAAAGCAGAACTCGCTCAGCATCTTCGACGTAAGCTCACTGTAGGGTGGCATCTTCTCCACTTCTGCACCCCGAGTAGTCAGACGATTATCGTCCACCCCCAAAATGATTTGCAATTGTGAAGAGATAGGCCACAGGCGGTTGGATCAACCAACACATTAGCAGCGGGGGGGGGTTGCATATACCGCAGATGCCGAGGTCGATGGAGATGAGTTCCTTGAGGAGGGGGTGGGCCTTCCTCTTCTGGTGGAGCACGTGTACGAGGGCCACAAGGGCCTCGCGCGCCTCCTTCGAGGGCAGGCCGCATGCGATGTCGACGAGGGCGTGCTGCAGGGAGAGGTCGCCAGCCAGCACCTCCTGCAGCCGCCCCAGCACCCCCTCCACACTCCGCAGCGGCCCACTGCCGTTGTGGCTGCTGTCGCCGTTGTGGCTCTGGTTCCGGCTCCAACCCACCTGGTTGTGGTGGGCAGCAGCAGCAGCAGCAGCAGTCTCGACCACTCTGCAGCCGCCGCCGCCGCCGTTGGTGGTGGTGGTGGGGGCGGTGGTGCTGGGGTGATGATAGGAGTGGGCGATGCTGTTGTTCCACTCCCCCAACGATCCCGGCTCCATACCGCGCCACACGCCGTTGGTGGCTTTACTCTCCCTCTCTATCAATCCAGGGGCGGAAAGGGGGGCCAGACGAAGAGGAGGACGCGCTGTGTCACACAAAGTACGGTGCGAAGTTGGCCAACGTTCCTGCTGCTCACAGAGTCGCGTTGGTGTGGCCCTTACCTAATAGCGTATTTCGAGCGATGTCCGGCTTGGGGCGCCGTGACGACCACCAACGAAGGCGAAGCAAAAGAAGAAGAAGAAGAAGGGATGGTTTGGGGTGGGTCCTTTATTGGTCGTGGACCCCAAAGAGGTTGCGGGCACTGGACTTGTTGCTGTCGGCGCTGCTTCGCGGCGAAGTGCTGGTCGGCTTCGTCGCGCGAAAGGGCGAGCGAAGGGCCACCGAGCAGCCGAACTGCCGCAGATAGCTCTGGAACGCCAGGTGCGCCTTTTGTTTTCGGGGTGGGCGGCCGATGGGATCGGCGTGGGGGGGGGGTTGTTGCGCACAGTGTGTCGTGTGTGCGTCGTGTGAGTGTCGCGACGTGTGCGTGGTGCGTGGTTGTACGTTTGTGGCGGCTAAATAAATACCTGGTGCGCCTTCTCCTTCCGCCGGCAGTAGACCCGCACGTACTGCTCGGAAAAGACCTCGGGGAGAAGCATGCTCACCTGCTCCCTGGGGATGGTGAACGACACTGCGGGATACAAGTACCACCCAGCAGGCCCACGCCGTATTCACTGTTACTACGCGCGGCAAATCATGCCGCTCCCCGCAGGCGCCGGAACCGTCAGTGTGGCCGGTGACCAGCTCGTCGCTGCTGCGTGTCGAGAGAGAGCGGGGGGGGGGGACCGCACGGCAGGTACGTGCGCATGAAGCGAGGCAAGACCAGGTGACGCACCTTCCGGCTCGGCCTTGGCGAAAAAGTGCACGTGGTCCACCGGATTCTTGTCGGCCATCGCTGCATGGCAAGTGCGTGTGAGGAACCCGCACGCGGGGACAGTCGAGCCGCACGACACGACACAACGCAACACGCAACACGACACGCAAGGAGCGCCAAGTGCGTGTACCGTAGTTAATTTTGAAGTTATGTACTATGATGTCGCTCTCTTGCAGATCGTGGTCCCCGCTGGGCTGGCACGTGATGATGTCCGAGGGATAGACCTGGCAAAGAACAAAGAACAAAAAGCAGGGCGTGCGTCAGGCGCGGCCGTCTCGGCTGTGGGGCGGCAGTAAAGGGGGGGGGCAAAGTGGCTGCGGTACCTTAGTGGGGAAGTGCGGGCATTGGCTCTGCGGCACAATGAACTCCCCCACGCACTTGTACACGTCGCGGCGGCCGATCATCCGCACAATGTCTCTCGCTTCGGCCAACTCCTGGAAGGAGTGGCGGCAGGCAGGCCAAGATCCGACGAAGACAAGGCAACAAAGCAGCAGCAGCAGCAGCAGCAGCAGCAGCAGGAGGAGGGATGTCATTGAGGGGGCGACGTCCGGGAGCAGCATTGCCGACGTGTGGGAAGCGGCTAGGCGTACCGGTGCAGTCGAGCACTGAATGGTGCGGAGGATGGAATCGGTCAAAAGCGAGTACTGGCGGATGTCGCTGACGCTTTGCGAAATGCCCAGGTAGTCATCAGCCAAGGTCATCGCGTCACCTGCCCCAGCACCCCGATTACGCATCACCCACACGCACAGACAGCCATTCATTGGAGTACCGTCAGGCCACGCCCGGAATGCGGCAGCACTGGGGTGAGGAGGAGGAGGAGAGGGCAAATTGTGACAGTGTGCGTCGCGCCACGCACCGACCATGTATTCGATCCCCTTGGACACGCGGTGTGAGTAGACCTGAAAGAGTGAGAGAGTGTGGAGAGCGAGGAGAGAGAGAGAGAGAGAAAGCCAGAAGTGTCGGTGCAGTGAATAGCGGCGAGGTGAATGGAACATTCACTCGACGGGCTGGCTGCTCGTATCGGCGAGGAGCGAGGGGAGAGGGCTGAGAACGATCGCGTACCTGCTTGAAGAGAGAGTAGCGCGTGCGGAAGAGCTCGTAGACCTGGAAATCGGCCTTCTCGTAGAAGCAGATCTCGTCGTTGATGACTCGCGACAGGCTGATGAGGCTGGGTCGACCCACGGGGAGATTGGGGGAGGAGGTAGGCGGTGTGAGCACCGCAACAGAATGGTGCATGCCGCCATCGTGGGCGGCATCCGGGCATGAGAGTGGAGGCGGGAACGTCACTGTACCGCTCGTGGTCGAAGCCGCTCTGCATGCCGACGTGCTTGCTGTCCCTGGCGATGTAGTCAAACTTGTCCACGTCGATGCTGTTCCTGTACCGGTGGCAAGGAGAAAGGGCCACGGCGTCCAAGCGCATGAGCCTCACACACACACACACACACACATCGAGGGCGAGACGCTGTCGAACCTTTTGTTGCTGACGATTTCGTAAAGGAAGCCCTTTTCCGCGCTGGAGCTGGAGTAGCGGGTGCCAAGGCAAGGCGTCAACAACCAATAGCAACCAACCAACCAACCAGTGCCTCCCCTCCATCACTGAACCCGAGCTGCCGGCCACCATCAGAGGAAGACGTACCCGGGCCGTTCGCCACTGATGAGGCTCAACAGGAATTGCACGTCCCGGCGCGAGTAGTCCAGGTGGTTGTCGTCTGCAGCGGGATAATAACGAGAGACAGAACAAGTGTCAGCTTATCAGCGATCATGAGAGCATCGTGGCAGCGATGGGCACTCGAGTGCCACGGCTGGGTCACGGCCATACCTATCAGGTACTCCACCATGCGCTGCGACATGTCCTCGTGGGTCCACGCGGCGTTACCACTGCTCCAAAGGGAGAGAGGGGGGGAGGGGGGAGTGAAGGAAGTTGTCATCACAATTGGCCACGTCCCATGTGCGGAGAGAGCACAGGGCACACAGCAATCGGGTGGTGACGGATGATGCGGTCGGGGGGAGGGGGTGTACGTTCGAGCCCGGACCCAGTCTTCAAAGGCGTGAGAGAAGGCGCCGTGTCCCAGATCGTGGCAAAGGCCGGCAAGCCTCACCACGCGTATGTCCCTCTGCGAGATGGAACAACAGACATGGGAGTGTGTGAGACGAGAGCACACACTCCAGGAGCAAGCATCGGCGGCGTGGGGGGGGGAGCCCGACCTCTGTGATGTCCAGCTCGGGTTGCAGCTTGGCGAACCGCTCCACCAATTGCCCGGCCAGGTGGCTGGTGCCCAGGCAGTGCTCGAAGCGGTTGTGCGAGGCGCCCGGGAACACTAAGCGAGAGACTTGTGCATTAGCATCTTTCAATATTGTGCCGTTGCCTGAACAGCGCCAGCGTACCGTAGTAAGAGGTGCCCAGCTGCTTGAGGTCGCGCAGGCGCTGGAACTGAGGGGTGTCGATGAATTCTACGCAATAGGTGGGCATGTGCATGTGGCCGTGTAGGCCATCGTTCATGATTTTGATGTCGCTGTGCCAGGCCTGCGGCAACCACTGTACGTAACTGGCCTTGGGCGAGTAGGGCGTTTGTTCTCCACCGCCAGAACCCAGGCGCGACGCATGCACCAGCAGCTTTTTCCTCACACCCGCCTCAGTGATCCCCAATTCCAGTAGATCCTCGCTCTTCAGCTCCTTGACGATCTCTAGATCGTCATACTTGGCTTGCTCGAACGTTTCCACGAGCTGTGGCAGCCCTATCCCACGCAGCCACGACCCGACACCAGCAGCCGTAGCGGCTTCCATCCTGGGTGTGGGCAACGTTTTTGTTATTTTGGCGCTTTTATTTGTTCTGTTGTTTTTTGTTGTTTTTTGTTTATTTTTGCATTTTGGAACTTGGGGTGACAAAAACGAGAGCTCTCTGTATTGGGTGGCCCCAACCTCCTGCAAGTCCAACGACTGGGCCTGACGGGCGCGGGCGGTGTGGTGGGTGGTGACTTAGTCGACCTCCTCCATCCTGCTGCCCTCCTCCTCGCCGGCCTGGTCGTCGGCCTCGAGGGGCGGAAGGTCGTCATCGCCCTTGTCGGCGCCGGCGTCCTCGTCGATGGAGAGACCGAGCTTGATCATCCTGTGGATGCGCGAGGCAAACGTGGCGGGCTCCTCGAGCGAGAAGCCGGAGCTGAGCAGTGAGGTCTCGTAGAGCAGCCACACGAGGTCCTTGACGGTCTTGTCGTTCTTGTCGGCGTCGGCCTTGTTCCTCAGTTCCGACACGATCGGGTGCTCGGGGTTGAGCTCGAGGGTCTTCTTCGAGGCCATGTAGGTGTGCATGCTGTTGTCTGTTGTTGAGCGCGCGCAGGATCATCACCACGACGACGCACAAAGGTGAGTCCAAGGGAGAAAAGAGAGGAGGTCACGAGAGAGGAGAGAGAGAGAGAGAGAGAAGAGAGGCTGAGGAATAGCTTTCGTACCCCTGAGGGCCTGGGCGCGCATGATCTTCTCCATGTAGGCGCTCCAGCCGAACTCGCCGGTGACGAGGACGCACGGGGAGTCCACGAGGCGGTTCGAGAGGATGACCTTCTCGACCTTGTCGCCGAGGACGTCCTTGACGACCTTGCAGAGGTTCTCGTTGGCCTTCTTGAGGTCCTCGGCCTTCTTCTTCTCCTCTTCGGTCTCGTCGAGCTTGAGGCCCTCCTTGGAGATGTTGAAGAGCTTCTTGCCGTCGTACTCCTTGAGCTGCTGGACCATGTACTCGTCGATGGGCTCGGTGAGGAAGAGCACCTCGTAGCCCTTCTTCTTAAGGCCCTCAACGAAGGGCGAGCTCTCGACGGCCTTCTTGGACTCGCCGGTGATGAAGAAGATCTCCTTCTGGCCCTCCTTCATGCGGGTGACGTAGTCCTTGAGCGAGGTGGTGTCGTCGCCGGTCTTGGTCGAGTGGAAGCGGAGCAGCTCGGCGAGCTTGGTGCGGTTGGCCGAGTCCTCGTGGATGCCGTACTTGATGTTCTTGCCGAAGGACTCGTAGAACTTGTCGAAGTCCTCCTTCTTCTCGGCGATCTCGTTGAAAAGCTCGATGCACTTCTTGACGAGGTTCTTGCGGATGACCCGGAGGATCTTGTTCTGCTGGAGCATTTCGCGCGAGATGTTGAGCGGCAGATCCTCGGAATCGACGATGCCGCGCACGAAGTTGAGCCACTCGGGGATGAGCTCCTCGCAGTTGTCCATGATGAACACGCGGCGCACGTACAACTTGATGTTGTTGAGCTTCTTGCGGGTCTCGAACAGATCGAAGGGCGCGCGCTTGGGGACGAAGATGATGGACTTGAACTCGAGCTGGCCCTCGACGGAGAAGTGCTTGACGGCAAGGTAGTCCTCCCAGTCGTTGGTGAGGTTCTTGTAGAAGGTGCGGTACTCGTCGTCGGTGACGTCCTGCGGGTTGCGCGTCCAGATGGGCTTGGTCTTGTTGAGCAGCTCCCACTCCTGGTAGGTCTCCTTGACCTTCTTGGTCTTCTTCTCGCCCTCCTTCTTCTCCTCGCCCTCCTCGGTCACCTCCTCGATCTTGGGCTTCTCCTCCTCGCCCTCCTTCTTCTCCTCCGTCGCCTCCTCCTCCTCCTCGACCTCGGTCTCCTTGGTCTTGTCAACCCACAGCGAGATGGGGTACTGGATGAACTGCGAGTGCTTCTTCACCAGATCCTTGATGCGCCTCTCCTCGAGGTACTCCATTTGATCCTCCTTCATGTAGACCGTGATCTTGGTGCCGCGCTTGAGCGGCTCGCCCTCGGTGTCCTTGCGGATGGTGAACGAGCCACCGGCAGCCGATTCCCACACGTACTGCTCGTCATCGTTGTGCTTGGTGGTCACCACGACGCGATCGCCGACCAGGTAGGCCGAGTAGAAACCCACGCCGAACTGACCAATCCTGGAATTCGCCGGCACAAGCGATGGTGGTTTGTAACGATTAGTCCGCAGATTCGAATTTCATTTGTGTAAACAAATAGCGATGCCTTGTCCGAAAAAACCAAATGGATTGAGTACGTACATGGACACGTCAGCGCCAGCCTGAAGAGCCTCCATGAAGGCCTTGGTGCCGGATTTGGCGATGGTGCCGAGGTTGTTCACCAGGTCGGCCTTGGTCATGCCGATGCCGCTGTCGATGATGTGGATGCACTTGTTCTCCCTGTCGGGCACAAGGTGAACGTAGAGCTCAGGGTTGGTCTCGAGGGCCGCCTTGTCGGTGAGGCCGATGTAGCGGATCTTGTCCAGAGCATCGGAAGCGTTAGAGATGAGCTCGCGCAGGAAGATCTCCTTGTTCGAGTAGAACGTGTTGATGATGAGATTGAGCAGCTGGTTGATTTCAGCCTGGAAGGCGAACGTCTCAACATTGTCGTCGGAAGACATGATGCTGTGCGATGTGGTGAAGCGAGGTGAAGAAGGAGGAACGGCTTGCGTCAAAACACAACAAAAAGACAGCTACCCCAGAGTGAACACGAAGACAGCTGCGAACGGACTTTGCTGCCTTTCGTTTTTTCAGGAATCGAACTTTCACCGCCACTACACCCGAAATCTGGCTGTATTTTCGACAACATGGAGAGACGAAATTTCGAATTGCTGCCCTGTCACGTCGCGGTGGCCAAGAAGAGGGGAGGGAACGAGCGAGAACACGGGAAAGGCGTACCGTCAGGTCAGGATCCATTTGAGCACGAAATTCCGAACGAAAAAGGGCAGCAACCAGTTTGAATGTGTCCAGTTGTAGCCGGACCCGATCCCCTGGATCACCTATAAATGCCGGCCGCTGGCCGCCATAGAGCCATTCAACCACAACAAGCAGCGGCACTCACACCAACCAGCAGCACCGCTTACAACACTTACAACAGCAACAGCTCCTTCCTACCCACCACCACCACCCACTCACCACCACCCACTCACCACTAGCACAACATGGCCGACCAAGTGCCCTCCAACGCCGAGATCCAGAAGACCGCCGAGAGCGTCAAGCAGGAGATCGAGGTCACCAAGATGGAGACCGAGGGCCTCACGGGAGTGGGCGAGAAGCTGCTCGATGACGCCACCAAGGTGGTCGACAGCGCCGAGCGCCTCGTGCTTGAGAAGAACCAGGGCGACAAGCTGCAGAAGCTGGCCAAGGAAGGCGAGAAGGCCGCCGAGGAGCTCAAGGAGCAGGCCGAGCGACTCAAGCGCATGCAGGCCGACACTATCAACCAGATCGACTCGGACCGCATCAAGGACCTGGCCAACCGGCTCATCGAGACGGCGCGCCTGGCCGGCATGGAGATCATGTCGTCGCCCAGCTTCCGCCAGACCATCAACGACATGGTGAACCTGCTGGGCGACATCGTCTCCGACTCGGTGCAGGACACCGGCAGCAGCACGGGCTCGGGCGCCATGGCCATCGACACCACGCGGCTCGAGGAGAAGGCCAAGGGCACGGCGCGCGAGCTCAAGGAATCCGAGTCGCTGGGCGAGGCCAAGGCCAAGGCCCAGCGGGCCGCCGGCGAGGCGCAGGCCGCCGCGCGGGACCTGGCCGGCCGGGCGCAGGAGAAGGCGCAGGCCGTGACGGGCGAGATCCAGCAGCGGGCCGAGAAGCCGGCGCAGCGCCTGGCGCGGGGCGAGGGCGAGCAGACACAGAACCTGAAGGAGACCGTCGAGGGCGCCGTCAACCCGGTGCTCGAGTCGGTGGGCGCCGGCAAGCGGGTCAAGATCAGCAAGGCCCAGCTGGACAGCCTGTGGGGCCGGTTCGTGGCGCTCATGCGCGAGATCACCGAGCGCGAGCGGAGCAAGCGCGTGTTCAACGGCCTCCTGGAGCTGCTGCGCCTGGTGCGCGACCAGGCGCGCGAGGTGGCCGAGCAGACCGGCGAGCAGGTGCAGGACGTGGGCGACGAGCTGCGCAACAGCAAGCACCTGCGCCGGTGCCTGCAGCTCTCGCGCGAGCTCTTCGAGTCGTTCACCAACAAGAAGCTCGACAAGCTCATCCTCAACACCAACGGCATCATCGAGATCATCAACCGCGACCCGGCCGTGCGCGCCTACTTTGACGACCTGCGCGACTACATGGCGCGCATCCTCGAGCACCCGGAGCTGCTCAACGACGACGCCGCCATCGAACGCGGCCGCGGCCTCATCGAGCGCGGGCGCGAGCTGCACGAGGAGAAGCTGTACGGCCACGTGGCCATGATCTCGCGCGAGCTGCGCGGCATCGTCGAGTCGGTGGAGCAGGACCCGGCCACGATGCGCCTGCGCGAGGCCATGCGCACCCTCGTGGGGGACCTCATGCTCGACGCCTCGGGCAACTTCGTGTACAAGCCCGAGGTGCTCGACCAGCTCAAGGTCATCATCGTCAACTCGGTCGTGGAGCGCCTCAAGGTGCCCCTGCCCACCATCAGCGTCGAGGGCAAGGACTTGGACTTTGAGGTGTCGGGCCTCGTGCTCAACGTGAGCGACGTCATCCCGGAGCGCGTGCTCATCGAGAGCCGCGGCAAGGTGCTCCTCGACCCCAAGCAGATGGAGATCGAGGGCGCCGCGCACGGGCTGCGCATCACCATGAACAACATCAACATCCACATGCCCGACGCCCACCTCTGGTTCCGCCGCAAGTCCTTCCCCAAGGTCGAGGACGAGGGACGCGCCTCGCTCGACGTCGGCGGCCGCGGCCTCGACCTCATCATCACCCTCCGCACCCTCGCCAAGCCCCCCAACTTCTTCCGCGTGCAGCAGGTCGAGTGCAACGTCCACAACCTGGCCCTCTCGCTCAGCGACACCCGCCACGACTTCCTCTACAACTCGCTCCTCAAGATGTTCTCCGGCACCGTCAAGAACGACATCGAGTCCGCCATCGAGGACAACATCCGCGGCAACCTCGATCAGCTCAACGTCCTCCTCAAGCACCAGTGGGAGAAGGCACAGCTCTCCGGCCAGCCCCTCCAGGAGTCCATCCGCGCCGGCGTCGAGAAGGTCCAGAAGACCATCGGCACCGTCGTGTAAGCAACACCACCACCACCAACCCCACCCACCAGTCCTCTCTCTCTCTCTCTTCTCCCCTCGATGCGAGATCAGCATTGACTCTCGAAGGAATACAGTCCTCCTTCTCTATTCATTTTTGGCCAACCGTGTTCTTGTAGACAAACCAGCACGCGCACTACACTGTTGTTGGGGCAGCCTTCGAAGTGGAAAAGAGTGTCTGTGGGCGGTGCTGCTGCCGGCCAGGCCCGCCTTCACGCCAGGAAGGCCAACGCGGACCACTCTAAGGCCCAAGCAGCGCGCCCCTTTCTACCCCTTTCTTCTTCTTGTTCGGGGTGTGGGATTTGCGAGGAAAGAAGGATGGGATGGGGGCAAAAGGGGCACCGGACGGTGACGTACGTACGAAAGCCTGGCCGTACGTGCCCCCTTACCTTTCGTTTCGTTTCGACTTTTGTTTTCATTTGTTTTTTGTTCTCTAATTTTTCGGACCCTCGTTTCCCTTTTTTGTACCCAGGTGCTGGCTCTTCGCCCTTCGCCCCCCCCACCACCCAAGAAGAGGAGTAGGAGGAGAAGAAGTAGTAGTAGAAGAAGGGAGGAGATCACCACCATGGACGGGCCGTGCACTCTACTCATCCACTCGGACAAAACACAGCCGCTCAGTGCGGCCGACATCAAGGGCCAACTCCAGAATGGCACCCTCGCGCAGCGGCTGGAGGCGATGAAGCAGACGATCCAGCTCACCGTGAATGGGGACAACATGGCCGGGATCTCCATGGCCATCTTCCAGTCCATCATGCCGCTCAAGGATCACATGCTCAAGAAGCTCGTTCTGCTGTACCTCGAGGTGTGCGAGAAGACCAGCCGCGATGGCAAACTGCTTCCCGAGATGATCCTCGTATGGTACCGGATCCTCTCCTCTCCCCTTCCTCTCCTATGGGATGGCTGGATGGCCATCCGATGGGATGGACCCCCCACCAGCCACCAGCCACCAGCCACCACCAGCCACCACCAGCCACCACCAGCCACCACCACCAGCCACCACCAGCCACCACCACCAGCCACCACCAGCCACCACCAGCCACCACCAGCCACCACCAGCCACCACCAGCCACCACCAGCCACCAGCCACCACCAGCCACCAAGGTGGAGGAGAGGGCGGGAGAACCGTCGGTTGTGCATTGTCGTGTCCCCCTGACCTCCTTGTTCTCCTTGTTCTTTTATCTGGCGGCGGGGGGGACACCTGCCAGCAACGCCCTCCGGAACGACCTCAACCACCCCAACGAGTACATCCGCGGGTGTGCTCTGCGGTTCGTGTGCAAGCTCAAGGACGTCGAGCTGCTGGAGCCGCTCGTGCCCTCGGTGAAGAACAACCTGGACCATCGCCACACGTACGTGCGCCGCAACGCCGTCCTCGCCATTTTCAGTCTCTACCGAAGCTTCGACTACCTGCTGCCCGACGCCCCCGAGATCATCTTCAACTTCCTCCAGAAGGTCAGTGATGTGTCGTGTGTGTCGTGTGTCGTGTTTCTCACGCGGGTGCGATGCGTTGTTGGGCGTGCGCGTGTCTTCCTGGCCCAGGAGGGGGATGCCTCGTGCCAGCGGAACGCCTTCCTCATGCTCCTCAACTGCGCCCAGCCCAAGGTGGTGGAGTACCTGGAGACCATCACGGCCGACCAGGTGCTCGGGTTTGCCGACACGCTGCAGCTGATGGTCATGGAGCTCATTCGCAAAGTGTGGCACAGTAAGCCCGACGCCCGGGTACGAATCGCTATTCTCTCCCCCCCCCGCACCACACACCTGTTCCCGCCTGCTTCTCTCATCGTGGGACCCTTTCTTCTTCTGGCTACCCCCCCCCACCTCTGCTCCTGCGCTCCTGCTGCTTCGGGGCACACCAGGCCAAGTACCTGCAGTGCGCCTTCACCATGCTCAAGTCGTCCACCCCGTCGGTCCAGTTCGAGAGTGCCACGACGCTCGTCAGCATGACGTCAGGTACCGCCGTTGGCTTTCTTATACCTACCTCCGCAGGCAGAGAGATTGGGGGGGGGGGCGCAATTGGCCTGGGCATCTGTGGTATCGTCACCTTGGTGGTGCGCTGACGGCAGCTTCTTCGCCCTACCGGGCCGCACGTAGCCCCGACTGCGATCAAAGCTGCCTCCATCGCCCTCATCAAGCTGCTGTGCAGTGTACGTAGTACACTCCGCCCCACCACCAGCCACCACCGCCGCACTTACTGGGGGGAGTGTAGCTGGATGGACGTACGGAGGAGGAATGTGGGCGTGCGGACATGCGTGACGCGTCGTGTGGGCGGTGAGGGCGCTGAAAAAGAAGATCGGGGAGGGGAACGGGGGGGGGGTCACACGGAGGGCACACCAGCAGTCGCGGCTGCATTGAAGGGTGTGGTGGTGGTGGTGGGTGAGCGTTATTGACTCGCTGGGCCGTCGACGTTGTGCGACCGTGTGCAGGAGAGCGACCTCAACATCAAGCTGATCGTGCTCGACCGCCTAGCCGCTCTCAAGAACGACCACCAGAAGGTGATGCAGGGCCTGATCATGGATCTGCTGCGTGCGCTCTCCTGCCCCAACATGGACATTCGCAAGAAGACGCTCGCCATTGCGCTCGACCTGGTCACCCCGGCCAATGTGGACGAAGTGGTCCTGAGCCTCAAGAGGGAGATCAACCGGGCGCAGGACGAAGACGATAAGGTCGGTGCCACGCCCCGGTGGGGGCCACCACCAATCAACCCAGCCCCAGCCCCAGCCCCGCCCCAACCCCCCAGCTAACCGATAAATGGAACTTTGTATGGTGGTGACTGGTTGGCTGCGCAGGGCGAGTACCGCCAGCTGCTGATCCGCTCGATTCACGCGTGTGCGGCGAGGTTCTCGGGCGTGGCCAGGAACGTGGTCCACATGCTCATGGAGTTCCTGAGCGACAGCAACACTCTCGCCGCCGTCGATGTCGTCACCTTCGTGCGCGAGGTCATGCAGACCTATCCCGCCCTGCGGCAAGACGTGCTCAAGAACCTCTTGAGCTACCTCAAGTCCGTCAGTTCGTCACGGGTAGGGCCACACACGACACACACGACACGACACACGACACACGACACACGCCACACCCCTCCTCCTCTCCAAGTCCTCACCCACGACGTATGCGCACACACGCCAGGTACTGCGGGGTGCCCTGTGGATTATTGGAGAGTTCTCGGTATCCTCCGAAGAGATCGACCTGGCCTTCACCATCATCAAGGAGGAGCTGGGCGACCTGACGACGGCGGGACAAGACGGCCCCGAAACGAAGGAGGCCAAGCATCAGCAGCAGCCGCCTTCGCCGCCGCAGCCACAGTGCTCGGGCAACAAGGTCTTGTCGGGTACGACTGCTCCCCCCTCGACCTCCGTGCCCCTCCTCTGTCCGTGTGGGGGGGGGTCAAGATGTGTGCAGCATGTGTTGTTGCTGTACACTCGTGGTCGTGGTAAACTGCTTTTTATCTGCTTTTCTTTGCTAACCCTCCTCCTCCTCTCTGCTGCACGGCGGCTGCGGTGCGCGCGTCTCGGCGTGCAGACGGTTCGTACGCGACGCAGTCCGCGTTCACGGAGGAGGCGGTGGTGGCGGTGGAGAATGTGGGGTCGCCGCTTCGCCATCTGATCGTGGCGTCGGGGGACTTCTTCCTGGCGTCGGTGTTGGCCACGTGCCTGACCAAGCTGGTGATCCGCTCCTACGGGGCGCCGGACATCAAGATCGCGGCCAAAAACTCGTTCTGTGTCGAGGTGCTCCTCGTCCTGACGGCCCTCCTCAAGCTCGACGACCGCCCACACGCGGCCACGCTGGAGGCCGGTGGCGGCAGGGGAGGCGGCGGCGGCGGCGGCTGTGGTCCCACAGACCCCGACTCGTACGCGCGCGTGTGCCTATGCATCAAGACGCTGGCCTCGCCGCACGTGCTGGTCTTTGGCGAGCAGGCCTTCCTCCGCGACTGCCGCGACTCCTTCGCATCCCTCCTGCTCGAGCAGCGCCGCGACAAGGAGGAGCGCGACGCCAAGAAGGAGAAAAAGGTCGAGGTCCAGGCCGACGACCTCATCTCCCTCCACCACCTCCTCCTGGGCAGCAAGCTCGCCACGGGCGACCACGGCAAGGACCTCGAGGCCATCGACCTCATCCGCGCCACGGGCTTTGTCAACGCGCCCCCCGGTACCCGCTCCCACTACACCCCACACCCCCACGAGGCCACCCTCCCACCCATTATCGCAACATCATCATCAACATCGTCACCACCACCACCACCACCATTACCATCAACATCGCACCAGCAGCAATCACCACCCATCATCGTCGTCGTCGTCGGCATCATCATCATCATTCACCAGCCGCGTCTCCACCATTCGCTAACCACCTGCATATGCCCGCAGACGAGGGCCAGCGGCTGGAGCGGCTCTTCCAGCTCACCGGTTGGTCGGACCCGGTCTACGCCGAGGCCTACATCAACGTGCAGCAGTATGACATCGTGCTCGAGGTGTTGATTCTCAACCGCACCGCCGACACACTGCAGAACGTGAGCATGGAGCTGTCCACCATGGGCGACCTCAAGCTCTGCGAGCGACCCCAAAACTACACCATCGCTCCCTTCGGTTCGGTGCAGATTAAGGCCGACATCAAGGCAAGCACCCCCGGAAGTTCTCAGCTCCGGCTTGTGGTGTGTGTGTGTGTGTGTGTGCCGTCGTGGCCACAACCCCTCTTCCCCCAAATCACCTCCTCACCTCCTCGCCTCTCGCCAATCACGCCGTGGTGCAGGTATCCTCCACGGAGACGGGAGTAATCCTGGGCAGCCTCGTGTACGACGTGGCGGGGAGTGGTGGTGACACCAACTACATCGCCCTGAACGACATCCACATCGACATTCTCGACTACATCACTCCCGCCCACTGCACCCATCCCGACTTTCGCGCCATGTGGGCCGAGTTCGAGTGGGAGAACAAGGTCGTCGTCAACACCAACTTCACGTGCGCCCCCCCACCACAAGCTAACACCACCGTGCTCCACAGATCTGTGCTCACACGGGTTCACTCTGTGTGTGCGTGTGTGTCGTGCATTGCCTTGCCTGCAGAGACCTGAATGCCTTCCTGGACCACATCCTGCAGACCACCAACATGAACTGCCTCACCCCGAAGAAGGCCCTGGAGGGCCACTGCGGGTTCCTGGCCGCCAACCTCTACGCCCGTAGCATCTTTGGTGCGTGCAGCCCCTCCCCCTCCAATATGGGTTCCTCTCTCCGAACGCTGACCAACAGCGGGAGAGCGCACCCGCCCGCTGCTGTTTCGGTGGTCGCCTGCTGACTGGCTGGCTGGCTGGATTTTGACTCTCTCTCTCTATGTGTGTGTGTGTCGTGTGTGTGTGTCGTGTAGGCGAGGATGCCCTGGCCAACCTGAGCATCGAGAAGCAGCCCGATGGCAAGGTGCAGGGCTTCATCCGCATCCGAAGTAAGGCGCAGGGCATTGCGCTCAGCCTGGGCGACAAGATCAACCTCCACCAGAACAGGCCCAAGAAGTGAAGCCCCCCCCCAAGCCTGTGGCGGTGGGTGCGCCCACGATGGGCGGCTGGCGGGAAGAAGAACGACGGGCTGCAGCACGGCGAACGGGAGGCCATGGATGCAAAATGCACTGCGTGTGATCAGAAGGCCAGCCGTGTGTTGCTGCTGCTGCTGCTGCTGGCGGAGGAGGAGGAGGGCGAGGCCGCCGGTTGGCCGTCATCGGCGGAGGGGAGGGGGGTCGCTGAGGAGGAGGTGGCGGCGGCGGCGGTGGGGTAGCCGGGATAGCGTGCCCATGCGGGCGGGGCCTTGAGGAGAGAGGCCGTCTGGCGGTATTTGCCGCGGATGCGGTCCAGCAGCTCGAACAGGTCCTCCCTGGTGGGGTCTCGCGGGAACGAGCACACGAGCTCCTGCAGCTTCCCCAGAGCCTCCACCGCACGCCGATGCACGTGCTGCTTCTGCTTCTGGTGGTGGTGGTGGTGAGGCCGTGGCTGCTCCTCCTCCTGGCATCCAATTGGCGGGAGGGGCCTCTGTACCTCGTCGCCAGCTCCCTCGACTACTACTACTATGACTGCCGATGGTGGTGGTGGTGGTGGTGGGTGGAGGCAGCGCCACAAGAGGAGGTGGCCAAAGTAGAAGCCCAGCTCGTGGCCCATCTCGGCCCCCTTGGCCAGCCCCAGCTGGCGTCCGTCGTCAAAGGCCACCTGGTGGGCATTGAGGCGGCCGTTTTGCAGCCCCTCCTGCACCAGCCTGTCCTCCAGGTGGAGCAGCGCCTCGAACATGTCCCCCTCTGCCATCCGATCCGTGGGTGGGAAAAGAGGCGCAAAAAAAGAAAAAAGAAAGGAAATTTAAAGCAAGGGCTGCATTTGGTGGTAGAAAGAAAACAGAATGAAAGGGCGGGATGCATCGAGCGTGCGCACCGAGTTGACCCGCCTGCTTCCCCAGTGGAAAGATGCCCTGCCGGTTGCTGCCAGGACTGTACTCGGACCTTCCATCTCCATTTTCCTTTTTGCTGCGGGTGGTGAGTGCTCAGCAGCTGATCGGCGGGAGACGGCTGCAGCTCGAGCGTCCTCGTGTACTGGTGCTGTCGGGACCGACGGCCATCGGGAAGACCAATTTGTCGCTTGAGCTGGCGCAACGGCTCAATGGAGAGATAATCTCCGCAGATTCCATGCAAGTGTACAAAGGGATGGACGTCGGCACGGACAAAGTCAGCGCTGCCGAACGTAAGCGAATCCCGCACCACCTCATCGATCTGGTGTCGCCTCACGAAGCCTTCAGCGCCTTCCAGTTCTGGGAGCACGCACACAACGCCACACACGTGCGTGTCCCCTCTGCTGCTGCTGCTGCTGCTGCTGCTGCTGCTGCTTCCAGCCTTCACCATCACGCAGCACGGCTCACTCACTTACTTTGTCTGCTGCGGTGTGTCGTGTGTGTGTGTCATGTGTGTGTCGTGTGTGTCGTGTGTCACTGCATTTTGGACCACCGCCATCCGCATAGGACATTCTCTCGCGAGGCAAAGTGCCGATCGTGGTGGGCGGGTGTGGGTTCTACTTGAGCTGGTACCTCCACAAGACGTCCCGCCCTGACCACACCACGAAGGCCCCGCCAGAGGTCGTCCGCAAAATCAAGAAGGTCATCGACGACGACCAAGGCGACTGGTACCGCAGGTGTGCCCCCCCCCCAAACCCAATGCTCAGCAGCGCAGCAGCGCAGAGCCGTCCACATCAGCCAGCGTGGAGGTAGCTGGGCGGGTTCTTCCTCCTCCTCCTCCTCCTCCTCCTGTTAACGAGATCTCGTGAGTGATGCAGCATCGCGCGCGTGCAGGCCATAGATCCGGCGTTTGCGGCGACCATTCCCGTCAACGACCTCTATCGCATCACCCGCGCCCTCGAAATTCATGCCGTTACCGGTCTCCCGCCTTCCAGCTTCGCCTCTGAACGACTCGCTCCCTGGGGTTCCCCTCTCCCAACCCCCACCAACCCCCATCAACCCCCACCAACCCCCACCAACCCCCACCAACCAACCCGTGCCTATTCAGCACGCGCACCGCACATGTTCTCTGCCCCCCATCTCCCTTCGTGCGGGCACATGCTGGCTCTACACTGACGCATGTGCATATGAGCACGTATGCAGAAACATCGCTCGATTTCCGGTGCGTCTACTTCACAACTTCCGACTCGCTCGCTGCCAAGACGCGCATCGACCTACGGTGCGAGGAGATGGTCAGGCGAGGGTTACTTCAGGCAGGCCACCCCGCCCCTCCCCACTTCCCCCCCTCCCACTCACACAACAAACATACATAGGAGACGATGGCGCTATTGTACAGCGGACTGGAGGTGGACAGCACGCCAGCCAAAGCCATCGGCTACTCCGAGGCCATATCTTTTCTCCTCTACGCTCCGGTACGACTACTGCCCGCGTGCGCACGTATGGCGCAACGTTTATTCTTTAATATTTCTTCACCCGCCACACACAGCTAGAGCATCTGGGCGACAGCTTTACCGACTTTTTGACCATCTTTCAGAACTCGTCGAGGTAGTACATCGTGCTCCACCGAGTTTGGCCGCTGGCTCACATACAGTTGGTGGTGACAGGAAGTACGGAAGACGCCAGAAGACATGGTTCCGGCGGGAACCCCTCTTCCACCATTGGCTGTACAGGAACGAAATGGGCGTTGAGGACCAACTGCGAAGGGTGACCGACCTCTACTCCTTGCCGTTTGCAGAGTACATGGACACGTTCGATTGGGATGGCTACCTCAACAAGATGACCAAGGATTACAACCAGAAGATGCCTACCTACGCCCCCAAGTTGCAGCTGTTCTCCACGGCCTCCTCTCGAGACAGCTTTATCGCCTCTCTGGCGCCCTCCATCGCCAATCTTCGCCAGTGGAAAACGGCGCGTCCTAATTAATAAAAATAAAAATAAAAATAAAAATAAGGCCAACGCCGGACCACGTGCTCGGCAAAAACTGCCCGCGGAGTTTTGACTTAGATTTTCGGCCATCCGCCCCACACACACAAGATGCCCAGTTTTCTCGCTTGCCTTGAAAGCTGCGGACCTCGCGATCGCTCCAAAGGTCCTAAAAAGATACGGGCTTCAAGATGTGATAGGACTCAGCCCTGTAGGATGCCTAGTTGGGCCGCTAGGACCTCCCAGTTTCCGAGTCATTGGGACAATTTTTCAACGCCACACTACAAAGAACACTCGTTTTCTCACTTGCCCTCTAAGCTCCTGACCTCCCGTTTCGGTTAAAATGCGTCCCAGAGCACGGGCTTCAAGATGTGAGGGGACTCAGCCCTGGACTCAGATCTGTAGGATGCATCGTTGGGCAGCTAGGACCTCGCCGTTTTGAGGTGGAAATCTACATGGGCACAGTTTTTCTCGCTTGCCTTGTTATCTCTTGCCCTCCTGTTATGCGCACAATTGCACTGGCAAGACAGTGACCCAAAGTGTGGAACCAGTGCAGAGACGAGCACCGATACAGAGGAGATGAGTCGCCCACGGCGTTAGCCCCCGCCCTGAGACGAGCAAGAGATGAGTTGCCTCCCACCTCCGCGGTGCTCCCCGACATCTCCTCAGGAGATCAGTCGCCTGCCGCAAAAGGCGTCCGCAAGGATGTCGGGGATCACCGCGGTTACTGAACCGCCCGAGTCGTGCGGCATCTTGTAGCCCACGGTCTGATTAGTCGTCGTCCGCGACTTCCGAGGGTGATTGCGACCTCCGCGGTGATCCCCGACATCCGCGGTGGATCACGTATGTCGCGATAACCACTGTGGGCGGCACCTCATGTCTTGCTCGTCTCTCTACTGGTGCTCGTCTCTGCGCTGGTTCCACACGTTGGTCTTGTCGGTTTCCGCTTGTACAGCTAGGTTTATTCAAGTCCTCCCTGTGGAGATGAGTCCGAAACGCGTAGCACGCGTAGCACGCGTAGAACGCGATAAACGTGTTGTCCGCGCGTGAGCTACGCGTAAGCTACGCGTGAGCTACGCGTGAGCTACGCGCAATCTACGCGCAAGCTACGCGCGAGCTACGCGCCGAGAATAATAAAAAAAATCATTTTTGGGCACTGGAGCAGACCTCCAACGATTTGGTGAAAGATCGGATTTTATTGTGGGTAAAGAAAGAGGCAAGGGGAGAGAGCGCCCAGCTGCTGGGCGTCGGTCAGATCAAAACAATTAAAGATTAGATTGAGATTAAGATTGGGATAAGATTGGGCAGATTCTTCTAACGTGTGCTACGCGTTTTCGGACTCATCTCCTGTGTTGAAATTTTTTTCGGCAGCGGGGATGGCTTGTTTTCGCGGACATCGCGACCTCCCGCGGACATCGCAACCTCCCGCGGACATCGCGATTATCCGCGGACATTGCGGCCGGCGACTCATCCCCTTGAATAAACCTAGCTGTAGTCGCGGCATCGAAACGAGTAGCAAACGCGTGAAACGAGTAGAGAACGTGTGAAACGAGTAAAAACCGCGTTAATAACGAGTAAAACGAGTAAATAACGAGTTAAACGAGTAACAAAACGCTTAAAAAACGAGTAAAATGACCACAGACCACCTGTGGCAACACTGATTAAACGCGTTTAACGAGTGTTACTCGTTTTCGTTGCATCCCCGTTGCATCCCCTAAGATTGTAAGTTGCGTGGCGGACAGCTCACCGTAGCGCTCTGATTCGTGGGGCATCTTGTAGCCCATGGTCTAATTGGTCTGGAAACTGATTCGCAGGCCGCTAGCTCTCAAGGCAGGCGAGAAAACTGGTAAGCTTTAACTGAAGGCATGATTTTCGAGCTCTGAGTTGAGAGGCGAACAGCGCACGGTAGAGCCCTTAATCGCGCGGCATCTCGTAGCCCATGGTCCATTTGGTCTGGAAATGTAGTGCCAGGCTGCTGGCTATGAAGGCAAGCGAGAAAAACTGCTATGATTGGTTAAGTGATTTTTAGGCTACAAGTTGGGAGGCGAGCAGCGCACTGTAGCGCTCTGATTCGTCCGGCATTTGTAGCCCATGGTCTAATTGGTCTGGAAACTTATTGACTGGCCTCTAGCTATCATGGCAAGCGAGAAAAACTGTGCCCTCGCTTGTGTGCCTTCGAATACAACTGCGACCACGCCAAAACGGCGAGGTCCGCTAGCGGCCCAACTAGGCATCCTACAGGGCTGAGTCCTATCACATCTTGAAGCCCGTATCTTTTTAGGACCTTTGGAGCGATCGCGAGGTCCGCAGCTTTCAAGGCAAGCGAGAAAACTGGGCATCTTGTGTGTGTGGGGCGGATGGCCGAAAATCTAAGTCAAAACTCCGCGGGCAGTTTTTGCCGGGCACGTGGTCCGGCGTTTGGCCTTATTATTATTTTTATTTTTATTTTTATTAATTAGGACGCGCCGTTTTCCTCTGTAGTCAGGAAGAAATGGTCCGGAAATGGTACGAAGAATGTTACGGAAAATATGGGAAGGACATGGTCAGTCAGAGAATAGCTGTGTGAGATAGTACCGCCCACGGGAATTGCAGTACACTGCAATAGCGCAGCGGTTGGCGGCAGGACAGAGGATGTTCTTGCGATGGCCGGGAGAGCGAATCCACCCATTTACGGCAGTACTTGCAACATCAGCAACGCCCTGCGAGTAGGCCACGTTTTCGGCCATATGTCGGGGTCGGTACGGCACCGCTTGCATTCGCTCCTTGAATCCAGCATGCCCAAACTCTACTTGGCCAGTACCCATGCCTGGCCACACACGGGCATTCAGTGAGCTATCTCCCAGAGAGAGGCCGCTGAGCTCAAGAAGAAGGGAGGAAGGCGCACTGTGGCTGTGCTGAAGGCCTATCTTGTACAGAACGGTTTCCCAGCGAAGGGGCCTGAGGCCGCTACGCTGGCGGAAGTTGTTGGTAAGCGTGAGGCAATCGTGGCCAATCTTCTCGATGTGCGGCACGGTTCTCGACGCCCCTATAGCAGATCGGTGACGTGGTGAGCGAGTGAGTGAAGTTAACCGCGCATGGTCATTGCGAGAGAGAGCTCACCTCCAGCCGCGGAGGCGGTAGCAGCTGTAGCAGTATCCGAATTGGGCTCAGAGAGATCAGAGAGGGTCATAGCCTTCTTCCTTTCCCCCGATCGGCTCCACTTGGCACGCTGCTTTGACCTGGTGGTCGTGGTGGTGGGCGGAGCGTGGACTGGTTGAGCAATTTCTGGCTGGGAGGAAGGAGGGCAAGAGAGAGAGAGAGAGAACGAGACCCACGTGCCTGAAGTCCTTCATCTGTCGCCAGAGGCCGATGTCAAACCCGCTCGTGCTCTGCGCCTGCCCTACAGTGTCCTCTCGGGCTGGTTGCCTGCTGTCCTCAAGAGGAAGATTAAGAAGGTTGATACCCCAACGCATGTGAACTGGTGTATGTGTGGTCGTGTCGTGTCGTGTACCTATTATTGTTGCTGCTGCTGCTGGACTCCTTGCGCCATCGCTCCTTGCGGTGCTGGCGAATGCTGGCCAACTGGTCCTCGAGGCTGGCGGCGGCGGCTGCTCTCTCTTGCCGCGGGGGACCACCCCAAGGACTGGCACCCGCAGACGACGAGGAGCAAAGCATCGGTAGACGGTCATCTGATGAGATGGGCGGGACCAGCACCAGCGCCCGGCCCTCCTCCCCCTCCTGTGAAGCGGGGTGTGAAGTGGTATCGCGTTGCGCCCAATTAGGCCGTGTGGGGGGAGGCAAAAGGAAGGTCGGCACACAAAGAAGCCAGGCGCATGAGCGCCAAAGTAGAAGAAGGGCGAGGTACGTTGGTGGTGTGGGCAGAACGGACAGGAGCACGGCTGCTGCCGCCGCTGTGAAAGCTCGTCGCTGGTTCACCATCGACGCAGACGCTGGGGCGGGTGGCACTACACACTCCCGTTGGCAAGGGGGCCTCCTCCTCTTTAATGCATTGGCGTTGGTGCTGCATGGAGAGAAGCTCCTCTACGAGCGACTCGACCGAGCACTCCGCGCCAGCACTGGTGGGAGAGCAAGCCGCCATCAGAAAAGATAAAGATTGAGGCCTTTGTAAAGGCACCAATCCAAAGAATTTGGCGAAGTACCCGGCTACAATGTCGGTGAGGAGAGCCGAGTCGAGCGTTGGGAAGAGTTCCTGCAAGAGAGACAAGATGGTGGCTTCGGCCATGGCTGCTTTTTGAATGCACACCACACGAGTGGCCAACGAGCCCTGCTGGCCACAGGCAGCGGCCACTTCCGCGGTACGTTTGGTTTTCTTTTCTCTTCTTTTCTCTTCTTTTCTCTTATTTACTTCTTGCCTACAGAACAGTTACTGGTGGCCTGTGTTGGCGTCGGCAGCGTGGTGCTGAGGTTCAGCAGCAGCAGCAGCAGCAGCAGCGTCAGCGTCGTCGTGCTGGGGGCCGTGGAAGAAAGGGTGGGCGAGGATGCCCTCCCACAGCTTTTGGTCCTCGTCCACGAAGTCCTTGAGGGCGGAGAGGAGCTCGTGCTTCTCCTTGCCGCGCTGCGTGTGTCCGGCCACCAGTGCTCGCAGTTGCTCCCGCTGCCCGCCGATCTTGTCCCGCAGAAGGGCCGCTATCATTTGCCGGTCCCGCGCAAACACGTCGTGTGCCCTGAACACGGGCTCGTCCCTCCTCGCCTGCGCCACGTGTGCGTTAAAGCGGCTGGCGGCTGGCGCAGGGATCAGAGGGGAGGGAGGGGAGAGAGAGACGTGCCTGCAGCTGCCTGATGGCAGCATCGACCTGCTTGCGTACCTCACGTGCCATCATGTCCTGGAAATGCGTCTTGTCCACCACAATGTGCCCTGCCACGTCCACGCCAACAGCCGCCGGCCGCCGGCCGTTGAGCTACTTACGACGAGTACTCCTTCTTCGCGAGATAGGAGCCGAGCAGCCGCTGGCACCACCACCACCAGAGCAGACGTCTCCTGGCCCGCTCTCTGGCCGCCAGCGAGAGGAAGAAGGGAAGGGGGGAAGGGGCACACACCAGGCTTGGGCAGGGCAGCGAGCTGGCACCCTCCCGGCTGGGCCTGCTGCAGTTGGGTCCGGTCGCTGACAGGCACCAGCAGGCTGTACCGACTTCTCAGCTCCTCCGTGGAGAGGGCGGCTACCTCGGCATGCGACAGGTGGCCCATTTTGAACACCTCGAAAAAGCCCACCACATCGTCGTGCTGGCCCTCCTGCTGCTGCTGCTGCTGCTGGATGTCCATCTATGATGGGGGCAGAGAGCTTGAATCGAGCCGTGGTGCTTTTTTTTCCCTTGTTTTTTTAACCAATTTTGCTTTTCTTTCTTCTTCGTGTCACCAGAAGAAGTCGTCTAAGTTGGCGGGCTGCTTCTTGCCACCGGCGGCGGCGGCGGGGTTGTCCTGGACGGCAGAGGTGGCGCCGCCAGAGGTGGTGGTGGTGGTGCCAGCGCTGCTGTCCTGGTTTTTTCCGCCGCCCATTCCTGCCGGTGCGGTGAGGAAGGAGAAGAGGTCGTCCACAGGGCTGCTCACCACCACCGGGGCGAAGGCGGCACGTGGCGCCAGAGTGTGGGGTGAGCCCGCGCGACGGTGCGGCGGCGGCTGCTGCTGCTGCTGGGAGGATCCAGCGGCTGAGCCCGTGCGCTCGCGCTTCTTGTGGCCCGGTGGCGGTAGCGGTGCGCCCTCCTCGGCCAGGAGCACTGCCTCCTCGAAAGTGAACTCGTGTTCGAAGAAGTTCATGCCGCCGCCGCCGCCAACGGGCCGCGTCTGCTTGTCGGCATTCTTCACCTCTTCTTGCCGTCGCTGTGCCTCGCGCTCCTCGGCTTCGCGCTCGAGGAGGAGCTTTTCTTCGCGCTCGCGTCTCTCCTCGGCTTCGCGCGCGACTCGCGCCTCTTCCTCTTCCCGCAGCCGCCGCCGCTCCTCGCGCTCCTGCATCTGGCGACGCTCCTCCTCGGCCTCGGCCTCACGCAGAAGCCGCTCGCCCTCGCGCTCTGCCTCCTCCTCCTCCTCGCGCCGAGCGCGCTCGAGCCGTTCTCGCTCCTCGCGCGCCTTGCGTTCGATCTCCTCGATCTCCCGCATCTGCTGGGCGCGTCGCTCGATGGCCTCGAGCTCCTCCCGCTCGCGCCGCTCCCGTTCCTCCCGCTCCCGCACCTCCCGCTGGCGCCTCTCCTCCTCCTCCCGCGCCTCCCGCTCCTGGGCCTCCTGCCGCTCTCGCGCTTCCCTGTCTCCCCGTTCCCGCGCCTCCCGCTCCCGCGCCTCGCGCCTCTGCTGCTCCCGCTCCCGCTCCTCCCGCTGCTCCCGCTCCACGCGCTCCCGCTCGGCCTGCTCGCGACGTTCCCGCTCCTCTCTGTCCCGCCGCTCGCGCTCCCTTTTCTCTCGCTCCATCCGCTCGATCCGCTCCCGCCGCTCCCGCTCCTCCTGCTCCCTCCGCTCCCACACCTCGATGGCCTCGCGCTCCCGCTTGACCTGGCCCTCCTGGTCCTGCCGCATTCTACTCCTCCTCCTCCTCTCGCCCTCTTCTCCCTCGCCCTCTACCTCCGCTTCGTCGTCGTCGTCGTCGTCGTCGTTGGTGCCGTGGTCGTCTCCCTCGGCTGATGCGTCGTTGTTTTCCCCCTCGGCCTTGCTGCTGCTGCTGCTCGCGGCGAAGGCCACCCTCCGTCCCTGAGCGGAACCCACCCGGCCGCGAGCGCCCTCGGCTGGTGGGCTCGCCTCCTCCGACGACGCATCGCTCGCGCTGGCGGCTCCTCTGGCATGCATCTCGGCCTTGGCGGCGGCGGTGGAGTAGAAATTCTCGTTGACCCACGCCACCAGCGGTCCGAGCTCAATCTGTGTTTTTTATAAATATAGATATTAAGCGGCGCGCAAAGAGAAAGAGATTGTTTGGAGGAGCGTACGTTCAGGGCAATGTCGACCAGCAGCGGCACGGCCTCGGGGTTGTCGAGGGGAATTTCGGTCTGCAGTACAGGATTGAACCTGAGACCCAACCCCCCCCCCCAATTCACCCCGAGGTGAGCTGCTGGTGGCTCTTCATGGACGTATGCAGAAAACAAGAACAACAACAAGAACAAGAACAAGAACAAGAACAAGACAAGAACAAGAACAACAGGCGAAGGTGAGGGAAAGGCCACCTGAAGTAGCGGTCGCCGAGAAGCTCGTGGCACATCTGCTCGGATTGCATGATCATGCCATCCCACAGCACCCCGGCGAGCTTGGGCACCCACTGCATGTAGCCCCAGTCGTGCGAGTCGTCCTCGTAGTAGTGGTTTACTTTGCCTGCACCGCACCCAGGTGTTCCGTCCCGCTGTTAGCAGACCACACGCGACACGCGCCACACGCCACACACGAGACGCGTAGGGTAAAAGAGGGTCGCCCTACCGGTTCCGAAGGAGAGCAGGACTACTTCGTCGAGCTTCTTGTTGAGCCAATAGGGAGAGATGGCGAGCGTGAGCGCTGACGACGCCGGATCGTGTGCGAACATGCCCTGCAGTGCACCCAAAGAAGGGGTATTGGGGGGGGGGTTGACACGCGGGCACGGGTGAGACGTCGGATGTCTCCCCGCATATTGGGGGGGGGGGAAGGAGGAGGCTGAGGGGGGAGGAGGAGTGATAAAGCGGAGGGGGGGAGGGGTTCATCGTACACCGTCGACGTGCTGCTGGTGGGAAGGGAAGTAGGTCGGGGCCGCGATGGTGCGCATGACCAAGTCGGACGCGGTCTCGCTGAGCATCTCGTTGACTCGCGGATCGCCCTCGCCCTCGCCCTCGCCGTACTCGGGGCCTCCGCCGCCGCCGAATGATGCTGGCGGCGGTCGCGGTCGTGATGTGTCGACGGGAGAGGAGCCAATCTCGAAGAAGGGGGAGCTGGGGGGTCCCTCCTGCTGCTGCTGCTGGTGGTGGTGGTGCTGGTGGTGGTGGTGCTGATGCTGGTGCTGGTGGTCTTCGTCTCTGCCAGAGTCGGAGGAGGCCTTGCGGGCGAGGGCGGGCGAGGGCGGGCGGGCTTCTGATGGCGGTGGTACTGCTTGCTGGCTGGCCGCCTCGCGCTCTCTCTTTCGTCGCTCCTGCTCGCGCTGCTGTCGCTGGCGCAGGGTGTTGAAGCTCACCGCTCGCCGCCGCCGCTCGCGGTCGTCCTTGCGCTTGGGCAGGTTGTGGTAGTACCTGTTCTCGCACGCCCGCTGGAGCGCATCGGGGGCGTGGTTGTCGAGCAGCAGCGAAGGCAGCAGCACGAACGACGGGCACTGCGCGAGGGTCAATTTACCGTAGACCTCATCGCACAGGATCTTCAACGCCTGCGACGAGAACTTGGCCCGGTTCAGCACCCCCGTGTAGCCCTCCCTGCCCACCACCACCACCCCGGGTGCGGAACCACCACCGCCACCCACCCCACCAGACACGACCAACGACACGACCAACCAGACACGGCACGGCACGTGTGCGCCAGGGTGAGTGAGTGGAGTGGGTGGCCGCGAGGGGAAGGAGAGAGAGGAGAGACGGGGGGATGCAGGGTACCGTTTGATAAAGACTTTGGAGCCAGCAAGCTCGAGGAGGGTGCGGCAGAGAGCGGGGGAGTAGCCAAAGGCAAAGGCCATGGCCAGCATGCCTCCGTTGCTGGTACCCACCCAGAAGTTGACCTTTTCAAACAGGTCGGGAAACACCATCAACAGTCGACTCAGGAGGATGCAATTCATCAGCCCTGTCCACGCCCACGCCCACGCCCACGCCCACGCCCACGCCCACGCCCACGCCCACGCCCACGCCCACGCCCACGCCCACGCCCACGCCGAGCTTTAGAAGAAGAATAACGCCATTGGGGGGGGGCACGAAAAGGAGAGGACGACTCCCGCGTGCGTGCACGGTGCTCGTGTGCGAGAGGAGAGGATTGGTGGGGGAGGGGGGGAGGGAGAACCTCGCATTCCACCGCCGTCGATCGACAGGATGCGGAACTTGCCGTCGGGCGACGAGGTAGGCGGACAAGAGGCGCCGCTCGCCTGCAGAATTACCCCAAATGGGGGGAGGAGGGGGGGATGGTGGAGGGGAGAGGGTGACAAATGGTGGCGGATTAGCATGTGGAGGGAATCGCGTGCACATGCTCCACCTGATGGCGGCGGAGGCGGCGGCGGCGGCGGGCAGTGGTGGTGGCGAGTGGTGGCTGGTGGTGGCAATCTCTCTGGCAATGGGGGAGAGGAGGAAGGAGTGAGGGAGGGAGGGGGGACGAACGAGGAAGTCCTGCACTCGTTTCTCCACTCTCGCTCGTTCTGTATCCACCCAGTCCTTGACCTTGTGCGTAAAGTCGAGCACTGCCGAACCAGTCCGAGCCATGCGGCGGCACCCACCCCCGGATCGTGTCAGTTGGAGGGGGGGGGAGGAACCGGACAAGGCGGCGGCGCAGCAGCAGCAGCAGCAGCAGGCCCCGACCAATTCTTCTAAAGTCTCTCACCCACCCACCCACCCACCCACCCACCCACGTGCGCCAACGCATCCACCCCAAATAATAGAGAGAGAGAGATAGAGAGAGGCCAGTAAAGGGTGGGCGGGAGAGTAGGGTACTGTCATAGTCCTCTTTTTCGAGGATGGTCTGGTGTAGCTCGTTGGCCTGATAGTGCTTGATGACCCGGAGAATGAGCCGAAGCCACTTATCCCTGGACACAGCGCGAGCATCGGCGGATGGATGGATGGATGGATGGATGGATGGATGGATGGATGGATGGATGGATGGATGGATGGATGGGGTCGGGATGGAGGACAACAGCACGCACACGCACCACCGCACACAAGCGGACACGCACGTGGACGTCAGAAGGGGAGAGGACAGGCGAGAGACAGACAACGAAGTGGCCACCCACTCGGGTTTTGTCCACGTGGGGGTTGGGAGGGGGGGGGCAGGCAGCATGTTACCGGACATCTTGGCCGTCGGCCATGAGGTTGAGAATCTTCCCGGACCTGGCCTTCACACTAAACGAGAACCCATCGCGGGACCACACCTCGGCGCCGGCCAACGGAAAGATGCCCTGGGACCGGAAGGGCTACTTGGTGAGTGAGAAATAACTAGAAATAACTATCGATAACCAGAAATATAAATATAAATATAGAATTATAAATATACACAACGTGTGTTGCAGCGACTGCCGTCAACACGAGAGGAGGAGGAGGAGGAGGAGAGGTAGTATCCCCGCAGGGAGTAGCTGCGACCTACGCGGGATCGCGACCGCGGTGGAAGTGAGAATGGGGTGGAGAAAACCTTTTGGTCGCGGTGGTGTTGATGCAGCGTCTTGCCCTTGAGGGTGAAGTAGCGGTTTTTCCACGCGCGCGTACGCTTGTCGCGAACCATGAGCCACCCTTTGCGTTGCTAGTGCCGTTATGCACACGATGGCGACCAGCAGTGTGCGTGCGCATGTGTGTGCATGTGTGTGCATGTGTGTGTGTGTGTGTGTGTGTGTGTTATAGCGACGATGGCCGCGGTTGGGTTGAGTTGGCAATCAGTCAGTAAGAGTGCGAGTTGGCTCTGTTTGGGAAAGGAGGAGGAGTGCAGTACTTCGCTTTCTGACCCGAGGGCGACGTTAACAAACCAGTCCAGCCAGTTGTTCTTCTCCTCCTCCGATTCGGCAGCGAGGTAGAGCATCCGGTTGGCCATATCGTCCTTCACTCCGGCGGCCTGCCCTCCACACACACCCCGCACGCGATGGCACACGTGGGCACGAATGTGAATGGACGAGAGCGTCGTGATCTCCTCTGCCACAACGTGCCGCACGGCGTGCGAGCGAGTCCTCGGTGGTGGCTGGCGGTGGTGGCTGGCGGTGGCGGGAAGTGCGCACCTCGCGACCTTCGATGGGCTGGTCGAAGACGAGCGTGAGGAGATACCCGAACTTCTCGGTGCCCTCCAACTTGATCGGCAAGCGTGAGCTCTCGTGCTCCACTGCAAAGTCCTTGAGGTGGATGGCGTCCTAGAGATGGACAGATGGGGATGGATGCATGCATGCATGGATCATAAATCAGTGAATGTAGGAGCAGGCCTGCCCCTGGCCATGCCTTCCGGTGCGTGCGCGCACGTGCACCGTGGCCGGAAGGAGCGCGGGACAAGGGGCGCATTACCTCCGCGATGACGTCGTAGTAGTGGATGCAGCCCCGCTTGAGGATGAAATAGCGATTGCGCCACGGCGTGCGGTTGGTGGTGCTGTGGAGGATGGTCTGCTTGGCCAGCCATCCTTCCACCAGCGGCTTCGAGTCATCAACGTTCAGCACCGCCTCGCCACTCTCCAGCTCGGCCCTTTCGCCCTCGCACTCCCCTGCAACACACGACACACAGATAAGAAGCAGCAGTGTGTGCAGGTAGGCAGCTCTACTTAGGGGGGCTAGCCCACCAGCCACTACCAGCTGGCACAAATAACGTAATGTTGCCCCCTCCCCCTCCAGAAAGGAGGTCAAAAAGGGAGGGAGCATATGATGCACCTTCTATGTCGTCGCCCATGCGCCCAGAGGCAAGTTCCACAATCTGCTCCCACTCGTGGTTGCCAGCTATGGTACCTGGTCCCGTGCTCCTGCCACCACCACCACCACCACCAAGAGCGTGGGCCATCGCTTGTGGGAAGAAAAGATTGAGGGGAGGCCGAGTACTTGTAGAAATAAGTTGCGGGAAGCTGGCGGACTGCTTCTGGTAGAGATTTCTTGATGGACCCCCACCAATTCATGTTGGTTGTCGTTGCTCAAGCACGGCGGCTTGACTCTTGCGCGTTGGTGCAGCGAGGGGTGGTACAAGAAGCAGGCGCCTGCTTCCTCTTTTTCTTTTTCTTTTTGTGTCCAAAAAGAAAACAAAACTCACAAACAAAAACACACCTTGCGCCACGTCACTGCAAAGAGGCCTTGACGGTTTCGGAGCGCGGGTGTGGAGGAATGTGGAATGCGAGCGTGTTGGTCTCAGGGTCAGGCCTTGAGGCCCAGCAGGCCCAGCCTGTCGAGGGAGATGTAGAGGACAACGGACAGGAAGAAGAACACGCCAAACAGCACCAGCAGCATGTCGGTGCACTCCCGCCTCTTCAGTTTCGCGAGCAGGCCGTGCGCTGTGCGTACTGACGTCCCATAGGCCCGATGGTGGTGCAATGTCGCGTTGAGCGTATCCGAAGATTCCCCTGCACAAGCCACGTACGTCCCACCACAGGACCACGAACTCTGTTGGTGAAACGACGACTACGCCGACGCCGGGAGGGCGGGAGGGAGGGGAGGGCTGGGTACGAAGAGAGTGGATGGTCTCGGAGCCACGCAGCACTTCGTCGTACATCTTCTGTCGTGTCCGCCGCAGGGTCGAGGTGATGCTCTCCTGCGCCTTGGCGGCATCCTCGGCCGCTCTGTGCAGCAGCAGCAGCAACAAACCCATGAGACCGCCGCTGATGAGCTGGCGAGTCCCTTTTGTTGATTGACAAAAGACGGAAGGGAAAGGGAAAGGGAAGCGGCAGCGCACTTGTCTTTTCGCCGCCGGAGAGCTGCTTCGCCACCCTCGAGGAGCGCTGCCCGATCGGCGGCATGCCGTTTCTCCCGTGCTGCGCTGCACGCCATGTTGGCACGTCGGAGGGCGACATGCAGGCTGGAGGTTCACCAGGCGGTGCACGCGGCAACCACCCAGTACGCAAGAACGGATTACGAGCACGACACACACGACACACACGACACACACACGACACATGCGCACATATGAGCGAACACAGGAGGAAGAAACACGAGCCAGATGGCGTACTTGTTGTACTCGGTTTGGTGGGCCCTCAGCCATTCGAGGAGCGCAGCTGTGTCCCGTTCACTGTCCTGGCCCACCGCCGCCTGCTCCAAACTCTGCATTGCTCGTGAGCGTCAGGTGCACAACCTGCCCGCGACGAACATGTTTCAGAGGGAAGTGGGGGGGGGGTACTTTGAGACAGGCGTGGAGCTGCTTGAGTAGGGCTTTGGCGTCATGGTTCTGGCCGTTAATCTCCTGCAGGCTGGCCAGTGGCTCATTGTGTAGGTGTGTAATGTGCTCCTGGATCACGAACTCCAGGTTAACGATGGCGGCTTGTTCCTTTTCGAAACCCCTCCGCGCCATATCCAGCTATCTACTGCTGATGATGCGGGAATGGATGTCTTTTTTTTTTTTGTTTTTTATTGATTGAGTTTTTTGGGAGTTAACAAAAAAAGAAAAAGTTGCCACGTCACACGGTTCCGTAAAAGCTGACGTGGCTCTTCTTTTTTGCCGCCAAACAAGTTCCTCGATTTGCGGCCAGCGTTTTCTAATTTTTTTGTTTTCTAATTTTTAATATTTGGCGGGGAGGGAAAACACGTCGGTAATAAATAATGGCTCGTGGTGGGTGTGGTGATGTACAGCCGGCTGGTGGGACAGGCTCGAGGCGAGTGAGGGAAAGAGGAGGGGAGAGGGAGAGAGAGGAAGAGAGAAGAAAGGGAAGCCAGCCTGAGCACTGGGTGGGCCGCATGGGGGAGGGCAGGCTATCGCCGGGGCATGCCGCCGAACCGCGTTTCGCGCGCCCGATTTCAGCCTGCCGCCTGTCTGCCAGCTCTGCTCCCTCCTTCCGTTGGGCGACTCCAACCGCGCATTGCTCGGGACTAGTACTCGAGGATTGGCTCGCCCACCTTGGTAATGGGTTCTATCGTGCACTTGAGCTCAAACGCCTTGGCCAACACGATCTTGAATATCTTCTGCACATTGATCGACGAGTGAGCCGAACAGAAGATGAGAGGCGCTTTCATGGCCTTGGCAAACTTGCGCGCCTGTTGGTGCCACACGCACATGTGTGTGTGTGTGTGTGTGTTGTGTGTGTGATAGATGGAATGTCAGTCAGGTCGTCATCCTGGCCATTGACAGTGGAGCGCCCGGTGCACATTCCGCCACCACCACCGCCCGGGTTCGCGAAGAGGGGATCGAACCTGCTTGGTGATCTCCTCCTGCTCCTCCTGTTCCTTTTGCGCGAACAGGTCGTACTTGGTGCCGATGAGGAAGGGCCGGGCAGTCTTGGTGTGCTCGCGCACCTGGCGGAACCACTCCTTTACGGAGATGAGCGTCGACTTGCGTGTGAGATCAAACATGAACAGGATGGCCTCGGCATCTTCGCACACCAACGGCAGCATCGTGATGAACTCCCGGGAACCACCTGATGAGACCAAGGCCAAAAATAAATTAGAAGGCGCCGGGGGTCTTCTTCTTGAGAGAGGGAGAGTACCGAGATCCCAAATTGAAAAGCTGATCTCGTTCTTGCCGAGAGTGACAGTCTTTTCCATGAAGTTCACTCCCTGCCAGGCAACCGTTCGCATTCCACACATACAAATGTCAACATCATATAAGCACACAACCCCACAAGCTGCCTGGACATTCATTTGGGGGGGGGGTTACCAGGGTGCATATGTAGTCCTCATCGAATTTGTTTTCGACATACTTGACCATGAGAGAGGTCTTACCGACTTCACTGTCCCCTACCATGCCGACCTTGATGACCACCTCATTCTTTCCATCCTTGCCCTTCCGCTTGTACTTGTCGGCCATCTTGCACGTTGTGTTTGTTTGCTTCGGCTGGGGTAGGCTCGATCTTTTGGTTGTCGTCATTTTGGCCAAGGAGCGTCGACAAATTCTTCCTTTTTCTTGCATACTATTTACTTTGCATTTTTACGCCTACAAGTTTTCTTGACCGCCCAAGAACCGCTCAAACAAGCTGGCATGCCATAGTGAGTAAATAAACGGGCCGGCAGCCGGTTCGCTGTCCGGCCCAAGAGCCCGGCTTGCAGTTCAGCGGCCGGTACTTATGCGCGTACAATTTACAGTTATGTAATCACACAATTAGCAGACAATTTGTGTGGCGACACAAAAATGAAAGGTGGCGCCGAACTGGTGTGCGTCCCCAAAATGTGGGGGAGATTTAAAATAAATGCCGACATATCAAGAAAAGAATTTCCGAATCTGCCCGCACACCACTCTGCAAAATACCCAAGCACCCAAGACACACAGCACCACAGCACCACAGCGCTGCCGCACCCTGGTGAGAAGAAGAAGAGAGAGAGAGAGCAAAGAAACAAAGGTAGAATAAAGGAATATAGAGATGAACGAAACAAAGGTGTTGATGCTGCCCACGCCCCCTCATCACACAAGCAACGCAATGCGGAATCACAAGAGCGCGAGCTCTATAGGTGGGTCCAGCAGTAATCGCAGCCGTCTCCGCGCCAGTAACAGCAAGGAGACCAGCAACAACAGCAACCGAGCCTACCCCCTCAACTCGCTACCGCTACCGCCTCAACTCGCCGCAGAGTTGCAACAGCCCCCCTCCGACCACGATGAGTGCGAGCCGATGCTCCTCAGCTCCTCGTCGTCCTCTGTCGTCACCACCTCGGCGGCGGCGGCGGCGGGCAACGGCGCATACGAGGCGACGACCCTCTACTCGGACTACCCGCTCGACAAGGAGCAGCGCTGGCGGGAAGATCGGGAACGGCCGTCGGTACATATCGTGGGTCCGCTGCCCCACCAGTGCGCCGGACACGAGACCGTGTTTCGCACCACCGACGGCAAGATTTGCAAGCCGCTGGACGAGACCGAGTTCTGGTTCTACAAGATCTGCCTCCGCGAGTTCCCGCGCTACAAGCCCTTCGTGCCGGCCTGGCACGGCTGCGTGCTCCTCTCCCGCAAAAAGCTCCTCCTCCTCATCAACTCCCTCGCCGACGACGACGACGACGACTCTTCCTCCTCCTCGAGCGGCGACGACGAGCCCATGGAGCTTCAGGCAGGCGGCGGCGTCTTCGACCACCACCACCACCACCACCACCTGGTCGACACCCTCCGCCCACCGGTGCCTCGCGTCGGCTCGCCCGCCTCCCCCGGCACTTGGAGCCTCCTGCTCTCCGAGGAGTTCCGCCTCAAGCTCGAACTCGATGACATGCCCTCGTCGGCCCCTTCCCGGAGTGGCCCACGCATCTATCGTACGCTCAACTCCCTCCCCACCACTCCCCACCTCCTCTCCGCCAGCGTTCTTCTTGCATGCACCTCTCTTGGCTCTCTCACACACGACACGACACGACGCACACGACACAACCTCGCAATCTTGTATCGGTCATGTTGTAGCCTACATCGTTTTGGAAGACCTCACCGCGGGCTACGACTTCCCCTGCACTCTTGGTACCTTCCACTTCCATCTGTGTGCTTGCTTGGCCCAGCCGATCAGGGATGATGCATCGGCGCTGGACCACCACCAGCCACCAGCCACCACCTCATTTCTGACATCGCTGTTCTCTCTTCTCCGCATCACATCTGGCCAGACATCAAGATGGGCACGAAGGATCTGCACCACCAGATCAGCACCTCCACTACGCTGGGCCTTCGCATCATGGGGATGCAGGTGCGTAAAGTGCACTTTTGCCCCCCCCCGCGCCTTTATCCGGCGGCACGTGCCGTCCAACAAAATCCGCAAACAATCGCCCGAATACGTGTGCTCATGAATGGATGGCCCTCTCCCCTTCCCTCCCCTTCCCTCCCCCGCAACAACAGGTGTATGAGCCGGCCGCGCACACCTATCGCCAATTCGACAAGATCCAGGGAAGGCAGCTGGTCAACGAGACGGTGCCGTACCAGCTGGCACAGTTTGTCACGCAGACGATAGACGGCGTGCCGGTGCTACGGTGTGAAGTGCTTCGAGTGTTTATCGAGAAGCTCAAGGCCCTGCTGGCCGTCCTGCGTCAGGAGACCACCGTCCAGATCCAGAACAGCTCCATACTGCTCATCTACGAAGGTCGGGTGCGCCCCTCGGGCGCGATGCTCCCAGCCAAGGCCGACGTGCGGATGATCGACTTCCAGCACGTCCAACTCTCCAGCCCCAACCCCGAACTGCGCTCCCCCACCGTGCTCTCCCCTCCTACAACCCGCCGCAGGCGAGGCTCCGTCTCCTCTTCCTCCTCGTCCTCGTCAGCGGCATCGTCATCGTCCTCCTCCGGCGACGAAGACAGCATCGGCGACGACTCCGAGGATGGGGTTGGCGGCTCTCGGCCCGAGTCCGACGCGGAGGGTCTCGTGTGGGGCTTCTCCAACCTCATCTCGCTCCTCGAGGCCGCTCTCTCTCGCGCCTCGTCCTCCTAACCCGCCGCCGCCGCCGCCGCCGCCACAGCAGTGGGGGTGTACATACTTACATACCTCTGCCTCCTCCTTGACCCCCGCTCTACAAATCGTGTACTTCCCCGCCACCAACAAAGTTGGCCGTGGCCCCACTCCTGACAGACAGGCCGCGAACAGCTCATGATGCTGTTCCCCCCCTCCCTCCCTTTTTCCTTCCTTCTCAGTTGTTGCCGACACGTTCACTTGTTGCGTGCAGATCATGAACTGTTGGCGATTCGCCGCGTACCCCAACTGCGCCCTGTCGTTTGTCTTTTGGCGGAATTTCGACGCTACCACGGCCATTACTATTTATCACAGCTGCAGTCCTGCGGGACTGTACTCACACGTAACTACCACCTAGTGCCTACTGCCTACCACTACCGCAGATCCCTACGATTGGAATGGCGAGAGCAGGCACCTTTGTCGTTCAGACGTTGGAGGAGGAAACCGTGGTGGGCACGGGCTACGCGGGCGTTCGCCCTCGCGACTACGCGGAGGGCGGGCGCACCTCCCTCGAGCGCTTCTTCAAGTCCGTCCCGCTCCTCTCCTTGGCCCGCCCACACCCCACGGTCTTCGTGCTCCGCGTCACCGACACTCTCCCGCACGCCCTCGCCGTACGTGCATTAAATACATTTTTCCTCTTTTTCCTCTTTTCCCTTTTTCCCTTTTCGCCTTCGATCGAGGGGATCTCTGTCGCGACCACCTGCGCGCTCACGCACCCCCCCCCCAATAGGTCTTGGGCGAGCATGGGTTCCTCTCGACTCCCGTCTTGAACCAGGCAAACGCAACGGTGCGTGTCGTTCGCTCCCCCCCCCGGCACCCAGATCTCTTGAACACGGCCACCAGCCACCGCCAGCCACCACCACCACAGCAGCAGCTGATGATGCGGATGATCGGTCGTGGCAGGTGGGCATGGTGAGCGTCAATGATTTGGCGTCGGCCCTGGTCGTCATGGCAGACGTAGTGGCCACGGAGGCCACCGGGCCAGGTACGGCTGGCCCAGGAGAAGGAGAGGCAGGCACGATTGAGGGACTGACAGGTTCCCCTCAGATGGCGACGCGGCGGTGCAGCAGCGGCTGCGGGAGATGTGGGCGGCGCACACGGTGGGCCAGGTCTTGGACATCTCCGGCCGCTCGCCATTCGTCCCACTTCCCCACACCGCATCCGTCTGGTCCGTGGGCACAACCTCCCTCCCGCGGCCGCGAACAAGTGGTTTGCTGGTGGCTGGTGGCTGGTGGCTGGTGGTGTACAGACCAGGGCCTGTATTGACCATTGCCTGCCTCGTGGTGGGTGGGTGGGTGGGTGGGATATCGATATCCCAGGGATGCGTTGGAGAGGCTGGGCCGGGACGGGGCGCATAGCGTGGTGGTGATGAAGGAGGACGGGTCGGGTCCGGAGGCCCTCTACTCGCAGGCAGCAGTGCTGGCCTACCTGTTCCATCACCTGCCCCACTTCCGCGTGATTGCGCGCAAGATGGTGCAGCAGGTGGGCAACTTCTCGCAGCAGGTGGGCGCACACAAGCCACTGCACGTCGCCGAAGATGCCCCGCTCCTCGAGGCCTTCCGCCTCTTACGCGATCAGGTATGGACCCCCCCCCACCACCACCACCCCCACTCGGTTTCCTCACTCGGCCGGAACCCCAACTCCACCACCTGCTGATGTGGCCCGCCCTGATTGGCGTTGACGTTGGCGTTGGCAGGCGGTGACGGGGGTGATGGTGCTGAGCCACGGGCGAAAGCTTATTGGAGTGATCAGCGCCACGGACGTGCGTATGCTGGGCGCTCACATGGAGCGTGGTGATCGCCTCTTCTCCTCCGCCGGGGCCTTCGTGCACAAGGTGCAGAAGCAGAATCCGCTGGTGCGCACCTCCATCCTTTCTCTCTCTTTCTCTCGGGAGCAAGCCACTGACCTCTCTGCCTGGCGGCATGTGTGCGTGCGTGCGTGCGTGCGTGCGGCAGCTGTTGAGCAAGGTCGTCAGCTGCACCCCCGTGGACACGGTGGGCATGGTCATGGAAAAGATGCTCGACAACGCCGTGCACCGAGTTTTTGTCGTGCGCACGCACCACGGTATCGCCACCCGCGCTTTGCGATCTCTCTGCCTCTGCGCTGCGTTTGGTGTGGCGATTCTCGTCTCTGACCATCCCTCCCGCAATATAGGCATGGAGGAGGAAGTGCCCCTTGACGTGTTGGCCATGCGCGACATCCTCCTCCTGTTTCAGCCCGAGGCCTGAGTCACACCACTCCAGCACCACCACCACCACCACCAGCGGCACCACCAGCACCAGCACCACGATATACATTCATCCATTCATGCTTGCCCCTCTCTACACCTTTCCTCCTCCGCCTCCTCCTTTTGCCCCAACGGGAGGTTCTAGGGAGGACCCGCCGCCGCCGCCGCCTTCATCAGCCGGTCTTGGGTTCTGCCGCCGGGTCGTCCCGTGGTACCACCGCTGCAGCGGCGGCGGAAGGGGCCGCCATCAGAGGTGTCGGCGTGGGTGCAACTGCCGATAGAGAGGGCGTGGCGGCGGTGTGGCCTAAGCAGCACGTGACGGCCGCGAGCGTCTCGGCGAACTCCAGCGCGAGTGCGCCCTGGCCGAGGGCGGGGCTCTGGCGGAGGAACTTGGCGCAGGCGTCAAAGTTGTATCGCTCGCGTGTGAAGAGCAGCGTGGCGCGCTCCTTGGCCGCTGAAGAAGAAGAGGTGTCGCCCCGCGAGGGGTCGTCAGCGGCGGGGCCAGGCTGCTGGACCAGCAGGGCGCGGCAGGTGCTCAGCTGGCCCAGGAAGTACCGCACGAAGCGCTCCCGCAGGGCCTCCACGACGTGGGCGTCGGCGGCGAGGGCCTTGTGCAGGGCGTGGCTGCGGACGAGATCGTTCATGTGGTAGCGCCCAGTCGCCAGGTCAAAGTCCAGCAGCGAATACTCCAGCAGCACCCCCAATATGTCCTCCGCTTCCTCGTACGTCTGCAAGTGTGTGTGTCGTGTGTGTCGTGTGTGTCGTGTGTGTCGTGTGTGTCGTGTGTGTCGTGTGTGTCGTGTGTGTCGTGTGTGTAGCCACCCCAACCAACCAACCACCCCCGACCACCCAACAAAGAATAAGAAAAATTGCGGCCACGTCACGCCCCGTTGCCTGGGGGCATACCTTGTCCAGGAGGGCCGTAGCGGCACAGCCGTCGAAGGTGGCCGGGAAGAGGCAAAGGGAGCGCATCGCGTCGTAGACTTCGGGCGGATACTCCTCGTCGGCTACGCCCAGCGAGCTCTCCAGCATCGCCATCAGCTGCACGTCGTTGCTGTAGGTGTGTGTGTGGAAAAAGATATAAGCCAAGGCATTCGAGTGGCGCGTGGTTGGTTTGGTTGGTTTGGTTGGTTGCTGAGGGACCGGTGGTGGCTGGTGGTGGCTGGTGGTGGCTGGTGGTGGCTGGTGGTGGCTGGTGGTGGCTGGTGGTGGCTGGTGGTGGCTGGTGGTGGCTGGTGGTGGCTGGTGGTGGCTGGTGGTGGCTGGTGGTGGCTGGTGGTGGCTGGTGGTGGTGGTGGTGGCTGGTGGAGGTGCGGAGGAGGAAAGGAAGGGGGGGGGTGGCTTTTCGAGTTTCTTGATCATGGCGGCGATGGTGAGGTTGGGCTTCCGCCGGAGGACACCGCCGATGAGGCGAATGGGCAGCGGCAGGTCTCCACACAGCCGCGCCAGCTCGCGCGCCTCGTCGGCAGACGCGTGGGGCAGCAGGCTCTGCACCAGCTGCGCGGCGTCGCCAGGCGTCATGGCACTCAGCTTCACCGACAGCGTTGTCTCTGTTCCAGTGTACCGGGTGCGGCCCGTCAGCACAACACATGACACACACACGACACCTAACAAGAGACAGCTTCGGTGGGGTGTCGTGTCGTGTGTGGGTGTCGTGTGTGGGTGTCGTTGGTCGTGTGGAGGGTCATAGTCAGTACCGGTGCCGAGGGCGATGTCAAGGGAGAGGTCCTTGCGCGAGGTGGCGACGGCGAGGCAGGACTTGGAGGTGACGGGCAGGAGGGGCGTGATCTGCTCCACCGAGCCCACGTTCTCGATCAGCAGCATGCACTGCCGTCCCTTGAAGCACGACTCGTAGATCCCTATTTATAAACAAACATATTGGGTATTTTGGATATAAACAAAAATAGAGACGTGCGGGGGGCCACCACCAGCAAGTCGCAGCAGCAGCAGCCAATGACGAATGAGGCAACACGAGATAAACTGGAGGAGGGGATTGGAGGTGAATGGGGAGGAGGAGGAGGAGGAGGGGACGTGTTACCGCGGATGGCGGGCAGGTTGTCAAGGGGGAGGGTCAGGGTCGGGTGTACGGAGCGGATGACGCCCACCATGGCGTCGGTGAGGGAGATGTAGCCCGACGCCGACGCCACGCCCTTCATGTTGATCTGGAAGTGGAAGTCCGGATACCGCTCCGCAAACTCCGCCATCTGATCACACACACACACACACGACACACAGCACCAGCCACCACCGGAGGAGGGGGGAGGGATCGTTCGTTAGCCGGCGGTGCTGGTGATGGCTGATCCCTCGCATGACGACGACAACGATGATTGGGGGCGTGGTACCAGACGCCGAGCGAGGGCGGATTTACCCACCACGGGGAGACCTGTGCGTCATCATCGTCATCAGCATCATCGTCACCATCATCATCCATCATCATCATTCATCATCATCATCCCCACCAGCCACCAGCCACCACCGGCACCACCAGGCAGCCGCCAACCGCCGCCGCCGCCGCGGGTGTGAAAAGAGGTGCCGACTCGAGCCGGGGGAGGGTGGGGCACCGTAGAGGAGGATGACGAGGTTGGTAGCGCGGGGCTTGCCGTGCCGCGGGTGGTTGGCGTCCACGAACTCGGTGATCTGCTGCAGCTCCCGCTCCCGCCCCACAAAGTCGTTGGGCGACGAAGGCGATGCCACCATCCCCGCCGCCGCCGCCGCCGCCGCCGCAGCAGCAGCGGTGGCCTCTACTCCCTCAGATGCTGGCCCTGCACACGCAAAGCCACCAGCAGCCCAGCACCAGCACCAGACGTCAACACCACCGCCACCGCCACCGCCACCGCCGCCAGCAGCCACCAGCTACCGCCGCCGCCGCCGGGTGGGGATAGGAGGGCAGGCCTAGGGCGACCTCTACTCTGTGGGAGGGGCCTACGTACCACCGGCGGACTCGGCGGCAGCAGCAGCCACCACCGGGGGTGCGGGACCGGCTCCGTCTCCAGATGGCGCCGCGGGAGGAGTGGTAGCGGCGGCGGCGGTCGAGGCAGCGTCGGGGGCAGTGGGGTCGGGAGTGCCGGTGGGCGGTGGGCGGGAGACGAAGACGGGTGGTCCGCGTTTGGGCTCCTCCTGGGAGCGGCGGGCGGGTAGGATGGGTCGCCCCATGCGCTTCCTCTCGTCCACCATCGACCCGTCCATCTTGTACACACTCCCTGCTCCAAGCCCACCACCCACCACCCACCACCCACCACCAGCCGCCACCCACCACCAGCCACCCAGCAGAGGGAGGCGTCAATTCCCTCCAGCAGCAGCAGCAGCAGCAGCAGCAGAAGCAGCAGCAGCACGCCCACGATGGTGGCTGCTGCTGGTGGCTTGTGATTTGGGGAGGGGGGGGGCGGTTGCGTACCGGCGCGCCGGATGTAGGCCGACTGGTGCGAAGTAAAGTAGACGGGCGCACGTCCCCGCTCCACGACGACCTCCACCACAAAGCGCAGGCCGCACGGGCGCACAGGCGCCGCTGCCGCCGCGCTGGTGCTGGCGGCGGCGGCGGCGGGTCCGTCGCACACCCGCACCTTCAGGAAGTTGACGCGCAGCAGGTAGGGATCCACCTGCGGCTTGAACGCTGGCCGGCCCATTGGCATGGCCGAGAGGGGCGGTGGTGAGTGCGGAGGCCACCATCATCGTCGTCGTCTTCGGTGGTGGTGGTGGCTGGTGGCTGGTGGCTGGTGGTGGCTGGTGGCGTGGCGTGGCGTGGGCGGTAGTGGCAAGGGTACCGCTGACGATGGTGTCGATGCGGAGGCGCAGGTGGTCGCGCTGCTTGCGGTTGAGCGGTACGCCCAGCACCCGGCCGTCATCGTCGATGCCAAAGTATAGGGTGCCCCCGTCGCTGTTCAGGAACGCGTTCACGTAGTGCTGCACACGCACCCACCCCCCGCACGCCACGCACGAGAGGCCAACGAACCAACGAACGAACGAACGGACGGACGGACGGACGAACGAACGGACGGACGGACGGACGAACGAGAGGACAAGAGCTAAGGTATGTCGCCTCCTCTTCCCGGGGGGGCGGTGTGACCGTACCTCGCAATAGAGAGCGATCCGCTCGAGCGGGTGCTGGGAGTTCTGCACCGCCTTGAACTCGTGCTCTCCATCTATATCCCCCCCAATCACACGATACATACGACACACACGACACACACACACACACACACGACACACACCCACCACGCACGCACACACGTACACACCAGCACGCACGGGCCGTTGTGGTTGGTTTGCTGTGTGCAGCAACGGACATCGCGGTGGGGGGCGTCATGGGGGTGGGGGGGGGTGGAGGTGGAGGTAGGGGCCAACCTTCTTCGAGGGAGCACTGCTGGCCGTAGTCGAACTCGGGCCGGGGAGGACCTGCAGCGGGCTGCTGCTGCTGCTCCGGGGCGTCGGGCGAGGCGCCCTCGTCCTCATCGACCACGACCACGCGCTGGCCATCGGCCAACGTGGCCACCCGGCAGCCCGCCTCCGGCTTGCCCACGCCGCTGGGCGACCACGGGCGGCTCCGACCACCTGCCTGACCGCCGCCTGCATCGGCCTCGACCTCTTCGTCATCATCATCGTCGTCGTCGTCGTAGTCGTAGTCTTGGCCGTCGTCGTCGGAGGCGGCGCCGTAGTCCTCCAGGTGGGCGAAGGAGGGTCCGCCGCCGCTCCACAGCTGGCCACGAGCCGCCCGTGGTCGGCCATTTGGCTGCTGCGGCGGCGGCTGCTGGTGGTGGTCAGATGGACCCGGAGAGGGGCTGGGGCTGACCTGCCGCCCGCGCCTCTTGAAGCCGCCACGCTGCTGGTGCTGCTTCTTGTCCTTCTTGGCGGGGGCGCCGCCGGTGCCGTGGACCGGTGGGCTGCCCACAGCGGGCTCTTGTTCGTCGTGATCGTCGCGGCTGTTTCTCCTCTTGCCCGCCCACCTGGACTCGTCGTCGTCCTGCCCCTCGAACCAGGACCCCCGCCGGGGCCGGCGAGGTCCCCGCTGTCCATACCCACCACCACGCTGTTCCATCTTATGTTCTTCTTTTAAACTACCAAAAAAGAATTTTTGCCGCAGAGTTAAAAGGGCATTTTATTTATCTGATTGTCGCTACCGAAAATTGCCTTAGAAAGCAGGGAAGTTTCCGCTGGATGCGTCCCGGAATAATGTAAAGAATTTTGTCTGCATTCCTGGAATGGCTTTTTCTTTTTCTTCTCGTTCTTTAGGTTTTTCCTGAAAAAGGACGAACGAGCCACCCAGTGGAGGATGCAAGGGAAGCATACAATTGAATCTAGTCAGGGTACTGTCCCCCACCTTACAATAAAGGCTACAAGCAGTCTTCAACCACTCACTGAAGTCCCCATACTTCTAGTTGATCTACTGGTTATCAACCTCCTCAAATCTCACCTCCCCTGGCTATGGATAGCTGATATCCATCCACCCAAGGCCCCAGTCCCTCGCCTTGTATGCTGTACACATCTAATCATGCACCCCTTCCTCTGATTACCACAATTTTCTTGGAAATTTATGTCTCTATCTCCAGCCCCCCACATCACAAAATGCACAATAAATCTCCATGGCTCCTACCTCCAAAGTTCCCACCTCTACTCTTCAGACTCACTCCAACTTACCTAGCTTTACCATCCCCACCCCACCAAGTCAGCTCACCCCCCACCCCCAGCTTTTATGTCAAGAGATCCTCCTCACATCCACACCATGGTGTCTACCATCCTCTTGCCCTTACACCCTCCCCCCCAACCACACACACACACGCCATCCCCCCCGCCTGGCTGCAAGCTTCAAGAGCCCACAGGCCCTGGAGTCACCCAGCCTGCTGTGCAAAGACCCACCCACTACATCCCAATAAAACCAAAGCCACCACCTTCACACTACCAGCCTTCACCCCCTCCTACCCCACTATCCCATGTTTCCCCAGCAGCAGGCTCCCCAGCCCCACCACTAACACCACCCTGTACCTACACAATTCCCCCTTCTGCACACAGGCATGCCACAAGCAACCCTGCCAGTGTGCCCAGCCAATGGGAACAGCAGTCTCCCTCTGGTGGATTATTGGGTGGAACCCAACCAACACTGGTGCAGGAAATGTACTCCCCCAGCCAGATCCTGTGCTCTGTAGACTCCCTATCCCTGCTTTGATTCTCATTGGGCGAAACACTAGACCAATAGCATCCTTCCTGGCCTCCTCTTATACCAGGCTCCTGGCCCACTTCTTTCTCTCATCCAACCCCACTCCCACCTACCCTGCTCCCTCCCTCATGGACAGTCCACTCAATATCAAGTGCAAGAGGGTTAGCCCTGATGATCACCCTAGCCGCCAGGTCATCAGCAACAAGGAAGAAGCAGAGGACATAGAGGAGTTCAGTGGCAACTCAGATAATGACAACAGAGACGGCCATGACAACCTGGCTGACAGGGACACCATCCTCATCAGTGAACTCTGCCCTGAGGAGTACACTGACGCAGTGTCAAGGCTGCAGGCCATTGGTATTGCTGTTGTTCAGGATGACCTGCCATATAGCATGCCCATGGCTACCATGGCCCTTGACATTCCTGCACATGAGGTTGAGGAAGTCGCCCTCCTTCTTGCTGTGAAGTGGACAGTGCCAGGGAGGGTCTCCATTGGTTGCTTCTTACTGACCAGCAACCAGATCAAGTTAGCTGTGTGGGTGGCCAACAAGAGCAATGTCGCCATGGTCACTGCTGATGTGCTGGCCACACACGCCCTCTGCCATGGCATTGAATTTGACCACTGCCTCGTGGCTGTCTCCATGGTCGTCCCTGGGACCTGGACCCTCACACTTGAAGACCCTGACCTGGCCAACCAGCTGTGCTCCCTGTACAAGGTTGTGCTGTTCAGTAAGGAGCTGAGCATCAGCCCCTGGAAAGAGAGCTTCAGGCAGGCTGAGCATTGGGCCTATGTCTCAGGCATTGCCAAGACCACCTCCAGGAGAGGAGTAATTGAGTTCTTCTGCCTGAAGTGTGGAGAGGTGACTGATCACCACTTTGGGAAGCTACCTGATGGCAGAATGGCTCTGTGGATCACCATCCAGTTCAAAATGGCTAATGGCCTGACCAAGGCCCTCCAATTTGACAGTACACCACCCCCCCTCCCCTTCCCCCAGCTGCCCCACACAACTACCCACACTCACATCCCCACACAGACTGCAAATGCTTCAACAGCAAATACATATCCATCACAGGCTAGAACTGAAGAGGAGTGCAAGGTGGATCTCAAGTGCCAAGTTGGCTCAGAGACCAGGCAGGCTGCTAGAGCTGCTGCCCAGCAAGCCTGCCAACAGTGCCAGGCCACCAAGAGAGCCAGCAACGCTGCTGCTATGGCAGAGTACATGCAGAACGCCCTCCTCCTGGCCCAGAACTTCCCCAGGCGTACCTGACAAGGCCCCTGGGCTGTGTGGCTGCCCCATCACTCTGGCCACCAATGCTGGCCACTCCCAAGCTGCCCCTCCCCTCCTTCGTGGCACCTATTGGACTCTCCTTGTTCTTCTTGTATTCCTACAGTTCACTTCAGTGGCAGCAGACACCCACTGTGAGACCCCCCAATACACCACCAGTTGATGCCCACCCCCACCTCAACATTGCCTTCCACTGGTCTGAAATACAAGGGTACACCCTTGCACTGCCACCTGTTATCTGGAGACGTAAAAAACGGCGTGTGCACTCCCAGTCTAGTCCACCTCTTGCCACTCCACACAGCAAATTACCCCTTGCGCCCCTTATTGCCCTGCTCCTCACCCTCATGATTAGTGGTGTGGAGGGTCACAATGGTAACTTGGTGGATGTGGACTACTCACCCACTGAGCTGATCTCTCCTGTTGACAACTGGCACATAGTCCTTGTACAGGAAACAGGCGTAGTCACAGGCACCCACCCATGCCCTGAGGCAGCTCTCACTGCTACCCTCAGCCACCACATCTCATTTAACTCTCCACCTCAAGAACGCCTACACAAAAAACAATACCAAGAGAAGGTCCAGAGCCTCACTGCACTCCTATCAAGTGGAGCTATAGACAATCTGCAGTTCCACACCAAATGTGAGGCGGCCAAGGGAGCCCAAGACTTCCCCTCAGGTGGGCTGGCCATAATGGTGCACCACTGTGTGTCACACTTCACCCAAATTAACCAGACCTTCTGCTGCGACCCTTTGGGGGGCCTTGTGCTGTGCCACAGAACCATGGCCCTCTCTGCATCAGTCAATGGCAAGCTTACATGCTTTCTGAATGTGTACACCCCAGCTGATGGTTATCAGGTGGTCAGCAATTGGATTAACCTCGTCCTTGCCCCCATGCTCTATGAGGTCCGCCAGCATGGATGGGACATAGTGGCAGGGGGGGACTATAACACCACTCCCACCCCCCTTGATCAAGGCAACCCCAGGCGACACCAGATCTGCCCAGGCCTGTCCTCCCTCCTCGCCACCGCCAGTGGCCTCACCAACGCCTACCACCACCTCCATCCCACCTGGCCTGAATTCAGCTGGCACAGACTCACCAAAAACATGTCCTCCTCCCAAAGCTCGCCCCTCACTTCCCTTCCACTGACATGCTTGAACCAACTGCTATGCTTCCTACCACCTGTAGACGCCCACCACTTCCTCAGCTTGTGCTGAGCCCTGCACAACAAAACTGTATAGATCTGATCCTGGTCACCAACCCCACCTCCATGCAAGACGTGGACATTAACTGGAACACTGTGCTAGACTTGGACCATGCCCCAGTCTCTGTCTCCATAACCCTGGAACAGGGCCAGACCAGCCCCCTCTGCCTGTCCTCCATTCAGCCACCAGGGTCTATGCCACTGCTAAGCTCAGCTCCCCTGCCACCAAAGCCAAGTTTCAAAACATGCTCAGTAGCTATGTGGGCAAACCTGCTGGAACAGGAAGCTCCCCTCTTGTGGAAGCATATGCAGCACTCACATTCACCAGTCACAGCGCCCTCTGACACAGTGGCAAGGCTGGGGATAGTGAAGCAGTGGGTGTTGCCTGCTGCTATGCACACAAAAGCATCAAAATAGCCAATTATGTGACTGCGTGCCTTGCAAGTGGCCTGCCAGCCACAATCACTCTCTGCATGCGCCAGTTGGCGTGTGGACCAGAGTGGGCTTGATGCAAACTCCCCACCAGCACCTCCCATGCATGCCTATCCACATACCTCACTGCAATAAATAGCGTCAAAAAAAGGCTGGGCAAGCAACTCAATATGGAATGGTGTAAATGCTTCTCTGACAACACTGACCACATGATTGCCAATGCCACCCTCTCCTCCCCTAAAGACCTGTCTAACTTCTGGCATAAGCTCAGAAATGTCAAACCAATCAGGCCTACTACTAAAGTGACAGCCATGGTGGATGGCCAGACCTGCTCATTCTGCAATGTTGTCTGTGACTTTTGGGCCAATCAGTATGCCTCCACGTCTGTGAAAAGCCCTGGTTTCAAACCCAGCCCCTGGTCATCCCTGACAAAGCCACTGTCGCCCTCACCACAGACATCTCAATGACCAAGTACCTGGCTGCACTATCCTCTGCTAAGTTGGGAGCGCCAAGCACTGACGGCATTGATGCTGCCATGCTCAAGGCTGCTAACGGCGACATCCACCAACACATGCTGGAGGGTATGAACAAAATCCTCATGCCAGGAGCGGAGGTCCCCAAAGAGTGGCGCAAGGCCAGAATCGTGCTCATCCCTAAAGACGGTTCCCCCACAAACCCCGCCAACTATAGGCCCATCTCTCTGTTGCAAACCTCATACAAAATCTTCACCAAGATCATCACTAACCGCCTCTCAAGTGTGGCCAACCAGTTCATCCTAACAAACTCCCAGCTAGGATTCTGTACTGGCATGTCAGCCCAGTCAGCCCTGCGCGTCATGGTAGACATTATTGAAGATTCTAATAGACACAACAGCGAGCTCCAGGTAGCGTTTATTGACTTCAAAAAAGTGTTTGATTCGGTTCATCACAAAGCCCTCCTGGAATCCCTGGATTATTATGGGCTGGGCGCACGCCTGATCGACCTCATCAGCCGGCTGTACAATAACTGCAAATCAGACATGTTTCTGAACCACAGCACCAGTAGCACTTTCCCTATCAACCGAGGGGTCCGCCAAGGCGACACTCTGTCGCCCCTTCTCTTCATCCTCATCCTTAACCCACTGCTCAAGTGGATCAAGAGGGGCGAATCCGGCCACCAATTCCCAAACGGTCTCACCATCCTGGTAGTGGCTTATTGTGACGATGTCGCTCTAGTCGGGCGTAAGGCCGAAGATCTGGAGGAATCGACCCGCAAGTTGGCCCTGTTCAGTGCTTGGGCTGGCCTGGAGGTCAACCCCAGTAAATCCGCGCACACGTGCTCCCGGGCCAGCAGACCTGCCGTCCTGCGCGTGCCTGACACAACAAGCGCCACGGGGTCCACCACCATCCCCCTTGTTGCCCAACCCGCCAACTACAGGTACATGGGCGTGGCGCTCAACCTTGACCTCAATTGGGCCGCCCAAATGGCACAAACAAAGAACCGGGTCACCAAATACCTTGGCCTCATCACTCACCAGCGCTTATCCACCGACAACCGGATCTACATTAGCAATGTAGCCATCAATGCCCTCGTTGGGTACAGTATGTGCGTTGTGCAATACCCGCAAAGCTGGCTCTCTAGTGTGCAGCGGTCCATCATCACAGCACTCAAGCGATCCACGCGCATTCCTGCGAACATGGACGAAGAGCCTTTCCTAATGGCCCCCGATGAGGGCGGCCGGGGACTCATCAGCCTCATCGACCTTCAAAATGCCATCCTGTGCGCCCGCACTGCCCAAGAGCTTGCCTCGCAGGCTCTCAGCTCCCGCACCATCCACGCAACCTGGTACCACGCCTTTGTGTACAACAACAGCCACATAGGCCGTTGGACCACAGCCATCAGGGAGATGGGTTGGCAGGCCTGGCCCAGAACAAGCGACCTGGACTGGGTGGGCCACTTTGTCGCCGACCCCGCCCTTGCCCACGCACTGGTCAGCAAGGGCATTTTCAGTCCAGGTCGCTTGTTCTGGGCCAGGCCTGCCAACCCATCTGCGTGGCCACGGATTCCAAAGCCAGCATCGACGCCATCTCTAACTGGCACACGTGGAAACCTGGAAGGCGCTCCAAGCAGGAGGGACGTGGTGCCATTGAGCACATCACCACACTTGTAGAACAGCTCCACTGCAGTGGGCGCTCCGTCAGGTTCCAACATATATACAGCCACGTTAGCTGTAAACTCAGCGCAGCCACTGCCCTAGGGGAGGCTGAAAGGTTCCAAGCCAAATTGCAAGTCCTCAAAAGCGAGCTGTGGGGACCCTTCCAGCCGTGGGTAGAAGGCAACGAGGGCGCCGACCGGCTGGCAGGACTGGGCCACTCCAAGCCGTACGCTGTGGAACCGTGGACAGTGCCGGCGCTCGCGGACGCCGTCACCATCTTTGACAGCGACGGTCATGTCATCGAGGGTAACTTGAGCCGCAAAGCGATAGCACTCAGGTCTAAAAGCTGGACCCTAGCTATGCGCCGGAAGCCAGTACGGGGGGCGGTCCTCCGTGACACGCACACTGATAGAGCCGCTACCCACTCCGCCCTAGATGGCAGCCGCGACCCCATCACAAGGAGCATGGGCAACTTCCTGCACAAGGCCCGATACGGCGCACTGCCGCTTAAGCACACTAGACACCGACTGTACTGGGGCAAAGCAGAGGACGGATCCAGGGTAGCCAGATCCCCACCGACCAACACGCGATCGGACAGAAAGAGGCTCACCAAGTGGATGGCTCGACAAATACAGTTCGGCGACCAGACATGCCATCTCTGCGCTGCGGGGGCCAAGGAGACCACCGCCCACGTCCTGGGCGGAGAGTGCAGCCTGCATGACCCCAACGACCTCATCACCGGCCACAAGGTCAGAGACCTCATCCGTGCGCAGGCCTCCTCCCACTCAGCGTACGTGGACCACATCCCGCTCTGGTTTCCCCACGGGAGCGCACCCGACAGCCCCTTCCTGCTCACCATGGATACGTTCTCCAACCTGATCGTATAACAAGCTCATGGGCGGGCTAGGGTATGTACCGTCAGACCTCCACAAGGCCCTAGGGTACTTCGGAATAGCCAACCGGGGCGCCCTCATCAGAGACATCGCGGCCTGCGTCGCCAAAGCCGCCTACGACAAGTGGAGACGCAGGTGCAACGAACTGGTCGCTAGCAACTCCTGGAAGGCGGCGAACGAACAAGCGGAAACTCTAGTTAGCGCTGGCATTGGATAAGCAAATACCCCTCCGGGCGCTTCTCCGCCCCCCGACGTGAGAAGGGAGGTCCGCCTCTAGACTCGCCTAGCGCGAGCCCTTCTCGTCGACAATTACAAACAAACAAACAACTTTAGGTTTTTCCTTTTCTCTTTTTTTTTAACTTGGCCGGAATGGACCGCGACGAACAACCCCCTGCTGCTCCCGTTGAAACGGCCGACTCCACGACAGAAGCTCCCCCGTCCGACAAGCGCAAGACGTGGCTCAAGAGCCCTGCCTTCGTGTCCAGGTACTCCCCCCCTCACTCTACTTTTTTTCTATTGTTTTTATTTATTTGATTTGTTTTACTGCTTGCAGTTAGTTTGGTTCGTTCTGTCTGTGCTGATGTGTGACGTGTGCCGTGGCCACCACGGCTCAGTTCGCAGTTGCTGGAACTGCTGAAGGGCGACGCGGACGCGGACGATGGCGCCGACAAGGCCAAGGAGGAGGAGCAGGAGGAGCTGCAGGTGGGGGACCTCCTCTCCGGCGGAGTAGCACAGAAGGCGGCCGCCGCCACCACAGGCCAGGGCGAGACGACGGAGAGCAGCACCGGAACGGCGCCCACCGAGAGGGGCGCCGACGTGGACCCCTTTGAAGCCCCTCTTCGCGCGGTAAGGGCCACACACTCACCAACCAACAAGTCTGTTCGTGTTGTGTGTTGCGTGTGTTGCGTGTTGTGTTGTAGTGTGTGTTGTGTTGTGTTGTGTTGTGTCTGACGCGAGGAGGCGGCGGCAGGAGGTGGAGGATCCGTTCCTGCCGGAGGCCGATCCCGTGGGCGAGGAGGAGGACGACGAGGACATCTTTCTCTCGCAGACCGAGGAGGAAACCAAGCGCGAGGCCGCCATCGAAGCTGCGGTCATCCGGTACTGGACTGCTCCTCCACGCGGCCTGCCGGTGCTGCTGCTCAACCCCTTGTCTGCGCACAGCTGACCTCGGTCGTTGCGCAGGGAGGTCTTCGGCGCGCCTGACCTCAAGTCTCTCTTCGCTGCTGTCACAACGACCAACCCACCGAGCGGAGATGCTGGCGATGACGACAACGACGACGATCATAGCGGCGCCAGCGAAGAAGTGTCTGCGGTCGCAAAGAAAAGAAAGAGATTCGACGAGGACGACGATCACAATGACAACAAGCGGGAGGGCGCGGAAGCTGGCGAGGGTTGCGACGGAACGCAGGAGAAGGCCTTGAAAAAGACGAGGAAGGAAGACGACGCCGTTAGTGCGACCACCGGGGCAGCCGAGAGTTGAGTGTGTGAAGCTCTCGTTAGCTGAGCGCGGGGAGTTGAGTGTGGTCGTGTAAAGCATTTTGGGGGGGCGCGCTGCCTCGGTAAAATACACTACTCTCCTCCTACGCGCGGCCGAAGGCTTCATTGGCTCGCTCGCATCAAAGCCTTCGCTTTTCCCTCTTCTCGGTCTTGCGCTTTCGCTTCTCCTTCTTCTCCTGGTCCTTGAGCAGGAGCTCCTTTTCGCGGAGGACCTTTTGCTGGTGCTTCTCCCGCGCCTTCTCCCGCTGCGCCTGCGACTCCTGCACAATCTTGCTCACGTTGTCGTTTTGCTCCACGTCTGCACCGCGAAAGGAGGAGGAGGAGAAGAGAGAAAAAGAGCACGCAAGGTCAGGCATGGCGCCGGGACCTTAAACAAGCTTGGCTGCGCTTGGGCGCAAGAGTGAGCGAGAGGAGGAAGGCGGCACCTGCGGTGTCCTGCACATCGCACAGGTTTTCGGTGAGGACGATGTCGCCGTGCTCGTCGGTCGTTTCGATCTGGTAGCCGTAGCGCTCGAGCAGCTCCCGCCTCTTCAGCCTCTCCTCCTTCGAGAGCTGATGTTCCGCCCTGTGTCGCACGCACGTACAACACACGACACGACACGACACGACCAACGACACGACACACACCAACGCACCGCACCCACGAGGGTAAGGAGTCGAGCTGCTGCCGTCACGGAACAAAGCGTGAGCAAAAAGCGAGGGTTTGCATACGCTCGTTGCTTGGCCTTTTCCTCGCGCTCCTTCTGTTGCTGGAGCTGGACTGCCTTCAGCTGCTCGGTTTCCTGCTTCTTCTTTTCCTCCTGCTCGGCATTCTTGGCGTCTTCGATCTTGTTCCAGTGGGCCATCAGCTCATCTCCGAAGGCCGTCAGATCTTCCTCCTACGGAGAAAAAAATGTAAAGAAAAAAGAACATTCCATCTCAGATTTTGTACCATCTCTTCACGTGCCGTCAATGGGGGGGGGGCAATAAGTACGGAAGAGGAGGCAAGAAATTCGAGCACGGCGTCTTTCTTTTCGTCGGGCTGGTAGGTGTCCTCCTTGAGTATACTTTCTACGTACCCGACATAGGCCTCATCTTCAAGCTTCACCCGGCTCAAAGCATCGCACAGCCACGCATGGAATGCCGCCTCATCTGCCATCTTATTGCGCAGTTTACAACGAAGAAAAAGAAAAAAGGCCCAAAAATAATAAATACAAAACAGCCGGCTTTTTCGCAACGTCAGCGGGCGTGGAGGTACAGCTGCCAGTAGAAGAAGACCCGCCCGAAGGGGCGGTTGGCGAATGAGCTGCGGATGCGCAGCTTCGCGCCCGGGCGAAGGACCAGGCTTGTCGGGTACTGGCGGTCCATGGCGGCAATGAGGCCGCTCTTCTCGTAGGTCACCTGCAGCTCCATGAGCTGGCTCTCTGACTCCTCTGCCCCGGAGGTGCTCACCTCCAGCAGCTGGCTTGACAGTGCCCCGATCTGCGTGAAACCTGTGTACCACCACCACGACCACCCACCAGGTGGATCCCTTTAAACACCATTGTGCCGTGGTGTGTGCTTTACGCGCTCGCTCGTTGTCGTCGACACCTGGTGAGTGGCGTGTGTCGTACCATAGGCCAGAATGACCTGCTCGGCCTGTGATGGACTCCACTCCACGTCGTAGGACCACTGTGCTGACGTGGCATCTGTTCTCGTTCCCGCATGGGAACAACAGTCCGCATTACGACACACGACACACGCCATAACGACCACAAACGGGTGAGCGCCAGTAACAGGACAAGAGCGGGAGGGTAAGGCTGTGCCGGGCGTGCCATCTTGGGGCAAAAGGAAGCCGTTGGGGTTGCTGCTGTTGGTGACATCCGACGAACCGAGGGCCTGGTAGCGCACCTTGGATGACCAGCGTCAGGCCCTCCTCGTCAGACACAGTGTGCTGTGTCGTGTCGTACGTGTGTGCGCATGTGCGTGTGTGCGTGCGGGTACCTCTTGCATCTCCTCCTTGATGGCAGTGGCCAGGGGGGAATAAGTGATGTTGAGGAGAACGGCGACGGTGAGATTGGCTCCGGCCACCTGTCCCCAACTGCTGTACAGCCTGCAGCGGAGCGACCAGCGCTCGCCCTTATGCGACCAACCAACCAACCAATACCGACCAATCAAGCAAGGTGGGGCGCCACGTGGTGAGCTCCTTCCTGGCCGTCTCCTCTCGCCACACACACGCGCGCGCGCGGTGTGGGGCTGTACCTCGGGGGAGTGTATGTAGTAGCCCTGCGGGAGGCGCACAGACTCCTTCGACCCCTCGGGTCCCAGGGCGACCAGGACCCGGCCCTCGCCGTGCGTGCTGCTGCTGCTGTTGGTGCTGTCGTGGTCATCGGCAGAGGCCGAGAGGACCATGTAGGAGCGGTACACCTGCTCGAGCGGGACAGCCCTGCCCGCCTCGTCCACGAGCTGCAGCCGCACCTGGTGGAGGGCCAGAGCCCGGCCCGGCTCTGGTCGGCTTACGTTGGCCAGCACGAACTCCTGCTGCCCCACCACCACCACCACATACCACCCACCACATACCACCCACCACATACCACCCACCACATACCACCCACCACATACCACACATTCAAATCACGCCGGGAGGGGGGGGGTAAAGGCCCTGGAGTGAGCACGCGGGAGATGAAGAGAGAGAGAGAGAGAGGCGTGAGGGCGTGCCAGGTGCTGCCCCACGGGCAACGTCAATGCCTGCGTCTGGTATACGAACAGGCGCCCATGAGGGTACACCACTGTGGACCCCCACCATCACCACCAAGCGCTGCATCAGACCCCATGGGCAAAGCTTTCCGGAGCGGGGAAGAAGGAGACTGAAGACTGAAGAAGAAGAGTGGTACGTACGGTCGGGGTGCCTGGAGGCTCGGGTGGCGTTGTGGAGGACGAGGAAGGTGCCGGCCAGGAGGATGAGTGCGCCCACGAGCACGAAGAAGGCCCACAGGGCCAGCTCGCTCTTTCGCGCGGCACCCCAGCTTCGCCAGCCTCCGCCAATCGGCCCCGAAACTGCGCCGTCGGTGATGAACACTTCATCGTCGTCTTGCTCCAGCTGCGCGGGGTGGCGGCCCCCTCCGTCTAAACTCTTCCTACTCGGCCGCGAGTAGGAGGACGACCGCCGGCTCCTTCTACCCTCTTCCTCTTCCTCCTCGCTCCCCTGGACACCACCACCACCACCACCGAGAGGGCGCAGTCTCGTTCCCTCTCCGCTGTTGGCCTCTTCGTCCGAGTCTGTGTCGTCGTCGCTGCTGTGGTACCGTTCTCTCTTCTCCATCTAACGCGCTTTCTTCTCCTTTTGATTTTCTCATTTTGCATTTTGTTTTCTCGAGAGAAGAGCAGAATGTCGACAAAAAAGTTGTTAAATTGTCATTCAAGTGTAGAGTTGCGTGGAGGACGCAGCAGGGCAGAGACATCATTTCAGAGGTGGTTGGCGGCCAGGTTGAGGAGGAGAGCCACGGTAGCCGTGACGCGCTCGCCGGTGGGGATGTGGAGGAACTCGTTGGGGCCGTGCGCGTTGCTGCCGGGACCCAGCACTCCGGTGATCACGAACTGGGCGCGCGGGAACATGTTGCCCAGCAGACCCATGAAAGGCTGCAGTCCCAACACCACCGGCCCCCAACATTGCGTCGCAAGAACAACGGCGCATGCGCGCATGCATTAATAAACAAACAGTTAGGCCACACACGGGCGTGCGTGTGCGGTGGTGTGCGTGTGTGTAATGTGCGCGTGCGCGTGCGTGCGCGAGAGTTGAAGGAAAGAGGATAAAGGGGGGGGGGGTCGGTAGTGCGTACGATAGAGCCACCCTCGCCCATCTGCAGAGGCGGGTTGCCAAAGAACGATTGCGACGCCTGTGCACACCATTCATTGAGGACCAACGGTGTGAAATGAATGAAAGCCGCTTTGGGGGGGGGGCAAGACCTCGGTGATGCCCGCATCGAGCCACGGGGCAAGGATGGGCGACGACCAGCCGGCGTCAGGTGTCTCCGTGATGAACTCCACCTTGGCGCCGTAGGGCGGATCCTAATACGAGATGGTGGCGGTGGTGGTGGTGATGATGACGATGGCGATATATTGGATCACCATCGATGGGCGCGGTATAACACACGGGAATCAGTTGCTTGATCGCTCGCTTGTTTGTTTGTGAGCGAAGGGGGGTAGTTGCTCGTCGGTGACAATGAGGCGGGGTGGAGGGGGCTGACGCGTACCTTTTCGAGGAGTTGCTTGACGGCGGCGGTGGCCTTCATGGCGTCGGCCGTGGGCGGGAGGCGGATGGACAGCTTCACCGCCGTGTAGGGCCGGAGCACGTTACCGGCGGACTTGATGGCGGGGAAACCGTCGGCGCCGGTCACGGCCAGCTGGGGCCGCCACGTGTTGTTCAGCAGCAGCTCTATCATGTGCGGATGAGACAAAGAAAAAGAAAATAGGGGGGAAAAGAAAGCACACGACCAGAGATATGTCGCGTCAGCGCACGTCGGCACCAGCAGTTCTCCCATTTCCAGAGGCAGACGTACCCGCGGGTTCGGTGTGGACGGGCGAGGCACCCTCGACCAGGGGCAAGTCGAGGTAGACCCTCTTGTCCAGGAACGCACCCACTTCCTGCTCGTCGCCACCAGCCGCCGCCGCCGCCGCCACGATCAGAACCGAATCGGGGGGGGGGTTCGAAGCCCACGTGCACCACCGGGGGGGGGGTAGTGGCGAGCGAACCTGGGCCTGCTGGACGCGTTGGGCGGGGATGTCGACGTGGAGGGCGTCCACGAGGATGCGCCCCGTGGCGGAGTCCTCCAGGCGGTCGAGCACGTGGCGCACGATGCGGAAGGACGAGGGCACGATGCCCCCCGCGCCACCGCTGTGCAGGCCCTCCTTCAGGGTCGTCACCTTGAGCGTGCCGGCCAGAATACCTGGACGACGGCAAATGATCATTTGCATCAGGCCGGAGGGGCGGCCGGTCATTTCGACCGCAGTGATGGTGGTGGTGGTGATGATGATGGGCGAGACAATCTCAAGTCAGCGCCTTCTGCGCCCAGAACTGAGCACCTCCGCAACACGTGGTGCTTGAGCCACGTGGCATTGGCCTTAGGTCCAGCTGCTCGCGTGCGTGTGCGCGTGTGCGTACCCCGGAGCGAGGTGGTGAGCCAAAGCCGCTCGTAGTCGCCGCAACCCGAGTCCAGGCAGATGACCAGCCCGGCCTCTCCTGTAACGCGCATGACACAACACAAAAAACATGACAGACCACACACGACACACACGACACACACGGGTGTACCCGTGCACCCATCAGTGTCAGTACAGTGCGGGCCAGGCGAGAGGAGTTGTATGGGGGAAAGGGGGAGTGGTTGGTTGGGGGGGGGGTCTACCAATGCGGGAGTGGAGCTTCTTGATGTAGACCTGGAGGTCGTCGATGTCGGACTCCTCGCCTCCTTCGATGAGCACCACGCACCGCGGGTGGGCGGCACCCTGCGCCCGCACCGCGTTGATGGCCGTGATGGCCCCAAAGATCGCGTACCCATCTGACCGATCGACCAATACCCCCCCCCACACCACCGACACGGCATCAGCTGCCGCGTTCAGCATTGGCACGACGCAGAATACGGGAGGGGCGGGGGCGGGGGCGGGGGCAAGGGCATTACCGTCGGCACCACCGCGGCCGTACAGCTGCGCGTCGTTTGGATGTGCGCCCCCAGAGAGACGACGAAGGAGTGATGATGGTGAAGATGAGGATGGTGAAGATGGCGTTGATGATGACGATGATGATTAGGCCCGGCCAATGGGTACGTCGACACATCTCCCGGGAGTGGTGGTGGCTGGTGGTGGTGGTACCTTGTTGTCGCGGATGACGGGCTTGTAGGGGCCGAGTCCCTCCTCCCACTGGTCGGTGAGCGGGGGCTGCTTGTCCATGTGCCCGTACAGCAGCACGCACGGCTCCCTGCGCACGGTCCCGGAGAGGGGGGGAGGGGCACGCGTCGGAAGCGTCGGAAGATGGGGAGGGCGCGGGCGCGTGAGGAGGGGCGTGGTCCCCCCCCCATTGGGAGGAAAAACATTGGTGGTGGCGGTGGTGGCGGGGATTGGGGGGAAGGGGGCGGGGGCGGTACGCGTTCTTGGCGGGGTCCGAGGCCGGCACTTCCATCAGGATGAGGGGCGTGCGGTTATCGTCCTTGATCACCTGCACCCCACCCACGCACCCACGCACCCACGCACCCACGCACCCACGGGTCCCCGGGGGGGGGTTAGGGAGAGGTGAGGTGAGTTGGCGCCGATGTGTGTACACCCACACGCACATTCACGCACGGCCGCACACCATCAACGACACGACGCGACACACAAGACAGGCGACCAAACACCAGCCACCACCAGCAGCAGCCACCAGCAGCAGCACACTGGCGGTGGTGGCGGGGGGGGGCCAGGATGGAGGGGAGAGCGTGCCTCGAGGGTGAGGCCCTCCACGTTCTGGGCCTTGACCCAGGAGGTGAGCAGCTCCACGGCGCGCATCTGGTGCCCGTTGGTGTTCCACTCGTCATCGTAGTCGGGCGTCTGCTCGACCCGCCCACCGGCGCGTAAGGCCACACGCGATAAACCCAAAAATAATAATGATAAAATAGTAATGGGCTCATTAAAAATCCAAATAATACAATAAAAATATGAATTAATCAAATCATCAAGGCTACTTACCACGTTGGGGATTTCGATGTACTTGCACAGCGTCTCTACAATACCGCCTTTCTCCTGCCACCTGAACGGAGGAGATTTGTTGATTGGGGCGGCAGGTCATTTTGCCGGACAGAAGAGTGAGCGCTGTAATCCGCGCGCGCATATGTGGTGAGCGGGGACCCACGTACTTGGCCTGCACATACTCGTGCGCCTTGGCATTGTCGAACTTCTGCGCTTCCATCTTTGGCCGGAGGAGAAGAAGGTTGCCAAGAAGCTGTGCTCTTTGGTATTTGGCGAGCAAAGCGAAAGCGGAAAACGCGAACGACTCCCGCACGCCAGGCGAGCGCGGTTGCGAGACCGTCCACCTCCGCTCGAGTGCTGCAGACCACCGAGAGCGGGAGACCTGGACGGGGCTGACTGAATTCAATGCCGGTCGGCAACAAAGTTTGTGCGTGCGGGTGTTGTGTGGCCTCCAACACCACCACCACCGCACGCACACGCGCGCCACAGCCTTTTCCGCTGATTGGGGGGGGGGAGATTGTGACGGGCGTGGTTGATGGAAGAAGTACTTCTCGTGTGTGTGTGGTCACGTTGGGTGTTGGGGGTGGGGGGGGGCTGATAGCACAAAACGGATTGGGTGGGAGTGTGGACGAGTTTGGAGTCCAGCGTGCGTGCGTGCTCAGAAGAGGCCGACCTTCTTCTTGGTCTCCTTCTGCTTCCACTCGGGCCACTTGCGGTACTCGTCGATGTTGGTCTTGAACACCTTCTGGAACTCCTCGGGGCTCAGGTACACCTGTAACCGGTGATGATGCATCGCCGCACACAAAAAGAGAGAGCAGAGAAAGGAGAAGGAGAAAGAGAAGGAGTGGAGTGGAGTGGGGGGGGGGCTAGAATGAGAAACGCAGCAGTGCAAATGGGGGTGTGGGGGGGGGAGGTGTATGACAATGGCAACGTGCCTCGAGCTTGGTGATGTCGAGCTGCTTGGGGCGGACGAGGGCGTTGCGGAGCACTTGATAGGGCACGAAGCGGCGGGCCGGCGGCTGCTGCTGCTTTTTCTTCTCCTCCTCTTCCTGCTGCTGCTGCTTGGCCACGCGCTCGCGCTCTTCCTCCTCCTCGGCCTTCCGCTTCCTCTCCTCTTCCTCCTGCCGCAGCCGCCGCCGCTCCTCCTCCTCCTCCTTCGACGCCTGCTGCTCGCTGGGCACCACGCCCTGCAGCCGCGCCCTGTTGTGTGCCCCGCCACCGCCGCCGCCACCAGCAGCCACGACGTGATCAGCGCATGTGGTTGGTTGGCGCTGAGGAATTCAGAGCAGCTCGTGCGCGCACCTGCGAGCCTCCTCGCGTTCCTTCCGCTTGCGTTCGTAGTCGTCGTCGGTGGCGGCGGCACGGTCGCTGCGCTTACGTCCCTCGTCACCCTCTGAGTGACACGACACGACACGATGCCACACGCACGTGTGCGCTTTTTAGGTCCGAGCCGCAAGGGTCCAAGGCATAAAACTCCGACTGAGCCCAATTTGGGGGGGGCGTACCGTTGGTGAGCGTGAGCGTGGCGGACGTGGAGGGGCGGACGCTCTGGGTTCGCCTCTCGCGCCTCTCGCGCAGGGCCTCCTCCTCCTCGCGCTCCCGCTGCTCCCGCTCCCGCTGCCGGCGCTCGAGGGCCAGCTTACGCTCCTCCAGCTCCCGCAGCTTCTCCCGCTCCTCGGCCTCCTCCGACGCGGCGCCGCTTCGCCTGCTGCTGCCGCCGCCGGCCTTTTCGTCGCTCGAGCGAAGACCGCTGGTGCTGCTCTCGTCGCCCGCCCGGCGGGAGCGGCGGCGTTCTTCGAGGCGCTTGCGGCGCTCCTCCTCCTCGCGCCTGATCTCCTCCTCGATCTCGCTGCGCCGCGAGCTGCGCCGGCGTTCGAGGCGCTTGCGGCGCTCCTCCTCCTCCTCTTCGTCCTTGCGCCTGCGGTCCTCGCTCCGCCGCTTGCGCTCCCTCTCGCGCTCCTCCTCCTCGCGCCTGCGCTCGGCCTCCGCATCGGTGACGCGGGCGCTGCGCCGGCGCTCGAGGCGCTTGCGACGCTCCTCCTCTTCCTCCTCCTCGCGGCGCCTGCGGTCCTCGCTCCGTCGCTTGCTCTCCCGCTCCCGCTCCTCCTCCTCGCGCCTGCGCTCGGCCTCCGCATCGGTGACGCGGGCGCTGCGCCGGCGTTCGAGGCGCTTGCGACGCTCCTCCTCTTCCTCCTCCTCGCGGCGCCTGCGGTCCTCGCTCCGCCTCTTGCGCTCCTTCTCGCGCTCCTCCTCATCCTCGCGATGCTGCCGCTCCCGCGCGCTCTCTCGCACCGGGGCGGCCGCCTCCTCGGGCTCGGCGATGACGACGCGACGCGACCGGCGGCGTTCCTCGAGGCGCTTGAGGCGCTCGGCCTCCTCCCGCTCGCGCTCCTCGGCCTCCTGGCGACGGCGCTCCTCCAGCTTACGCCGACGCTCCTCGCGTTCGCGCTCCTCCCTCTCCCGCTCCTCCTCCTCGCGCCGCTTCCGCTCCTCCTCTTCGCGCTTCCGCTCCCGCTCGCGCTCCTCCCGGCGCCGCTTCCGCTCCTCCTCCTCCCTCTCGCGCTCCCTCTCCCGCTCGCGCTCAGCCTCCTCCCTCTCTCGCCGACGCCGCTCCCGCTCGCTCTCCACCGGCGCCTGGTCCTCGCTCTTCTTCGGCGGCGGCGGCTGCGCATCGTCGTTGCCGCGGGTCGAGCGGCTGCTCCGGCGCTTCAGGCGCTCCTCCTCCTCCTGTTGCCGGCGCCGCGCCTCCTCGGCCTCGGCCTCCTCCTGCTCCCGCCGCCTGCCCCGCTCGCGCTGCCTCGCGTTGGCCGGGTTGTCCTCCGCCGCCGCCGCCGCCACGCGGTTGTCGCCGCCGGCCGTTGTGGCAGCCGGCCCGCCCAGCTCGCGCCGCTTGCGCTCCTCGCGCTCTTCGCGGCGGCGCCGGAGGTCCTCCTCGGCCTTCAGCCGCTCGCGCTCGCGTTCTTCCTCCAGCTCGCGCCGGCGGCGTTCGCGCTCCTCCTCGGCCTCCTTCCGCCGGCGCTCGCGGAGGCGATCCTCTTCCTCGGCCTTCTCGCGCGCCTTCCGCTCCTCCTCCTCGCGCTCGCGTCGCTTGCGCTCGCGCTCCTCCGCCCGCCGCTGGCGCTCCTCCTCCTCCTCGCGCTCCCGCCGCTGGGCCTCCTCCTCGCGCTCCCGCCGCTTCCGCTCGCGCTCGGTCTCGCGGGCGGCCTTCTCCCGCTCCTCGCGCTCGGCCTGCTCCTTCTCCTGCGCATCCCGCTCGGCCCGCACACGCGCCGCGGCCGCTTCCTTCTCCGCCGCCGCCTCCCGCGCGCGCGCCTCGGCCTCGTCCTCCTCCATCTTCTGCCGGCGGAGCTCGCTCACCCGCCGCCGCGTGCGCTCCTTCTCGCGCTCCACCTCCTCGGCCTCGCGCGCCTCCTGCTCGCGCCGGGCGGCCTCCGCGGCCTCGCGCGCCTCGCGCTCCTTGCGCCTCTTGGCCTCTGCCGCACGCAGCTCGGCCTCCTCGGCCTCGGCCTCGCGCCTCTCGCGCTCCTCCCGCTCCGCGCGTCTCCGCTGCCGCTCGGCCTCGCGCTGGCGATCCTCCTCCCGCTCCCGCTCCTCCTCCTCCTCGAGGGCGCGCCGCCGCCGTTCACGCTCCCGCTCGCGCGCCCTGTCCTCCTCCTCCTCGCGCGCACGCGCCCGCTCGTCCTCCTCGCGCAGGGCGCGCATCCGCCGCTCCTGCTCCAAACTGTCAGCGCTCTGCGGGGCCGACCCGGCACGCTTCACTCCGCTCCCGCCGCCGCCGCCACGGCGTCGCCTGGCGCTCCCCCCGCCATCGCTGCTCTCCGCGCCGTCGCTGTCCGAGTCCTGATCGTCGGTGGAGTGGCCGTCGGCGTCGCTGTCGCTGTCGCTGTCGTACCGGCGGCGCGAGGAAGGGGCCTGGCCGTCATTCTCCTCCATGGTCTCCTCCAGGCGTCGCAGCTCCTCCTCCTCGGCCTCGAGGCGCCTCAGCTCCTCCTCTTCCTCATCCAGCGAATCCTTTTCGCTCTATTGTTTGCCACGTGTCGTGTCGTGTCGTGTCGTGTCGTGTTGGATCGAATGCGTACGAGTCGGCGGGAAGAAGAGCAAAAGAACGAAGAGCGAAGAGCGAAAGAATGAAGAACGACGCAAGACAGAGGAACGAGAAAGCGATGCGACTCAAAAGAGGGAAAAGTGCATCGAGGAGGGGGAGTGAGTACGTCGCTGCTCGATAGGTCGGCGAGGTAGGCCGGCCGGGGGCTCTTTTTGGCGGGCGACGCGCGCACCTTGTCGTCGTCATCGCCGCTGCTGTTGTCATCGTCGCTGGCGTGGCCGTTGCCATTGGCGTTGCCGTTGGCCCGAGCCGGCGACCCGCTCTCTCGCTCCTTGTGCTCCCGTTCGCGCTTCGCCGCCGCCTCCTCCTCCGAGTCGGAGTCATGGTCGTGGTCGTCGTCGTGGCGAGGGCTGGCGGTCGGGCTCGGGTCTCCTCCAGTTTCATCGTTGGCGCGCCTGCGGTGGTGGTCGGCGGGCTTGGTGGGGGAGCCCCGCTCGGTGCGCACGGCCTGGAGCTTCTCGCGGAACATCATGCGGGAGCGTTCGCGCGTCTTCTGCTTACGCTCTTTAAACTTCTCCTCGATCTTGGCTTGCACCTTTTGTGCCTCCTCACGGCTGCGCATCCTCAACTCCACCCCGTCGGTGCTCCCCATCTTGTCCAGAAAATCATCGTCCTCCATCCTTCACTCTTTTCGTTTTGTATCTTCCTCTACTGCTACTACTACCTCCTGACTTTTTGCTTCGTGTTTGCAGCTGTCTTGACTCACGCGCCTTAAGAACGTTGCTGCTGCACCACCCGAGAAGGGGATGTTAGGCAGATTGGGGGGGGGGCAATTGCAACTACGGCTACTCAGGGGAAGAGCGGACACAGGAGAGTACCAAGTGCAAGCTCTCTCTTGGTGGCCGCCAACAACTCGTTTCGCCAAAGAGATGAACGGGGGCGTGGCCTCCTACTGCACGTTCTGCTGCACGCGGGCGTGGTGTCGTATGTGGCGCACGGACGCACCTCGCGCCGCTCAGCCTCCGATCGCCCCAGGCCACCGGCCGTTATTATAATTTTTAAATTATCGCACAACCATTACAATAATCTCAAATAATTCAATGGAAAATGGCAATAAACACAAGTGCGCGAGAAGAGAGAAAGAGAGGGTGAAGGTTGCAGTGTGTGAGTGGGTGTTGGTTCAAGTCCGTCGGTCGCGGTTGGCCGCGGCCTCGGGTTGTTCGGGTTCCTTGGCCGTGCCGTACATGACGACCGAGACGGCGGTGACGAAGATGGAGACGAAGGTTTGCGGCGTGAGGGGCACGTCGAAGAGCATCCGCGACGCAAAGGCCGTTGCGAACATTTCTCCGCCGTGGGCGTACTCCTTCAGGATGATGTTGAGGTAGCCTGCAGCAGTACCATCACCAGCCCACCACCCACCCACCCACCCACCCACCACCAACAACCCGATGAGACGAAGAAGGGGGTAAAAAGTGGATGCACGAGGAAAGGGGAGCGGGGCGTACGCAGGAAGAGAGCCGTGGTGAAGCCGCAGAAGGCGCCCAAAACCACCAGCACGACAGTCGCGTGCGTCCAGCCTGTCAACACGACGCAACTCTCAGGTCAGCTGTGTGCGGCGTGTGCGTGTGCGTGTTGTCCTTTTGGTGTGGCGTGCATGCCGCGTGGAGGGAGAGGGGTACCGTTGAAGAAGAGCTCGGTCGAGGAGAGGATCTGGGGCCGGTTGAGGAGGATGAGGGTGAGGTTGAAGCAGAGGGAGAAGAAGTAGAGGTAGATGTTCTTCTGGTTGATGCCCATCTTGATGTCCCTCTTCAGAAGCCACTCGTTGAAGGCGCCAGCACCGGAGGAGGCCAACGCCTGGATGGTGATGGTACACAGATAAAAGATGCTGCACACCACATATCCAACCCAAGTGACGTGAGCGAGCCAATACACCTGGTAACACACGACACGACACGACACGACACGACACGACACGACACGACACGACACGACCAACGACACGACACGACCAACGACACGACACACATGCACACACACGACATGCCACGACACGACACATGCACACACGACACAACGCATGAAACACGGGGGAGGGGGCGGCAACGGAGACGCACTCTGTTTTGAGCTCAAAGTTCTCGCCCAGCTGGTTGACGGCGCAGCCCAGGGCCAGCAGGACCAGGGCAAACCACTTCACCGGACCAAGGCGCTTGCCGAAGCAGAACTGTGTGCGCCGTTGCCGTGTCGTGCGTATTGGCGTCAGACGAAAAGAAGAAGAAGAAGAAGAAACGAAAAGTCGGTAACCGACAGGGAGAGCTGAGGCGACGGCGTACGGTAACGAACAGGCCGGAAAAGATGACGCGCATGTTGATGAGCACGCGATACGAGACCTGGAGGCAAACAGCAGTCGTCAGCCAACACGAAAGAGGGGAGGGGGGGAGGAGATCAAGCGAGCTCGCGGTTGGCGTGAGTGGGCTGAGCTCGCACGTACGGGGTCAAAGTAGACGAGGTTGAGGTAGAGGAGCCAGTTGTAGAGGGTGTAGATGAAGGCCGGAACGGCGAACCACACGCCAGCCCGCCACTCGGAGGCGAACGACTGGATCTGTCCCACCACGTCCGTCGTTCCCCTGCGGTATGTCAAGACACACACACGACACACACGACACACACGACACACACGACACACACGACACACACGACACACACGACACACACGTTGTGAGCCTAAAATGTTTCGCGTTGGCACTCGTTGACAAAAAGGAAGAAGGAGGGCATTGGAGGGAGCGTACGCCATGTAGCAGTGGAAGGTCATGGTGAGGACAATCTTGAAGAGCTCCATCATGAGGACCACTGTGACGATGTCGAATGGATAGGCGCCCGTCGAGTCTTTCGCGGATCTGCAGATCAACAACGACAACCACAACAACGAAATGGCAAACGCCAACGTTGTGGGGACAAGGGGGTCAGTGGCTGGCGCTGGGGCCAGAGGGTGAGCCGGGGTAGCGTGCGGTGGGCGTGCGTGCCTGATGAGAATGGTCCAGGTGGTCCACATGCCCACGTGCATGACAAACAGCAGCACGTTCAGCCCTTTTCGTACCACCACCAGCCGCCACCGCCGCCGCCGCGCCACCACAAACCACACCACGAGTGAGTTGGTGACGTACTAAGATATGTATTGATGACAAAAATTCAACAATACATTACTAATTATTTTTGTATTTATTATTATTTCTAATAAATCAAATAACCCAGCAAACGAAAAGGGCTAAGTACGGGTGAAGAGGGGCTCGCGGACGAGTTCCGGGGCAGGAACACTCCGTGGTTTGAGGTCGATGAGGTCCCTGTCCTCCTTCTCAAGGTCGACATCTCTGTGCTCATCCACAGAACGCATCATCTTCTGGTTCTAATTAGATCGTTGTGTAGAGAGGGTGAGTGCTCGTCTCATCTTGAGGGCGGGAAAGTTTCTCACAAATTAGTCTTCTCCTCATCTCTGTGCACGCAATGATTACCTTGGGGGTGGCTGCTCTGTGGTGGGGTGAGTGGGAGCCGATGGTGCGCGCCAATCTAATCGATGAGATGAAGGGAGCGCGCTTTCACAGCGAACAGAATTATTTCCGAGGCCAACTTGCCGAGCGGAGTTTATGTCACGCCTCTTGCTTGTGAGTTGGCTCGCCACGTCCACTGCACCCGGAAAACTCCTCAGGTTGGGCGCCCTGACGCTCTTCGTGGCCGTCTCTTCGGTGGTGACATGGCAGGTGGCCCACCTTTAGCCTCGTAAGGAGCTGCCAGCGATGTGCAGGAGGCCGTATATGCTGTATCCCTTTCCCGCGGCCTCGGGCAAGATCTCGCGCCCGGTCGGTAACTCTGCCCTGCTGCGGTTTTTGCTCGCTTGGCCACCGTGAGTGTTGGTGAGGGCGTGGGCCGAGGGGTCCATCGGTGGGCCATGCGCGGGAGGATAAAAGCCCAACAGGCAAAATGGGGTGCGGCCGGAGCACCAATTTTTATAAGAGGTTGTCCCGTGGGCGACAGCCGCACCGCGCCGCGAGCAATACCACCAAATTGCCACTATCTCACCATCCCGAGAGAAGAGAGAAAGGCCACGAAGGCGCAAAGATCGAAGCGAAGCCCGCTCAAGAAGGAAAGAAAGAAGGCACCAGATAGTAGAAGCAGCAGCATGATGAACAGCCCGCAGCCTGGAAGGACCGCCAAGGACGACCGGGGTGACCCCAAGGTCATCGCCACCGTGAAGACGATTAACGTGATGAAGGCCTCCAACGCCATCATGCCCGAGTTCCTGAAGGCCGTCCAGAAGTATCACCAGCAACTGCACGCCCTCAACCAAACCTCACAGGTACTCCTCCCGGATCGATCCTGCAACCCCCCCCCGGTAATAATCGATCGATTGACCCGTTGGCTGTCCGTTACTAGGTGCTGTCAGATTTGATGCTGAAGCTCGCCGACGTAGAGAGCGGAGACCTGAGTGACTCCATCCGAAAGATTTCAGACACCCAGAAGCTCATCGGTACCGTACCTTCTGTCTGCCACCCTTCTCCTTGGCACCCAGGAGCCGTTGCACTCACCCCTTCTTTCCTCTCCGCGCCACAAAGATGCGAAGCGCTGGAAGTTTGCGACGGCCCTTCAAGAAGCCCTCGTGCAGGTATGCTACACGCCCTACAAAACAGCCCTGGCTGTGCGTGTGTTGCGTGCGTGCGTGCGACGCGCAGCGGGTTTGTCTTCTTCTTCTTCTTTTGTCGTTTCGCTCATGCGTGCTGGTGGCCCGTTTACGATGTCCTCAGTCGTACGAGAAGTCCGGCGGTGGACAGCTGGAGACCGACAAGTCCGACGTCGCCACCTTCGAGAAGACCTACAAGGCCCAGAAGTCGGCGTCCATGAAGAACATCAAGAAGTTCGAGAAGGAGTTCAACAAGGCCAACAAAAAGAAGAAGAAGGTTGGCCTCCGTGCGAACCACCTCACGTGCCATTGCGTGTTCGTGCGCGTCCTGACCACGTGTCGCGTTGCTTTGCACGTGCTGCTGTGAGCAGGACGAGGACAAGATCAAGAATCTGGCCAACACGCTGGAGCAGAGCGTCGAGTCGCACGATCGGATGTTGGGCGATGAACTCAAGAAGGCCGAGCTGCTGGACAGAAGGCGGGTGTGTTTCTTCATCAAGCAGTGGTCCAAGGTCCTCGCCGAGGAATCAGAGGGAATGGAGGCGGGCCTGGTACTCACACCCATCACCTTGAAGCACGCACAACGCTGCTCCGGCACTGGTTGTTGACACTCCCACCACGTGTGTGTGTGTGTGTGTGCGCGCGCGCTGCTGCGGCAGGCCGAGATCAGCAAGGTCAAGACGGAGCTGGACCAGTTCACCAGCGATCCCGACAAGGTGTCCGGCACCACCGACAACCTGATCGAGAATTCCCGCCCCACCAAGACGCTCGACCAACTGAAGAAGATCCGGGAGACGGGCTACTACTCCGAGTCGCTGCTCAACATATCCGGCATGGATGACGATGATGACGATGACGTCGGTGGCTCCACCATTCTCAAGGGTATGACATATCCCGTGCGCCCCCACCTCCCCACGTGGCCTCCAGCTCACCGCCTGCGGTGCGTGTTGCGTGTGCACTATGACAGGTCGTTCGGTGCCCACATACAAGGTGAGGGTCAAGCAGAGGTTCGATGCCACCCACCCCGACGAGATGTCACTCACCCTGGGCGACATCTTCGATGTGAGCGAGGAGATCGACGAAAACTGGGCCATCGCCGAGGTGGCAGGCAAGCGAGGGATGTTCCCGCTCAACCACGTCGAGAAAATGATCATGCTAGGCGCCAGCGGCTCCCGCTTCTAGTCTTTTCTGGCGCTCTTCCCCCCTTGTGCTTGATGTTCGAGGGTTTCGACCTTCGTCGTTCAAATGCAGCAAGCCGTGTACAATGTAGCGCAAGCCCGGACCCTGGGCTGTGGTTGGCCCCTCCAAGTGCCTGCCCGACTGGCGGATAGTCAGGCCTGCTGTCGGATAGGAGTTGAGGAAAAATTCGGCAGAAACAGCTTTTCCCTGTTTTCTCTCGTCGCAAAAGCTTTTTTGTTTTGGGCGCGCATCCATCTCTCACATCTTTGGCCGAGACTAGTACCGACCAAGCAGGCAGTACCATCTATCGTCGCTCGCGATGAGGCACAACGTGGCCCTGCATGGGCAAGAATATCCGAGGCGTCCTCTCTACACCAACCATCACCAGGCATTGGTCGAAGATGGCCTTCAGACCCCTCGCTTTCCACAGCCGCCACTTCCCAGCCTCCCCTCTCACTCATCTGCTTCGCCCTACGTTCCTTCTCCCTCCTCCACTTCGTCTCATCATTCGTCACGGCGCGGTAATTCTTCCACATCCTCCTCATCTCGTAAACGATCGCGAGAAGAAGCATCGAGGGCGGCTCCGATCCCAGGCGTTGCGAAGCCGCTCGTGCTGAACGACCGTGCAGATGAGGAGCGAGCAGCCGAGAAAGAGAACTCGCGACATGGTGCAAACGCGCCAGCATCGGAGGATAGCATGTCGAGGAACGAAAAGGAGAAGGAACAAGAGAAAGGAGGGGAAGAAGAGGAAGAAAAGGACGAATGCTGCATCTGCCTGGGTGAGATAGGCGAGGTCATGGGCTGCCTGACGTGTTGTGAGCACAAGTTTTGCTTTGGCTGCATCTCGCAATGGGCCGAGAAAAGCAACACCTGCCCTCTTTGCAAACAGAGGTTTCGCGAAATCATCAGGAAGACGGTACCCTCCCTTCAAGGATTCTCTTCAAGTGTTCTTCATTTGAGTTACAAAACACACATAAATAAATAAATAAATAATACAACAATTACTGTATAAATACTACAACAGCATAACTTGTGCTGGCAAGGAAGCCTGCTTGACCCTATGTGGTGCACCTTCAGGTTGGAGGTCAGCAGGGGCGCAAGAAGCAAAAGACTGAACGCGTACGCGTGCGGAGGAAGGACTACAACCCCTGGAGCGAGGAAGAGGACGAGGACGACAGCGATGATGATGACCTCGACGACGAAGACCTCCATTGGCCTCCGTCAGGTGCGCCTCCTCCCATGTGCTCTGCAATTCCTCCCTTCCTATGCACGGCAAGCCGGTTACTCACAGTGGTGCATTGCACGTGGTTGCACACACACACACACACACACGACGCACACACTCATGTACTAGGCTTCCTGATTGACTCCTTCTCGTTGGGCTCGATGCACGCGCCTCCGCTCTACAACCATCATCACGCCCACCATCATCACCATCATCACGCTCACCAACACAACTCGGGCTTCCCGTTCTCCTTCGTCACGCAGCCGCACGTCCACCACGCCATGGGCCTCTTTGATATGTTCCACCGCCTCATGTTCGATACCGCGCGAAGTAGCTACGCCCCCCACGGCCACGGCCACTCGACCTCGACCTACGCCTCATCGTCGTCGGGCGACGAGCTGTTGAGCGAGCCCAGCAGCCCCGAGGTCATCCTTGTCGACAGCGACGGCGAAGACACGTCATCGCTCGAACGCGGTCGCACGCGACGCGAACAGCGAACTGCAGCTGCCGACATCCCCGCGCCGCTCGCACTACCGCGCCCCCGCCTCCCGGCGGGGCCGGCCCAGGAGGTGATCGACCTCACCCTCCTTCCCGACTCGGAAGACGATGGCGATGACGATGATGAGACCGAGGCCGACGTGGCGCGGCGATTGCGGCGAGGCCGGGAACAAGGAGAGCCTCTGCCGACGGTAGTGGTCAACCTCGAGGCGTCGCCCGGGCCGCAGGTGCGCGAGTTTGCGCGGCGCAGCGGAGGGCGGATCGCCGACATCATCCACGAGCAGGATATCTGAGACGACCTCCCGACCGATACGACTTCCACTACTACTACCACCACCACTACGACACTCGCCAACCCACCCCTCTTGTAAGTATGCGGCCGCTCACACACCGCGCGTGTGGCCCCTCTTGTATCATTTTCCCTCTTTCTCTCCATCACACTCTCTCCCTCATCTCCACTGGTTAAGGGAGTAGCGGGGTGTGAGACACGTAAAAAACATGTTCGAGCACGTCCTGTTGATCCTACCTCCCCGGGTACCTCGTGCACGTCCTCACCACCACAGGGGCCGTGAGTGCTGGCCAGGCGCAACACCACAGTCACCGCAGTCCCCCCCCCACCACGCCACAACGAGTTGTGCTGAGCGATGGAGGAGCAGGCCTGCAGCGGTTCTGGTGTCGGCTGCTGGTTCCCGTGGCGTCTCCTGCCGTGCGAGCAGGGGCTGTTGGTCTTCAGGTCAGCTCCCCCCTAGTTTTCGTTCTTTCTTTCGTCTCTTTCGTTCTCTCTCTTTCTTCCCTGACCGGCCCAGCGAGACCCCGCAGCTTCCTGGGGGAGCGGGACTTGGTGGCTGCGGCGGCCGTGTGCCGGCTGTTCCGGGCGTGGGCCAACGACAAGACCCTCTGGCGCGCTGCCGCCCTCCGCCGGGCTGTGGCGCCGCAGGTGGGCCGGAGCTGGAAGAGCCTCCTCTTCCAGTCCCGTTGTACGCTCCCCCCGACCACAAGTGCAGCGCGCAATTTGCTCGCCTGACCGCTCTGCTCACCGGTGGCTGGTGGTGAAGGCGTGGCGCCGGAGGGCTACCACCGCAAGTTCACGGACACGGCCCACAGCGGCGGCTCCTGGCTGATCGCCACCAAGGCAACTCCCATCACCCCCTTCGACCCCCTCGTGACTTCCTCTGTGCTCGTCCCGTGCCACGGCGCCAAATGACAGCAATCCAACATTGGCTTGGGCGGGACGGGGGCGGGCAGATGATGGCCAGCACTTCTGGAGAGCTGCAGGGTCTGGGCCTGTGGTCCTTCTCCCCATTGGGGTGTGGGTACGCACGTCCCCTCTCCATGGGCGGCGGCGGGGGGTCCACCAGGGGGATGCCGTTGTTCACGTTATCCGCATCCGCAACGCGGCATTCGCGTGGACTTCTTCATTGCACCGTGCGTGCGTGCGTGCGCGTGCGTGCAGAGGGCCGAGGGTGAAGATGGCGCTCTACTCCCATGACGACGGCGAGAGCGGCAGCGCCCAGGCTCGGGCGTGTTCGACCAAGGGACGGCCCCACCTGCTCCTCGCGGTGCGGATCCCCTGATGCCCTTCTTCATGACTCCGCCTTGTCGTTGACTCCACACACGACACACACACGACACACACACGATACACGACACGACACACGACACACACGCACCTTCCCAAATTGCGGGCTGGCCAGTCCACCACGCATGCGCGATCGATGGGCATTGGTCGGGTGGAGCTCCCCGTTCACACGCCCGTACCAATCCACGCCGTGCGGCTTTCCCACCACCACCAACCACCGCTGCGCACATGATTCATGTGTGGTCTAAAAGGCGCCAACCAGGGCGTTGAGTACTGGGTGGTGGCCATCTACGACCGCATGGCCTTCCACAGCAAGGTGACCTCTACAACCCACCCACCCACCTCCCGCTCGACGTCGCGCGCTGGCGCTTCGCCCTCACAGGCGGCCTGCCAACGTTGCTTGGGTTGGGCGGTGGACAGGTCAATCGCATGGACGAGCTGGAGACGGGGTCGATCGCGCACTACGCCTCCTACGCCCACGTGTGCGAAGTCACGTACGTCGCGTGTGTACCGCGAGGGGGGGGGCAGTGCCGCGTTTGTTCTCAATCAAACCAATGGCGGGCGATGGTGGCAACAACAACAACGACCAACAGGCACGCGTTCAATGAGTCCCTTCCCGGCGCAGTTCCCGAGGCAGGCCGGCAAGCGAGAGGACACGCACGGGTACTACATGTGCCTGGTGCCCCGCTCCGCCCTCGCGGTCCTCGAAGCCATGGACGACGACCCGGACGCGGCCCTCATCGACCAGCGCGAGAAGGAGGCCTACCACCACCACCGCCACCATCCAACGCTTTCCCGATCGGGCTGCGAGCGGGAAGTCGAAAGTGCAGAGGAGGAGGATCGAGAGGGCTTCGAGTCCGCCGCCGGCATCTGCCGGCACTTCAAGCCCTTCCGGATGGAGCTGCAGGTTGGTTCTTCTCTTCTATCGTCTCTTCTCTATTGGTGGTGGTGGGTGGCGGTGGGTTGCCTCGTGAGATGCTGCTATTTCTGAGACGCGCGGCGGCGATGAGGGCAGGCGTGGGAGAGCGCCCCGAAGACGATCAAGCGGCTGGAGGTGGCGGCGCGGGTATTCTGCGCGTCGTGCCACGCTCTGTTCAGCGACCGAGCGCAGCTGGCCCTCCACCGATGTCGTCACCAAGTGCGGCCGGCGGCCTCGACATGACGCGGCGATAATGAATGGAATGTATGTAATGTATGCATGTGAGGTGTGTGTGTGGCGTGTCTCCCCATCACCTGCCCTTCCGCTTATCGCGTTTGCCGCCCTTGCCACCCGCCGCCGCCGCACCGCTGGCCGCCGCACCGCCGCCTTGTCTGGACTGCAGTCTGGGGATGAGCTCGCCCAGCTTCACCATCAGCGCCGCCTCTGTGCCATGGCCACCCCCACCACCACAGTGAGTGTCATACACACGACTCTTTGATAGCGGCATAAAAAGCAGACGGAGCAGTAGTAGAGAGATGGCTAGGCTGGAGGGACACGCACTAGTGTGGATGTCAGGGTGGACTGACTGCTTGTTCTCCTGGACCAGAACTCGGACTCGCCCCTTCTGCATGAAATCGCGAGGAAACGCCTTGTCGGCCTGCACCACCAATTTCATTCACATGAAATTACGGAGTGAGTTGCGCACACACGAGATGGAGTGTTTTTTTGCTTTGCGTGATGGGGGTGGCAAGTAGCACTGTACCTCGAGTTCGCATTTGAAGCCGAGATGCTTGCAGACGTCATAAATCTCTTGTGCCGTGGGGTTTTCGCAGGCCTTCACCTTGGCGATTTTCCTGCCATCGGCAGCCGTCTTCTTTGAGTTGACGTAGACCGGGTAGATCACCGACCATTTCTTTTTCTCTGGGTCCATCATCTTGTGTTTTTTGTGTCTCTACAAATGATCAGCCTCGCCTTGCGACTATCTATTTCTTCAGCTTTTTCTCAGCCTGAGAAAGAAACAAAAGAAATTGCGGCTGCGCCAAATTAATTCGGTGTTTTGTCTCCGCTCCGGCACAGGCGAGTGCGGTGGGGCACCAACAACAAGGAGCAGCCGCACAGATGGAAGAGGACGAGGAACATTTCTTCGGGCTGGGCCGCTTCGAGGAGCTGGGGGCAAGTGAGGACGCCGCTCCTCGCTGGCAGCCGCTCGGCACGACAGCAGACGACGACGAAATAGAGGATGGCGACGATGACGAAGAGGCGGCCCGCACTGCCGGTGGCGCCAACGCGAAGTCAGCCGACGTGGAGCGCTCCAGAAGCGGAGCCAAAGGCGAAGAAGAAGATGCCTCGACAACAGCAGAAGATGAGGAGGAGGTGGGCGGCACCCCTGCCGACGCAGCGCTGGTGTCTCGCCAGCTCGAAAATGGTAGCCGTGCAGCTGTGTGGCCACACCCACAAACCAATTCATGCGCAGTACTGGCGGGGCTGACGTGATGACTCTTCTTCTTCTTCTTCTTCGCTCTCACATGCGTAGAGGTGGAGTTCTTCCGGGAGTTCGTGCGGGCGGTGGACCCCGACATCGGGCGGCACGACGAAGAGGTGCTCTTCGCCAACTTTGACACCTTCCGCACCTTCATCGTGGATGGCCTCCACCACGCCCTCGAAGGTGCACCACCGCCGGCCGCGCTCTTGCGTGCAACGCGTTCGTGTGTGTGCTGTCCCACACGCATATGCTCAATCGTGTGGTGCGGGTGTGGTGCGGATGTGGTGCAGGGGTCGTGAGTCCCGTGGAGGTGCACATCAAGGTGCACAAGGCCAAGAGGGACCTTTGGGGCATGTGCCACGCGGCCCTCACGCAACACTACGCCCTCACCAACGTACGTTGCATTTTTTGCACATTCCAGGAATGTGGGGCATGCCACACAGACACGCACGCGCTTTGTTTTTGTTTCCATTTCTTTGTCACGCGCGCGCGCCTTGTGTGCGATGCAGTCACTGACGCTCTGGTGGCGGGCCGTACTTGCTTCGCGCAGCCGGCGCTGCTGCACGTCATCCAAAGCGTGCAGCGCTTTCACGAGAAGCTGATCCAGGTCCGGGGCTTCGACGGCGCCGCCGACGACAGCAGCCCCGACCCGGCCTCGGACTCTGGAATCTCCTCCTCGCCCGAGGAGCCCGACTCTCCTTCCGTCAGCTCCGCCGAGAGCGACGCGGTGCCGGCCGACACTCTCACCTCCCACCCCGTCGACAAACTGTTCGTGCCCCCCCCCACTTTTATCTATTCTTTATCCTTATTCTTATTATTCCTTTTATCTATTAGTTTTCTTCTTTTTTGGCTCATCCGCGTGCGATGGTGGTGGTGACGGCCGGGCGCTGGGGTGCATGCATGCAGGCAGGCGTGGGCGAGGCGCAGCTGCACGGCGCGGGCGCTGGGAAGGCGGGCGCTCGGGGTGGTGCCCATCACGCGGTGGTTCCCCCACTACTTCCGCTACGGGTGGGCCACCAACATCAAGTTCGACCTCCTCGCCGCCATCACCATCGCCTTCATGCTCATCCCCCAGGTACGAACCCTTCTTACGTAGTTCGCACCACGCGCCGCTGGTTGCCCTCTGGGCGACCATGACCATGAGCACATGTGACCGTGATCACGGGTGCGTTTGGTCGTGCAGGGCATGGCCTACGCGCTCATCGCCGAGCTACCGCCCATCTACGGCCTCTACGCCTCCCTCACGCCGTTAATCGTATACTCGGTACGCGTCTCTATCACCAGCCACTACCACCTTCAACACCATCACCACCGTCACCTTCACCACCAGTACTGCCACTCTGGAGCGGTTTTGATTTCCGCGTCACTGATTACATCTCGTGTCTGTGTCTGTGTATGTCGTGCGTGCGTGTGTGCGTGTGTGTGTCGTGTGTGTCGTGTGGTGTGTGTCGTGTGTGTCGTGTCGTGTGTGTGTCGTGTGGTATGTGTGGCGGTGCACCTCGGGTGGCAGTTCTTCGGCACGTCGGCGGAGATATCGATGGGTCCCACGGCCATGGTGTCCCTGCTGATCCCCGAGGCCGCGAGTGCGCTCGGCGCCAAGCCCGGCACGGAGGAGTACATCCAGGCGGCCATCCTGCTGACCTTCCTCATGGGCCTGATCCTGGTCGTGGCCAGCATCCTCCGCGTCGGCTTCCTCATCGAGAACCTCCTCTCCCACCCCGTACGCCCCCTAACCCGCCGTACACGTTGCCCTGCCGACATTCTTTTGTGGACAAACAACCCGAACCCGCGTTGACGCGCAACCGGTGAACTCCGTGCATGACGTGGCAGGTGCTGAGTGGCTTCACGTCGGCTGCGGCGGTGATCATTTTCATGTCCCAGCTCAAGTCCCTCTTCCGCATCTCCGCCTCCGGTACTTGCACACGGTCGCCCTATCCACGAGGAGGGTTCTTCGCTGCCTCTCTTGCGCGAGTCCTACTCACACACCGTGGTGTGTGCGCGCGTGCGCGGTGGGAATGGCTCGTGGGGGGGGGTGCTTGAATCGAATGAAGGGGACACGCTGCCCAAGCTGCTGTACTCGCTGGGCGAGAACATCGGGGACATCCACCTGTGGTCCCTCCTCCTGGGCTGCCTCTGCGTCGCCATCCTCGTACTCGCCAAACGGTCTGAGCTGCGCTCCTCTTCCTCCTCTCGGGGTCTGCTTCTGTGTACTCATGCCACACAACACGCACGACACACGCACGACACACGCACGACACACGACACGAACGGAGCAGGTACACGAAACGGTTGCCGGTGGCGTTGATGTTGCTCGTGGCCACCACGTTCCTCACCTGGATACTGGACCTCGACACACGGGTACCTCCTACTCACCCCTCCCGAATCCGCCCTGATGGGGGGGGGGAACAATGCAATCTCGCCCCTCGATCTCACTCCACAGCGCCCGCGCAGTTGGGGCTCAAGGTGATCGGCTCGCTGCCCACAGGGCTGCCCACTCCATCCGTTGCTTTCATGAGTATACGCCCCCGGCCCCACCGCTTTGCGACGGCCTCGGCTGTGGTGATGGTTGTGGTGGTGAATGAAAACCATGGCTGTGTGGGCTAACGCCAGTGCGCGCCGCCTGGAGCAGGGGAGGCCGGATGGTCGGGCGTGTGGAGCATGCTTCCCCCGGCCACAAGCATCGCCGTTCTGGGCTTCATCGAGGGCATCTCCGTGGCCAAACGCTTCTGCGGTGCTCCATTCCTTCCCCGTCCCCGCAATCGTCACACAGCGCGCGCGCGCGCGCGCACACACACACACACACACACAACACACGACACACCGCACGCGCGTGTGGACGACAACACGCACCAACAGCGCACACGTGGTGGTGGTGGATCGGTTGTGAATGGCAGCCAAGAAGCAGTACTCCATCGACGTCGGACAGGAGATCCTCACACTCGGCCTCTGCAACTCCATCGGCGCCCTCTTCCAAAGCTGTACGCTCACTCTCCCCCCCCCGCGCGGCGTGCACACTTTGTGCTCGCTTTGCGACTCACGGCTGGCTGCACCAGATCCGGTGGCGGGCAGCCTCTCGCGGACCGCCGTCAACTACGAGAGCGGGTCGCGCACGCCGCTGTCGTCGCTTCTCGCGGCGCTGGTCATCGGCCTGACGCTGCTGCTCTTCACGCGGCTGTTCTACTACGCCCCCATGTGCGTGCTGGCCAGCATCGTCATCTCCGCCGTGTTCGCCCTCATCGACTACGAGGAGCCGCTCTTCCTCTACCGCGTACGCCTCCCTCCTCTTCCCTAACCACCACCGCCACCTCTCCTCCGATGCTGAAACCGACCGTTTCGCCTCGCCACTGGCGCAGATCAATGACCGGACGGACCTGGTGCAGCTGGCCATCGTGTTCGTCATCACCCTGTGCCTCGGTCCAGGCACGTGCACCCCTTACTCTTCGTTTGGCTCTCGCCGCTAAGTGCGTCGACGCACTTGCAGAGATCGGAGTGGGCGCGGCGGTCGGAGTGTCGCTCCTACAGGTCATCTATCGCACGGCCAAGCCCAGCTTTGTCGAGCTGGGGCGACTGGCTGGCACCCTCGTCTACAAGGCATCGACTCCCACCCCGTGTCATCGCTCTTCGTTTTCGCTTTCAATTTTTTTAATATGTTACCGCTCGGAATGTTGCGCTAATGTCGTCGCGACTTGGGCTATGCGTGGGGGGGAGCAGGAGAAGGTGAGGTACCCGCACGCCGTGACGGTGGCGGGCGCCCTGGTGCTCCGATTCGACTCCAACCTGTTCTTCGCCAACGTGGTGTGGTTCAAGGAGCGGCTCGGTACGCGTGTGGTGGCCGCCTTTGCACCTTCCACCGGACTCATTCCTCATAACTCTTGAATGCGCGCAGCCAAGTACGAGGCCAGGAGCCCGAACAAGCTGCACGGCATCATCATCGACGCCACCGGTACACGTGCCGTCCTGTTCACACGCACGACACACGCACACGCACACGAATGGGGTCGCCTCGTTCCTATTTCTACCTCTTGGCTGAGCTCCATGTGTGTGCTTGTGTGCGTGTGTGCGTGCGTGTGGCACGTGGGTGTCAATCGCAGGCGTGAATAGCATCGACTCTACGGCGGTACACGCTCTGTCGGAGATCATCGACGCCTATCGGGCCAAGGCCATGTGCTTCCTGTGGACCAACGTCAAGAGCGAAGTCCGGTACGGAGATAGTGTCATCTTGCGGCCGCAACCCTCACTGCCTCAAGTAGCGCCATTGTTTATTAGCATCACGATGCGTTTCATCGCTCATCCTCAATGGACCGTCGCTCGTCGCTCTCTCGCGCGCAGAGACACCATGGACCAGTCGGGTCTTACCAGCAAGATCGGCCCCGAGAACTTCTTCAACAGGTAACTCCTCTTGGCCCGCACCAATGTTTTGTGTAAAGTGCGCTCACCGTTGTGGCGGTGCTGCGCAGCACGCACGACGCGGTCGAGTTCATGGACGCCTACATCAAGGACCTCTCCACCACCTCCATCCTCGGCCACAAGGAGGCCACCAAGCTCCGCCGGAGGAACCGATCGTCATCTGGCGGCCCGCCGGTCAATCACGATCGGCACCACACAGGAGGAGGCACGAAGGGCGAGGGTGAAGAGACCCACACGCCGCGTCCCGGCGCAACCACGGACGATGGCGATCAGCGTGCGGCCGATGTTGAAGACGATGAGAATGGTCATCGTCAGAGCGGCAGATCCCCAGCCTTCTCGGTCCGATCGCCTGCACCTTCGCTTGAAGACGTCAGCCTCGACTAAACAAAATTTTTCGAATGTCTGTTGAGGGTCGTTGCCGCGATTCACCTCTGGGGTGTCGACATAACTTTTGTGTTTTAGTGAATTGGAAGAGCAGAAAATGACGAAATACGAAAAAAAGGAGCACATCAGCACAAATACGTAAAAGATGGAGATTGACAAGACCACGCCGACTGCTGGTGCGATCATCGAGAAGGAGGGAGGCAGCGCGTTGGACATTGCCCTTCACCCACTAGTTCTGATCAACATTTCGGATCACTACACGCGTGCCAAGTACTCCACCGAAGAGAAGAACCCTCGCGTGATCGGTGCCCTCTTCGGCGTCCAGTCTGGGCGTAATGTAGAGGTGACCAATTCGTTCGAGTTGGTCTACAACGTCATCGACGGCGCTGTCGTAATCGACACCGATTACCTCAAGGCCAAGCAAGAGCAATGTACAGTTTGCCTTCTGCACGCACTGCTGATTTTTTTTTTTTTTACAAAACGATCTTCTCGTGCGCAGTCGTTACCGTGTTCAAAAATCATGACCTGCTGGGCTGGTACTCCACCGGTGCTGAATGCAAGCCTGCCGACATCCAGATTCACAACCAGGTGCCGATCATCCTCTCTTGGAGTGCTTCAGTGTGACATCATGGTGTCGCCATAATTCTAATTAACCCTTCGCTTTCTCTTTCCCGCCATCTATGTCTGATTTTGCGTGGCCCCAGTTCATCCCCTTCAACGAGTCGCCCCTCTACCTCATCCTGGACACGCTGGTCAGCAAGGTGACCAAGGGCCTGCCCGTACAGGTCTTCGAGTCGGAGCTGAGGATCATCAACGACGAGCCCACTCTGCTCTTCTCCAAGGTCCAGTACCGAATTGAGACTGGTGAGGCCGAGCGTATCGCCGTCGACCACGTCGCCCGCGTAAGCGCCAGCGGCACCGCCGAAGGCTCGCAGCGTACGCTCCTCTATCGCACACATGACACACACGACAGCTCTGTTCGACGACCACGGGGTGAACGCACCACCGCACCACCACCGCACAACCGCACAACACTGCGGTCAGCAAAGCTGATTTTTCTTCTTCTGCAGTTACCACCCACCTCCTGGGCATGCACAACGCCATCAAGATGCTGAACGGCAAGATCAAGAACCTCACTTCCTATCTCCACGCCGTTGAGAAGGGTAATCATCATCGCACAGCTTAGACTCCGTGGAACTTTCGCGCACGTCGTGTGCTCATGGTCGTGCTCTGCTTCTTTCATTTTCGCTCAGGTGAGGTGCCTGTCGATCAGAACCTCCTGCGCCAGGTGGCCACTCTTTGCAACCTTCTGCCGGCCATCGACACTGCTGCCTTCAAGGCCGACTTTGTCGGGGTACGTGCGCCCCAATTGCTGGGCAATGCGGTCGACTGTTGTCTCATGCCAAGCTCGCCTCTGTGTGTGTGCGCATTGCAGGAGTACAATGATGCCCTTCTGGTTACGTACTTGGCGTCGATCACCAAGGGTACCTCCCTGACGAACGAGCTGGTGGATCGTTACAACGTCGCCTACGATCGCCAGGGACAGCGCAGGGGACGAGGCTTTGGTGGCTTCATGTAAAGGTTTCTTCTTTTCTTTTGAACAAAGCTCACACCTGCCCAGGGTGGTGACAAGCTCCAGTCGATTCGCACACCGCGCTTGGTCGGCGCTTGAAATTGATATTTCTAGCACACCGTTTTTTCCAGGCAGAAAGGAAAACACGCAATTAACAATCTTGTACGCATAGAAATCATTTTACCAACCACCTATGGGCCGGACAAAGATTTGGCTTGATTGCGACCCCGGTACGTGTTGACCTTTTTTTCCGTTTTAATTTAATTCAAGGATCTGACGTGAGATCAAATCGGTGGTGTCGCCGGGGCAGGGCATGACGATGCGATGGCGATCATGCTGGCCGGCCACAGCCCCAGCGTGGAGCTGCTGGGCCTATCGACAGTGGCCGGCAACCAGACCGTGGAGAAGACCACCGTCAACGCCCTCCGCGTGCTCTCCCTCGCCGACATCCGGGGCGTCGGTACACACCGCGGTCTTGCCCTCCCTGTTTTCCCCCCACACCGCCGTCACTTGCCAACACTGCTTTACGCGTGTGTGCGGTCGTGTGGCGTTGTGTCGTGTGTGTCGTGTCGTGTGTCATGTGTCGTGCAGATGTGGTGATGGGCCAGGGGGCGCCGTTGATGCGCGAGAGCAAGGTGTGTCCGGAGATCCACGGCTCCAGCGGGCTGGGCACTCGCTCCGGCCAGGAGGTGCCCGACCTGCCGCCCGTCGGCCGCCTCATCCCCAAAAAAGGTGCACTCTCTCAGACCTTAGGTACCCTGCGAATCATCAATCGGAATGCTGATTGTGTCGTGTGTGTCGTGTGTGTCGTGTGTGTCGTGTGAACATACGTATCGTCATCAGCGATCGTGCACATGTACGACGTGATCTCGCAGCACGGCGACGGGGAGGTGGTGCTGGTGGCCACCGGTTCGCTGACCAACGTGGCGCTGCTGCTGATGGTGTTCCCCGAGGTCAAGGCCAAGCTCGCGCAGATCGTGCTCATGGGCGGCGCCATGGGCATCGGCAACACCGGACCCGTCGCCGAGTTCAACATCCAGGTATCGCGCCAGAGTGCCCAAGCAATGGAATGCGCGGAATGCTCACAGCTTTGAGTGGGTGCCAGTGCGATCCCGAGGCCGCCAAGGTGGTCTTTGAGTGCGGCGTTAAGCTCGTGCAAGTCCCTCTCGAGGTGATTCCCAATCGCCCCTCCGCTCGGCAGCGCGCTCGGCACTCACTCGATTTGCCCATCGTTTGAATGATGTGTGTGCGTGTGTCGTGTTATGTGCGTGTTGCGTGTTGTGTGTATTTTCTGGCAGGTGACGCACACGTGCCTGGTGACGGACGAGGTGGTGAAGGCGCTGGAGGCGTTCGACTCCCCCTTCGGCCGCCTCATGATAGACCTTCTCCAATTCTTCGCCCAGACCTACAAGGATATCTTCTTCTTCGACTTCCCTCCTCTGCACGACCCCCTCACCATCGCCTACGTCATGTAAGCTTCCCTGCCCCCCCCCTCTCTTTCTCATCTGCCGCCGACCACCTTGTCGACCAAGCTCATCCTTTCCACACAGCGACCCGTCCATTTTCCAAACCAAGCTGCTGCGAGTCGACATCGGTTCGTCTGCGATCATCAAATGATGACGGCCGTGGTGGTTGTCCCCGCCCCACGCTGGCCATCTGACCCTGTCAGGATGTGATTTGGGGGGGGGCTGCAGAAACGAGCAGCGAGCTCAGCTATGGACAGACCGTGGTGGATGTGTGGCAGATGAGCCTCAAGCCACGCAATGTGCACGTCGCCCAGCGCGTCGATGTGCCTGCCTTCTGGTGCGTTCGCTCTCTCTCTCTCTCTCTTGCGCACGCACACGCACACGCCGCACGCTTCTTGGGTGGCTCACTCGCCCTTGTGCTAAATGCGTGCAGGGAGCTGATGCTGGCGGCGCTGCGCAAGGCCAACGAGCGGAGTCCGCTCAACTCGCTCCCCGCTGGCGCTCCAAGCGAGGAGGTGGCCGGCGAGGTCAAGCAGGCCATGGAGCCCACGGACGACACCAGTGCGCGCGAGGCCGGCCTGGCCGCGCCCCTACCCGAGCGGCCCATGGTGCCCCACTAAACGCGCGTTGCCGGTTTCACATTCAATAATAATTGTCAAAAAAAAAGAGTACTAGATTTTACATGCGTGGCTTGTTGAGGAAGCGGAGGGAGAGGTAGCCGAGCAGGCGGGTGACGAGGATGACGCCCACCACAAAGATGATGTCGCCCCACCAGTTGGTCTCCACGCCGTAGTGGTCCAGCACCTGGCCGCCCGTGATGGGCGCGCCCACCGAGTTGTAGGCCGAGCGCGTCGCGGCCGGGGTGAAGGTCTGGTCGTGCGAGAGGGCGAACTCGTTGATGAGGACCAGCTCGTAGGCGTACTTCATGAACGAGATCCACCGCGCCCACGCGATCCACACCGGCAGGTTCTCGCGCGCGATGAAGAAGCCGCCCAGCAGCACCGAGCCCAGCACGACGATGACGGACATGGTGAGGGCCTTCTTGACGTCGGGCACCGTGGCGCCGATGAAGAGGCCGATGCTGTTGCCCATGAGGACGAAGAGGCACATGATGAGGACGAAGAAGAAGAAGTTGCCGGCGTAGTCGGAGAGGCCCACCATCCAGTAGGAGATGCACGAGAACAGGATCGGGAGGATGAGCTCGAGCGGGGTCTCGGCCAGCGTCTTGCCCAAGAAGTAGGCCGACAGCCGATACGTGCCCGTCGCTCGCTCCTTCGTCAGCACCGCGCGCTCTGGCGGAACTGTCGTGTGTAGTGTCGGGTGTCGTGTGTAGTGTGTGTGTCGTGTGTGTCGTGTGTGTCGTGTTCGAATTAGAAATGAATGGAATGTGCGGAATGGTGGGGGGGGGAGGTGGCGACGTACAGGCAAAGAGGGAGAGGAACCACGTGTGCATGATCCAGAACATGGTGGAGAAGAAGAGGAAGCCGGTGCGGTCGCCGATGGCCGACTCCTTCTTGTCCATCTGGAACCAGAGCAGGCCGCCCAGGAGCGCGATGAGAGCGATCTGGATGAGGTGCATCCACGAGAGGATGTCGTGTCGCCGCTGCTTGAACGACCGCACCGCCATCACCCACGTCTGCGCAAAGAAGCTCGTCGGGTACTTCTTGCCCTTCTTCATGTCCCGCACCGCCTCGCGCTCTTCGTCATCGAGCTGGACCGGCTTCGCCTTTGACGAGCCATCGCCATCGCCGCGCTTGGCCTCGTTCTCGGCGTAGGTGTCGATCAGCAGCTGGCGCACGGTGCGGCCGTCGGCGATTGTCTCGGTCGATGTGACGACCTCGAGCATGAAGTCGGCCGGGTTGTAGCGCGGCGGCGAGTGGAGGCCGAGGCGGGCGCAGTAGGGCAGCACCCCGGCGGAGCTGCCCGAGTAGACGACCCAGCCGCCCTCGGCCAGCAGCACCACGTTGTCGAACATCATGAACATGGAGGAGGAGGGCTGGTGGATGGTGGTCACCACGGTGTGGCCGCTCTTGGCCAGGTTCTTCAGCGTCACGATCAGCCCGAGCGACGTAGCGGCATCGAGACCCGAGGTGGGCTCGTCGAGGAAGACGAGCGAGGGGTTGTTGACCAGTTCGTTGGCGATGTTGGTTCGCTTTCTCTCGCCACCCGACACTCCGCGCTGCACATCACGTGATGTTACCATATGAACAACGGTTGGCATGCAAGGAATGTTGGTTCTACGCGGGTTGTAGGAGGAAGGACGTGACGTACCACCCAGCCGCCGCCCACGATGGTGTTGGAACACCGCTGGATGCCCATCTCCGTGATGATGTCCTCTACGCGCTCGCGCTTCTCCTTCCAGGAGAGGGACTTGGGCAGCTTGAGGTAGGCCGTGTACGAGATGGTGTCGCGCACTGTGAGGTTGGGGAAGAAGATGTCGTCCTGCAGCACGTAGGCCATGCGTCGCTTGAGCTGCCGCCCCTGCACCGGCTCGCCGTTGACGAGGATGTCGCCGGTGACGTTGAGCTTGATGCGCCGCGCGAGCACGTTGAGCAGCGTGGTCTTGCCCGACCCGGTCGGCCCCATGATGGCCACCACCTGGCCGGCGGCTACGCGGCCAGAGACGTTGTTGAGGATGGGCACCTCCTTCTTGGTCTTGAAGTAGTTGGCGATGGTGTTGGGGATGGGGAGCTTGAGGAGGAGCTTGACGAAGAGGTTGCTGGGCGGCAGGGGGATCACCACCTTGTAGTTGATGTTGCGCCACTCGAGGTTGTAGCGGCTCTTGGGCGGATGAACGGAGAACGGGCACGGCTGGTTGACCTTGGCGTACTTGCTCACCACGCCCAGCCCGTTTTCCTCATCTCCGCCCACCACGAGGCCATGCTGGTGGGGCAGCTTGCCGCCGCTGGCATCATCTCCTCCGTCCGCGAGACCAGCCTCTACATCCCGGATCTTTCGCTGCCCTGCCCAGTCCTGCAGCTCCACGCTCTCACCGTCAGAGGACGACGAGGAAGAAGACATGTCCCAGAGCCTTGTGCGCCTTTAGTTCTGTTGCGGGCACTGAGTTGTTTGCGCCTCTTTTTGTACTCACACTCTCGTCTGCGCGACCAGTACGAAGAACGCGCCGCTGTGCCCGGCGAGATCACCGTACCGCCCGAGGGCATTATTCTTTCCCCGAACCCCCAAAAAGCTTCCACCATCAGGGTTTCTTCAAAATTCACGGCAGAATTGCGAGCCACACACTAGCTTGCTTTCGTCCACCAATAGCTTTTTTACTCGGAGAAAAGAAGTGACAAAAGGAGCTTGGGGGGGTTAATTCGTGTGATTATCATTATTTACATATTTGAATGTAAAGACCCCAAGTACTACTTTGCCGAAGAGACGCTGCGCTCCGCCAGCGCGGAAAGGGAGGAGAGGAGGTCGTCCGTTCCGCGCGCCTGCATGTGCGCCAGGTCGAGTCCCAGCCGCATGCCGAGCCGCGCTCGCCCCTGGGCCTCCAGGTCCGCCTCGTAGCACACGCACCAGTGCTGCAGCTCTCCATCGCCTTCTTTGTTGTGTTCTGCGGCCTCTCCGCAGCTGGTGTTGTGGTGGCGATCGTGCTCCCGTACAGACTGGCCGGGGTGGGCAGCGTCCGAGGAGGAGCTCGCCATACAGCGCGAGAGGGATGGGGCGGGGCTCACACTCCACACCCCGCGTCCGCGGAAGGCTCCCCTGTCGTAGGCCCACTCCTGCCGCACCCCCGCCCCCGCCACCACCTCCTCCCTCTCCAGCTGTGACCATCCTCCCTCCCCCCCAAAATAAAATACATCAGCCGCGGCGAGTAGAGAGAAGGTGTCAACTGTGCTGGTACCACGCCCTCCCAGCAGGCCCCGAGGGGGCTGCACACGCGGATGCGGGTCGGCTGCTCGGCACCGCCTGGTGGTGATGTCCGACAGTCCTGCTCTGCCAGTGGCGCGACAGTGAGGTCGGAGGGCCACCAGCGCGAGTAGTGGGCGGGGTCGCGCAGGGCGTCCCTCACCGCCCGCGCCTTCTTGCGCTCCTTCCTCTCCTCCGCTTCCTCGTTCCCTGGTGCGTATGGTTGTTGAAGCCTCGGCTGGTGTGCGAGGAGCACGCAGTTGCGGGTGTGGATGGTGCCCTGCGCCCTCGACTGCCACCACTCCGATGCCATGGTGCTGCTGCTGCTTTTCTTGCCGAGGTTGGCTCCTATGTGTCTCGCCAGGCATCACGCCGACCGTGATCACTGGAGGTTGATGGTTTCGACAGAACGGCAAATCTGGAGAACGTCGCAGCGGTTTGGGGTTGAACGTTGCGTGTTGTTGCGTTTCGACAAAATGAGACAAAAAAAGCTGATCGCTCTTGCCGGGTGAGGCGATGACGGTGGCGGTGATGATGATGATTTACATGCGCGGTTTGTTGAGGAAGCGGAGGGAGAGGTAGGCCAGCGTGCGGCACACCAGGATGACGCCCACCAAAAAGATGATGTCTCCCCAGATGTTCGTTTCCACGTCGTACTTGTCCAGAATCATCGAACCTGAAGAAGGCCAGTGACAGGTCAGCAACGTCGTTGCTAGAGTGGGTGGTGGGCGGTGGGCGGTACCAGTGATGCGCTGGGTGGCGGGGTCGGTGATCTCGGTGTAGGCCGAGGGGTTGGACGGGGTGAAGGTCTGGCCCTGCGAGAGGTCGAACTCGTTGATGAGCACGGCCTCGTAGGCGTACTTCATGAACGAGATCCACCGCGCCCACGCGATCCACACCGGCAGGTTCTCGGCCGAGATGAAGAAGCCGCCCAGCAGCACAGACCCGAGCACGACGATGACGGTGAGGGTGAGGGCCTTCTTGACGTCGAGCACCGTGGCGCTGATGAAGAGGCCGATCGATCCGCCCATGAGGGTGAAGAGCCACACGAGCACCACGTAGAAGATGAAGTTCGGGAAGTAGTCGGAGAGGCCCACCATCCAGTAGGAGATGACGGAGGAGATGAACGGGAGGACCAGCTCGAGCGGGGTCTCGGCCACGGTCTTGCCCAGGAAGTAGGCCGACAGCCGGTAGTTGCCCCCGGCCCGCTCCTTCGTCAGCACCGCGCGTTCGGGCGGGACTGCGCGCGCGAGAGAGAACGAGAGATGAAAAGAAAAGAGAGAATGTGAGCGACACAACGCAGTCAGCGGGCGACGAGGGCACTGAAGGGGTGCGTACAGGAGTAGAGGGCGTTGAACCAGGGCTGCATGATCCAGAACATGGTCGTGAAGAACAAGAAACCGGTCCTGTCGCCCAGGGCGCTTTCTGCGCACAGGAGAAATGGGGGTGAGCCCACCACAAAAAACAAAACAAACGAAACGAAACGAAACAAACGAAAAAACAAGCAGCACGAGGGGGGGGTGAAGACAAGGGTGGTTACCCTTCATGTCCATCTGGAACCAGAGCAGGCCCGAGAGGATAGCGATGGCGACGATGGTGAAGGTCTGCATCCAGTTGAGGATGTCGCCCCTTCGCTGCTTGAAGGCGCGCATGGCCATGACCAACATCTGGGCGTGGAAGGACGTGTTGTACTTGGGACCCTTCTTGATGTCGTGCACGGCGCTGCGCTCCTCGTCGCCGATGGTGATCGGTGGTCGCTTGCCCTCGATCGTCTTCTGGTTCTCGGCATAGGTATCGATCAGCATCTGTTTCACCGACTTGCCGTCCTTGACCGTCTCATTCGCCGTCACCACCTCCACTATTGCCCCCAAACGAGAAAGAGTTAGTGCGTGCGTGCGTGTGCGGTGGTGCGTGTGCGTGCTCTGCGTACACATGAAGTCGGCGGGGTTGTAATGGGGCGGGGCGTGGAGGCCCAGCTTGGCAAAGTAGGAGAGCACACCGGACGCGGTGCCGGAATAGACCACGAAGCCGCCTGGCGTCACGCGATGACGAAAAACAAGAGTGAGAAACCGGTCGACCGGTTGTGGTGGACAGTTTGGCGTGCTTTGGAAAGCTCTGGGGGGGAGGTGTGGTACCTTCGGCCAGGAGGAGAACGTGATCGAACATGAGGAACATGGAGGAGGAGGGCTGGTGGATGGTGCTCACCACGGTGTGGCCGCTCTTGGCCAGATTCTTCATGGAGACGATCAGCCCGAGCGACGTCGAAGAGTCGAGGCCTAGATGAATATAGAGGCAGAGAGAGAGAGAGAGAGGAGAGACGCGGTGTTGATGATGTTGTCGTTGTTGGTGATGATTTAATGCGCGGAGTTAGTTCAAAGCTCCGGTCGCATGTAATCGGGGCCGCAGAACCAATCAAAAGGCCGGGCCGTACCGGAGGTGGGCTCATCGAGAAAGATGAGGGACGGGTTGGCCACCAGCTCGTTGGCGATGTTGGTTCGCTTGCGCTCTCCGCCGGAGACACCACGCTGCACATCAGCACGCCGAGCCCGTTAGTTGAGTGCGACGAGTCCCCGCACATTGCAACAGAAAACACACAGGTGGAGTTACGCCAAATCCGGCAAAAAATATAACCCGGGCAGAGAAGCACGTGAAAGGAAAGGAAAATGGTGGCACGACACACAGCTGTGCTACCACCAGTAGACAATTAGCCGAGGCACGCTTTTCGCCTTCTTTGCGGCCGCACGTCAGACACCCCTGACAGTGCCAGCCAGCACAACAGAAAAGGAGAACAAACGAAAAAGAAGAAAAATACAAAATACAAAAAAAAAGAGAACGGCGAGTGACGAGGGTGGAGTGGTGGGTGTGACGTACCACCCAGCCGCCGCCCACGATGGTGTTGGAACACCGCTGGATGCCCAGCTCGGTGAGGATCTCGTCCACCTTCTCGCGCTTCTCCTTCCAGGAGAGGGACTTGGGCAGCTTGAGGTAGGCCGTGTACGAGATGGTGTCGCGCACCGTGAGGTTGGGGAAGAAGATGTCGTCCTGCAGCACGTAGGCCATGCGTCGCTTGAGCTGCGCCCCTGCACCGGCTCGCCGTTGACGAGGATGTCGCCGGTGACGTTGAGCTTGATGCGCCGCGCGAGCACGTTGAGCAGCGTGGTCTTGCCCGACCCGGTCGGCCCCATGATGGCAATGAGCTCGCCCGAACGAACGCTGCCGGAGACGTTGTTGAGAATCGGCATCTCCATCTTCTTCTTGAAGAGATTGAGTATCATGTCGGGGATGGGGAGCTTGAGGAGGAGCTTGACGAAGAGGTTGCTGGGCGGCATGGGGAACACCACCTTGTAGTTGATGTTGCGCCACTCGAGATTGATGTGATGCTTGGGCGGGTGCTGCGAGAACGGGCACGGCTGGTTGACCTTGGCGTACTTGCTCACGATCGCCATCTCCTGGTCGTCCTCGTAGAGGGCCGCCCTGCCCATTTCGTCCTCATTTTCGCCCTCATCGTCGTCCGACACTTGCTTGTTGTTTTTGTGCGCCGGCTTGTCGTTTTCCTCGTACGTCGCCAGCTCGTACTCCTCGGAGGACGAAGAAGAGCTGCTCATCCTTTCTAGACCTTGCGCTTCGGCTGTTGCGGCGTGGAAGAAAAGATGTACGGCCGTACGTGCAAGCTGGACCTAGATGAGTGTGGCGGTGACAAGTACTGCTCAAATCCTCGCTTGCGTTCTCTTGCTGCAAGGGACGGTGGCAGGAAAAATTGATCGCCTACCCGAATGTCCCGCGGACCGACTTCTATTTACCCGGAAATTTCGAGGTAATGTTCCTAGGCTTTTTGATGATTGGTGCGGGCAAGCCTTGGATTAATCCAATCATTTTTTGGCCGAAGTCAAGAGCCGTAGGCCGGAATGCGAGGAATGGATCAAAAAAGTTGCAAACGCTTCGCGTGACTTGCGTCCGGTTTTCCTGGCGCTTGGTTCTGTTCTCCCCGCACGCTGCCTTCTGCGTCGACTGCCCAGAGAGCCACAGAGAGCCACACAGAACGAGGGAGCGGTACACCAACACACATCCACCGCACGCACCATCAGTAACCACATCCCGACCCTAAGCATGTTCGCGCCTCGAACAGCAGACGCCGAGCAGCCCGAGCTCACTCGCGAGTCCTCCTCGCTGCTGGTCCCGCCGAACCGGCGCCAGCTCCGCAAGTCGGACAACGAACTGCACCGCCAGCGCTCGCGCTCTCGCTCGCCCACTGCCACCAGCTCTTCGTCCTCCTCGTCGTCCTCCTCCTCCTCCTCTTCAGCATCTTCATGGCGCACCGCGGGCAAGCGCCGCACGTTCAGCATGCGCGACCTCCTCCACAAAGGGCCATCCGAGCACTCCTCCACCTCTGCCCTCCTTGCCGCCTCCCTCTTCGCCTCGACTCCATCCGCGAGTAGCGGCAGCAGCAGTAGCAGCGGAGAAGAGGACACTGCCCGCCGCGAGCGGGGCGGACCTCGGGTGGTCTTCCGCTTCGGACTCGCCCAACCCGTCACCGCCACAGCGAAGGCGCGACAAGCTCAAGTCCTTCCTGCGAGCCAGCGGCGACGGGCACCATCATCACAGTGCTCGAGCCGATGGAGAAGTAGAGGACAAGAAGCACCACCATCGCCACCGCCATCGGCGCAGCGACGAGGAGGCGCAGGTGGACACGGGGGACGACGAGCGACCCCATCGCCATCGCCTGAAGCCGCATCGCTACCATACCGAGGCCAACTTGCGCCAAGCCAGGGCGCCCCTCATCACCATCGACGACGCCTCGCCTCTCTCCTCGCCCGACGCCTCGGTACCCCACAGCCTCTTACACAAAAGAAAATCAAAGGAAGGAAAGAAAAGGAGTCACACGGCTCGAAAAATTGGTTTCTTAATTTTTGTGGTGCCGCTGCTCGGGGTGATGCGTGCGGTGCTCCGTGGGTCGAGCCAACACACGAGAAGACCGACCATCACCACCACCAGTGCCACTCCAATAATCCCAACCTCAACATCATGTTTAACGCGGCCCCGCCCGCACGCCCGCGGTCGAGAAGCGGCAATTTTGCTGACGCCTCTTCTGTCCTTCTTCATGCCGCCGCCGCCACCGCACCAGCAGCTCGCAGCTATCGCCCGCAGCCACCTCTCGTACCTACCCTCACCTCCGACCCCCGATCTTCTTCTTGTGGCTCTTTTTTTGTCGACCAGCGTGCTAACCCCTGGGTGCGCAGGGCATCGACGACGGAGACCACCAGGGCGGGCCGACGCCCCACCTGGCCTTCGCCGAGCCGCCGCTGCTGCTGCTCGCTGGGACCCAAGGCGCAGCCGGTGCGCTGGTCTCGCAGGCCTCGGCCGCCACCACGCGCCCGCACGCCCGCACTAGCGGAGCTTACGACAACCCGCAGCAGCAGCAGCACCACGCGCGCCAGGAGCAGTACCGTCAGTACCAGCGCCAGTACCAGCACGAGCACCCGCTCGAGGAGCTACGGCAGCAGCAGCAGCAGCAGGAGCCGCACCAGCACAGTCAACGTCCGCACCCGGCCTGGCGCGCGCGGAGAGCGCACCGGCGCTGCCGCCCATGACCCCGCCGGCCCACTCGTCGCTCGCCGCCATCGAGCGGGCCTTCCCCTCCTCCTCCTCCGCCGCGCAGCCCGATCGCCCGCCTCGCCTGCCGCCGCTTTGCGGTACTCTTTCCTCTCTTATAGTCTCACCATTTCCGCACAATGTAACCATCATCGCGCTCACCTCCTCGTGTCGTGTCGTTGGTCGTGTCGTGTCGTGTCGTGTCGTGTCGTGTCGTGTCGTGTCGTGTCGTGTCGTGTCGTGTCGTGCCGTGCCGTGCCATGTCGTTGGTCGTGGTTGTGTGTTGCAGAGGCTGCCGATGAAGGATTGGAAGCATGCGCAGGCGAGAAGAGAAGGAACAGGATGGCGCGGGTGCGCGAGCGTCGAGCCGCCGACAAGACGGCCTCGCACGCGGTGCTCTACTTCCCGGATCGCACCGAGGAGTCCGTCATCGGCGAACTCGATCGGCCTCGACACCTGCATCGCCACCACGACCACCACCAACACGATCAAGAGCAGCACCATCACCACCACCACCAATTTCATCGTCATAGCAAAGAAGCCAAGTCCAATCCGTTCGAGGTGGCCCACTTCCCGCCGCCGCGGCTCTACGGCAGCTCGCGCCTGTCGTCGGCCCTGCCGCCCGGCTCGCCCTGCCCCGCGGCGGCGGCCGACGTGGACGTGGGCCACCGGCGGGAGACCCGCGCCGAGGGCAACACAAAGACCGACGAGGAGGAGCAGCTGCCGGACTTCCCGTTCCCGGTCAGCCCGCCCGACACGTGGGCGCTCATGCGGTCCCTCGAGCAGCTCTACCGCGACGGGCGGACCGCCATCAACCGCGACACCATCGTCGGCCGCAAGCTCTACAATTTCCGCGACCTCTCCGGTGCGAGCGTCGCCCAGCCTCGCCGTCCGCTCGCGACAAACGATCGTTACTCACTCGGACCTTCGTCACGTGTGTCGTTTGTCGTGTGTGTCGTGTGTGTCGTGTGTGTCGTGTGTTGCAGAGGCTACGCAGAGCGCAAAACACGGAGTGAAGGTGGCGTCGCAGAGAATATTCAGGTCGGCGTGCCTGTCGCGTGGCGATGTGGACCACGTCGACGTGGTGAAGAGTCTCCTCTACCTCAAGGAGTTCGTGCAGGTCAAGACCATGATCGACTTCCGGTACTCCTCTCACCCCTTCTCCCTTCTCTTGCCTCTTCGCTTGACATCTCCTCACACATCCACTTCGTGTGGTGTGTGTTTGTGCGGTGTGTGTGTGTGTGGTGTGTGTGGTGTGTGTGTGTGTCGTGGTGGCGGCGGTGTAGAAATAAGGACGAACGGATGAGCGATCCGCTCGACCCCGTGGTCGATGCCGTCTACCCGCGCATCAAGAAGGGCACCTTCATGGACCCGTCCTCCTGCAAAAGGCAAACGCTCCACACCCGCATATCTCGCATTCCCTTTTTGTTTTATTTATTGTTTTAGAATGATTATTTGTTATTTTTATCACTTTCTATTTCGTGTACCAACCTTGTTGTACGACAGGTACAACATTCCGCTGATGAACAAGAGCTTCAAGATCATGGGCCTCTTCCTGCCCTCCAAGTGGGGCACCAAGATGAACATGGTCAAGGCCGTCGTCTACGGCTCCGAAAAGACGCCCACCGAAATATTCGCCGAGGAGGCCATGAACCCGATGGTGAGCCTGCGCTCCCGTCTGCCCCAATCCAATGCGGTCCATCCTAACACACGCGCGTGTCGTGTTGCGTGTGCGTTGTGTGCTGTGTGCGTTGTGTGTGCCGTGTCACCACCAGGGTCTGCTGGGGCTCAACAAGCTGATGCTGGTGTACGGCAAGGAAGAGATCGCCCAGGTGCTCCGAATTTGCGCCAACTCGTCCAACTACCCCATCATGTACCACTGCTCATCGGGCAAGGATCGAACGGGTACCCAATTCACCGCACCGACCAACGACACGACACGACCAACGACACGACACGACACGACACGACACACTCACTTTCCGAGCGTGGTGGTGGTGGCGTGGGTGGTGGCAGGGTTGATCACGGCCCTCATCCTCCTGTGCTGCGGAGTGGACGCCCAGGACATCATCACCAACTACCACCAATCGGAGATCTTCCTGTCGCCCGTGATGGACCGCATCACGGCGGAAAACCAGGCCAAGGGACTCAACGCGGGCTTCGACGGGACGCCGCCCGAGGTCATGGAGCAGACGATCGGCTACATTTTCGAGAAATGGGGCTCAATCACAGGTACCACACACACAACACACACAACACACGAGCCGCCCAACGTGCAGGCTCGTAAAGCCAACTCGCCTGACGCTTGTCCACCACCACCACCAGGGTATTTTTCGTATATTGGATTTGGAAGCCGTGACCAGGTATGTTTCCTCTGCATCATCATCATCATCATATTGGCACCGCCCCACTCACCTTTTGACCAACCGATGGCTGCAGATGAAACTAGTGCAGCACCTGGCCCACAACTCCCGCAAGTGAGAGGGAGGCTGGCCCCACCCATTCGCCTTGCATCCTTCTTGTTGCAGTAATAGATATATGCTAAGTGGTGTGTATTTACTACATTCACACCAACTTACACAGCCTAGCAGCCATACAATAACTTTAATGAAGGTTTGTTGTTGGTGTGTGGAAAGAGTGTTGTTCGGCTGCCGCAAACAAGAAAAAGAACCTTGCAAAAGAAAGAAAGATGATAAAATAAAAGAAGATACTAAATGGACCAGTGGGTGAGGCTCAAGCCTGTCGCACCAGTCACTGTGGAAATGCATGAGGTGGTGCCGGACTTCCTCTTCCTTGGCAGTGCCCGCGCTGCCGTCGCCGTGGAGCGCCTGCGAGAGCGAAGCATCACGCATGTGCTCACCGTTACGGACATCCTCCCGCGCCGCACCAGGGAGGCCTTCGGACCCGCCCACCATCTCCACATCAACGTCGACGACCTGCCCGGCGAGGCCCTCTCCACCCACTTCGCACGCGCCATCGCCTTCATCGGTGCCCACCGCCCACTTCATGTTTTTCTTTTTAGGTTAAAGTTGAGCACACACGTGTGCACCCTGTGCTTCACTGTTAATTAACGTTATATGTTGATATGTTGATATGTTGTTCTTCTATAGAAGGGTCAAGGGAGGGGGGTGGCAGGATCCTGGTGCACTGCACGGCGGGCGTGTCGCGCTCGGCGTCGGTGGTGATGGCCTACCTCATGCACGCACACGGCCTCACCCTCAAGCAGGCCTTCATCCACGTCAAGCAGCGACGCACCAGCGTGCGGTGCGCTCACGATTCTCTTCGCCTGAGAGACTCGAAACAGACTCAAAAGCACGGCGCGTTGAGAGACTGACTCGTGTGTGTGTGGTGTTTGTGGGGTGTGTGTCGTGTGTAGACCGAACGGAGGGTTCATGGAACAGCTCGATGCCTTCGAGCGGGAGCTCCACGGCAGCTCGTCCATTACGCCGCTCGAGCTCGTACGTGCCCCCAGCTAGGAGCAGACGTGCCACGGTGCGTGCGTGTGGGTGTGCGTGCGTGGCTGATGGGTTGTGGGCACAGATCAACATTACGACGGTGTACCGTAAGGAGTGGCTGCCGGCAATCACAGGCCGAGAGCCGGAGCCGCTGCCCGCACCCACAACGCGAAGCGCACCGCCGACGACGGCGGCGGCGACAAACACGGAGGAGGAAGAGGCCGCCACGTCGCAAGGATGATGCGAGTTGGGTGTGTATGAAATTAATAAAGCGTGCTGCGTGGCGACAATAGCCAAACGGGCCGATCTGTGGTGGTTCACCAGCGGAGTCGGTGGTTGCAGTAGCCGCTGGGGTTCTTCTCCAGGTAGAGCTGGTGGTAGTCCTGTTGACATCGAAGAGACACACATGCGCGTGAGGAAGGCCATCACCATCGACAAACATATTGCACGCCCACTCACTCGCGAGTGCACGCGCGTGGCGTACCTCGGCCGACCAGTATTGGCCCACCGGGACGATCTGAGTGACGATTGGAGTACGCGGGTAGTGCTCCTTCTGCACCTTGTCCTTCACCTCCTCTGCCACCTCTGCGCTCCCACGTTACGATGTCTGACGTCAGATCGCTGCTGTGTTCACTTTCACTTTCGCGCAACAAAACGAAACGCACTCTTCTGCTCGGGCGTGTGGTAGAAGATCACCGAGCGGTACTGGGTGCCCACATCGTTGCCTGACGTCACGCGCGGCACGAATGTCAGTAGATGGTCGGTCTGCCTGCGCCGACGACATCAAGCGCTGGCAAGGTCAAGCGGTGAAGGGAGTACCCTGGCGATCGACGGTGGAGGCGTCATGAATGCGAAAGAAGAACTCGACGAGGCTCGCGTAGTCCACGGCGTCCTTCTTGAACTCGAGCTTCACCACTGCCCAGGCACCAGCAAAGTGGTAAGCAATGGGGGAGGAGACGAGAGAAGGAGGTGGAGGGGTGGGAAGAGGGTGCATGTAGTCGGTACCTTCGGCGTGGCCGGTGTCGCCATCGCAAACCTGACGGTAGGTGGGGCTGGACTTGTCACCGCCAGCGTAGCCGACCTCGGTACTCGCCAGGGCAGAGCCGAACTCCTTCCGGAAGAACTTCTCCACGCCCTACACAGTAATCACAGATTCCATCTTCAGCAAATTGATGTACTTGCTCGCGAGGGTCCAGGGTTTCGTGTGTGGAGGGCTGCGTACCCAGAAGCATCCAGCGCCAAAGGTAGCGGTTTCGGTCATGTCTGCAGAGTTGTGCGGACTGTAGAGGCGGCGAGCGTAGGAGCCCGAAGAGGTGGTGAGGGGGCTCTTGAGAGAAGTGGAAGAAAAGCTGAAGCCGGAAGCGCGCCTCGTGGTGGAAGCCTGCGCGCTGCTAGCGAGTAGCGAGAGAGTAATAAAGGAGATGCTCAAGTAGAAAACGAACAAAGGCGCTACCGTGCAGCTGGCTCTTGCGGTGCCGAGATGCGTTGTGTAGAGAGAGGTGTTGATCTGTGGATTGAGATTCGCAGCCCGCAAAGATCGCCACTTCTACACGTGTGACGTCAGGCCTACGCGGCGACACGCGGAAAATAAGGAGGAAAATTTAAACTATGCGGCAATTAGAAATCGCCTTTGCCGTTCTCTATCTCTGTATTTGCCGCTGGAAGAGGAGGAAGATGAAGGGCCTTGTCGTGCTGGTGGTGATCGCCGCCCTCACGTTCGCGTCGCTTCCGGCGCGTGTGGAGGGCAATGGGTGGACGTGCTTTTACTGCACCATCATCACCAACACGCTGTTCGAGTACACTCTCACTCACGGCAATGACATGGGCCAAGCCCTTGAGCAGGTGGCCATTCATTCTTCCCCCCCCCCCTTCTCCTCCCTCCGCTTCGTCTTCTTTCTTTTCCTCTTTTCATCTCCGTTGGTACCTCACCTCCGGACAATACGCGCGCAGGTGTGTTACCTGTTCCCGCAGGAGTACCAGCGCACGTGCGAGGACATCGTCTTCGTAGCCGGCCCCATCATCCTCAACTACTACGTGGCCGGTTCAACTCCCGTACGTGCGGCGCTACGCCCGTCTTCGTCTTCACGAAGGACAAGCCGCTTCGTTCTTTGTCCCTGATCTTTTTATTAATTTTATTCCTTTTTTTAAAAAATATTTATAATGCAGGACGAGGTGTGCATCAATGGGTTGCGTATTTGCGACAAGCCCGAGTGTGTTCTCTTCCCCCGGAACAACGCCTCCTCTTCAGCCTCCGCTCGCGTTAGCCGAGGTGAGTCCCGCTCCGCTCTGCCTTGGTGGGCACACGTGTGTGCGGTGAACTCTCGCTAACTTGTTTTATGTCGACGGGTGTGGCGCAACAGAGGAGGGCGTGAGGGACCAGCTGTTGGCCCTGTTCGACAAGCTCGCCCGCACTCCTCGCCGGTCCGTGCGCGCCGACCCCGTCGTGGACCACCTGCCCCTCGTCGACGATGACGACGACCGCTTCTCCAGTACTTCCTGCGCATCAGCACCCATCTCCACTCATAAGGCCGACGTTTTAACGCCCTTGGTGTGTCGCGTCTTGTGTTGTGTGTGCGTGTGCGTGCAGCGTTTGCGACCCTGCGCGGTACCTCGTGGCGCGGCAAGGATTGCGACGACCATGATCCGAATGTGTACCCCGGCCGCAAGGCGGCTCCCTCGGTACGGCACTTTTCTTCGTCGTCGTCGTCGTCGTCGTCGCAATTCACGATCACGAGACCAACCAATGATGATGTGGTCGTGGTCGCGGTGCAGGGCAAGGAAAGCGCGGACTACAACTGCAACGGCATCAACGGAGTGGACCCCACGTCGGGCCGGCCATGGAAGGACCTCCTGTGCGCCAACAGTCAGCAGATGGGCGCCGTGATCTTCGGCGACAGCGCGGCCGTATGCGCTCTCTGACCCCTCCAACTAATGACGCGTGCGTGACTCACATTCCACCCAACCAGGCCCACTTCAGCATCAAGCCCGAGTGGCTCGAGGGCCAGTACATCAACTCCACGACCTACTCCGACCTGGTGTTCGGAGCCACCAACGAACTCGACTGGCCGCACAAAAGCTGGTGCCCTGCTTGCTTCTCTACTGACCAAAAAGAGCGAACCACCGGCTCACATGTGATTGGTGTGTGTCGTCGTGTGTCGTCTGTCGTCTGTCGTGTGTCGTATGCGGCGGCACAGGGTGACCGGTCACGTGGAGGATCCGTTCGTCGACTCGCTCTATCTGCGCCTTCGCAAGCAGAACCTCTGCAACCACCGCGACTACCAGAACGTGGCCGTGAACGGCGCCAATTCGCTGAAGCTCAAGAGCATCGTGCCCACTGTGGCGCGAAACGACAGCTTCGATCAGCCCGTCCTCGCCGTGTACGCCAACATCGGCAACGACATCTGCAGCCAGCGCCCCAACCTCGACCACGTACGTGGATGGATGACGCAACCTACGCCGCACCCGCCTCTGATTCCTGACTTCTCGTCTTGCTGACATGCTCGCAATGGGCGTTGTGCAGATGACCTCGGTGGCAGACTTTACGAGCAACGTCATCAGCACCCTTAAGTACCTCGACTCTGGCGTGCTGCCCGCCGGGAGCCACCTCCTCCTCGTCGGCGTACTCTCTCTCTCTCCGTCCACCCGTCTTCGTTCTTTCTTTCGTTCTTTTTAGCTTCGATTGGGCTCCGCCGATGCTGATTGATTGTGTTGGCCACCTCATCACGACGACCACCATCATCAGCTGGTGGATGGCCGCTTCCTGTGGGACACGCTGCACGCGCGGATGAACCCCATCGGCCGCCCCTACGAGGACGTCTACTCGTGGCTGGCCTGTATCGGCATTAACCCCTGCTGGCAGTGGTACGCGCCTCGCCGCACGCACCGCACACGCGTTTTCTGACACATTTGGTTGTGGGGGTGCGGTGTGGGTGGTCGCTGTGTGTTGCATTCAGGCTGAACCCCAATGCCACCATCCGCAACGCTGCGTCGACCCGCGCTGCCCAGCTGAGCGACGTGCTGCTGCAGATCTCGAAGAACAGCACCTTCAAGCACTTCGACACGGCCTACACCCCCTTCCCGCTCGCCCAGATCGCTCAGCAGTGGGAGCAGCGAGGCGGCCAGGCCGCCGACCTCATCGAGCCCATCGACGGCTTCCACCCGAGTCAGATCGGCCACTACCTCATCGTACGTTGCCACTCCACACCGACAGACACGTTTTGTTGCCGCACGCGTGAGCGCGAGGCCCTCGCTCACTAGGTACCCTTTTGGTGTTGTGGCACACGCACCATCGCACACACAATCGCACACGCACAATCGCACACGCGGGACAGGCTGGCGACGTGTGGAACGGGCTGCTGCAGAGCCGGCCCGACTGGATTCCGGCGCCCAACCCCAATAACGCGCGCATCGCCCAACTCTTCGGTGCCCAGGGCGGCTACTAGTCGGCTTTGCCTTCGTCGTGCCGTACCGGATGTTTGAAGTTTCTCGGCTGGACCCGGTTGGTTGCTTTCTTTAATTGCGCGTCCGCAAGTGGTTCTTGGCTTCCGAATCTGCCGATCGTTACCCGGCACCAAATAAGACAACCGGACTCGGTGGCGCACGCGAGTCGTGCTGGAAGAACTCCACAACTGCCCCCTCGATTGGGCTTGACGACCGGCCGTTCAACAATTAAGATGATGTTTGTGTTCGTGATCCTCTTCTTAGGTGCGCTACTCCCTCCTGCTGCTGTCCATGGACGTTGGAAATTGCAATTTTGACGTGATTTTCACATTTTTGATGGATTTGGATTGGGGCGAGTAGTGGGAGGATCGACGTGGGCGGGAGCGGACAGCCCGTGTAGCGGAAGCGGGGTGGTGTGGACAGAATCTGCTGGCTACTTCGCCCTCGATGGATCGCTCGAAATGCCTGACGCCATCTTCAACGCCCTTGCCCGCTTCCCCACCCAGGACCACAATGCTCTCACCGACTCTCTCGACTGCACCTGGGTCCTCTACCCTAAGTATAACGGTACCACGCTTTTCATCATTTGTCCATTATTCGCGAATATTCTCTTATTATTTATCCTTTTTATTTTGCATAAGTCTTATAAGACTGGTGTGGCGATGTGCACAGGGAACTCGAAAAACGAGAGCAACTCGACGACACAACGGCAGGTGTTCGTCTACATTGACATCCTCCTCCTGGGCAGCGGCGATTCGGTCACCTTCTACGCCGGCAATTCCACCTCCGCCCCCGAGGTCTTCAGGTGCCCTTCACTTCCCCCTTCTTCTTCTTCTCCTCCTTCTCTTTCTATCTCGCTTTCCTCTCACTTGACTGCGTGTCTGCGGTGTGTGCGGTGTATGCGGTGTGTGCGGTGTGTGCGTGTGTGTGTGTGTGTGCGCGCGCGCGCATGTTTTATGGTAGCCGTACTGGTCCCTATGAGGAGAGCGCGTCGCAGGTGGTCAGCTCCAATCCGGGAGAGCCCCTCTACATCCACTTCGTGGGCACCTCGACCGCCGCCAAGAACCTCGGGGCCTTCTTCCAAGCCGGTACCCGCTCCCCATCCACCCACTCGCCGGCTCCCCCGCCACCCCACCACTGCAGCACAAACGGGACTCATGAATGCCGTGTGTCGTGCGGTGCTGCTGCTCGCAGGGGGTTGCCTAAAGGGAGTTCAGACCTTCAGGCAGAGCGCGGGGTCCTTTAGCGACGGGAGCGGCTGGGTGGCCGACTACATCGAACGCTCGGATTGCGCCTTCCTCGTCGGAGGTACCTCGTTGCCGCGTGTACACGTGTGTGTGTCGGCCGATGATGGCGTGACCTCCTCGACCGACTCGGTTGCGTGTGGTGCGCGTGCGCGTGTGATGGACAGGGCAATCGAACAAGCTGGTGTCCCTGGCTGTCCAAGGCAACCTCGAGGAGAACTTCGACTTCGTGTTCGTGCGCGACGGCACGTCGGAAGACGGTACCCCCCCCCCAGGGCCTCATTTTTGCGTGTGTGTCGAGAAACGAATGCATTCGTGGAATGTAACGCATCCGGGAAGAATGTGGCTCATCGGTGGTGGCTGGGGCTGGCGGTGTGCGTATCGACACACACAGCGCCACTGGTGGCCATCTACACGGGCGCCATCGACGAAACGATCATCAGCACCAGCGATTCCCTCTACGTGCGCTTCGCCTCTGACAAGTCGATTGTAGACCAGGGCTTCAATGCCTCCTTCACCCTCATCGACCAGAGTACGTCATCGTCATCGTCATCGTCTTCTCTCTTCCCCCTCCCCCTCCCGCGTGAGCGCTCACGGACTCAACGCAATAATTTCCAGCGGGGTGCGCGGGGCGGACCAATCTCACGGACAACCGCAAGTACTTCACCGACGGCTCGGCCGGGAACACGTACCCGAACAACCTGGACTGCGAGTGGTGGATCAGCCCGACGCCGCCCGTGGGCGAGATCAACCTCTACTTCTCCGAGTTTGACGTGGCCGAAGGCGACTACGTCGCTATCTGGGCCGCGTACGTAGCCGCAGCCACATTCCATTCATTCCACACTCGTTCACATCCTCACCCACACCGATTGGTGGCGTGTATGCAGTGTGGGCGGCGTCAAGGACCAACAGCTGGCGCGCTACTCTGGCTCCTCCATCCCCAGTGCGCCACTCTCCGTAGTTAACGATTTTAATTAGCCTCTTGTTGCTAAAATTCAATGTTATATTTACAATATTATTTGTACATTTATTATCATTATTCATATTATTATTATCTCTGCCGTGTACAGACCCGATTCGGCACGAGGGTGATGAGCTTGTGGTGCACTTCCACACGAACGGCAACAAGGCGGCCCAGGGCTGGGCTGCCGTCTACTCGGCCGGTAGGCCTTCCTGCCCCAACTCCACACTTGGAAAAAGTTTGCGGGTCTGACCTTCGTTCGGCCTCCCCCCCGTGCGTCAGGTTCGTGCCTCGCACAAGGCACTGCGCTGGGCCCTCGCTCGGGAGAGGTGTCCGATGGCAGCGGAAACGATATTTACAAGGCACTCTCTTCTCTTCTCCTTCTTCTTCGATTCGAAACCGTCTGACGGTCTAACACCTTTCCCGCCTCCCATGTCATCGGCCGTATCGACCAACCCCACAGGACAGTCTCAGTTGCTTCTGGCTCATCGACCTCTCGGCCGACCCCGAAATCGAGAAGTGCGCACCGCACCGCCTCTCCTACCGACACTATTATTATGATGATTATCATATTTTTTTAAACTATTGATATTGCCCGTAACGTTTTTTTGTTCACCGACTTTGTGCAGGATCGAATTCGAGTTCACTCTGTTTGACCTGGAGTATCGCTTTGACTACGTGTCGATCTACGATGGCAACTCGGTCAACTCTCCCATGGTGGCCGAGTTCACCGGTTCCACGCCCAACATCACCGGCTACGCCACCACCCGTACTACTTTCCTTTCACCCCCCCCCCGGATCGTGCTCACTCATGGCCGGCCGCAGCGGCGCTGACATACAATCTATGACGTGGCGCGCGCAATCGACATGCCAGAGTCGAAGATGCTCATCAATTTTGTAAGCGACGCCGACACCGGAGGCCAGGGATGGCTTCTCAAGTACAACGCCGTCAACTTTGCGCGTACGTCGGACCCACAAGGCCCCCCCTCACTCCCCGTGTGTGTATGTGTGTGTGTGTGTGTGTGTGTGTGTGTGTGTGTGTGTGTGTGTGGCCTCGCGTCGCATGCTCACGCGTAATGTGCTTGTGCGCGCGCAGCCGTGAGCTCGGACAACAGCTGGATCACCGCGGTGGTGGCCGTGGTCGTGGTGGTGCCGTCCATCGTCGTCTTGGGCTGCCTCCTCTTCGCCGCCTTCGCCCTCTGGATCTGGTACCGGCGCAGCCACAAGGTACCCGACCAACCCCTTTGCACGACCCAACGTTTTTTTATTTAACATTGTTTTTCTCTTCGGTTTCCTGTGTCTTTCTTTCTTTGCAGGAGGAGCAACTGGTGGAGCCGGACTACTACCAACTCGTGACAGCGTCCACCATCGAGCCGCTGCTGTTCGTTTCCGCCAATTCCTCGCTCCCGCGTGTCAAGCACGACCCTGAAGGCCTCGCCAAGTTCACCGCCGTACGTTCGCCACCGCACACGCACCAAGACGGCTCTCTGCCACTAAGCAAGCTTGCTCGGGTTATGGCATTGTTTTGAAGTTCTCGCTGCTGACACACACACACACACGCACGACACGTGTACATACAGCTCCTTCTTGATCCCGACTTCGCTCAAGCGCTCATTCTCGGCGCCAAGAAGTCGCATATCGAAGTCGACACGGTGCGCATCAGCAGGCTGATCATGCTCACCTACATCTACGCCGGGCGACCGCTTGCCATCCTCCAGGCCCAGCTCGCGCGCGAACTGCGCAAGGGTACGCTGCGCACACGCACACGCGCACGCCACGCACACGCGCACGCACACGCACACGCACACGCACACGCACACGAGGTTCGCTGACGGAGTCTCTTCTCTCGATCTGCAGGATCGAGCAAGACCATGTTCCGGGAGGACACGGCGCTGACGACGATGTTCAAGGTGTGGTCCAAGGTGGAGGCCATGCCCTACCTCTGGCACAGCTTCGCCCAGCTCGTCCAGGAGGTCAAACACATCGCCGCCGCCAAGGTGCACCCCCCCACCCGCAACCCCGTTCATATTCTCGTGTGCGCACACGCACACGCACACGCACACGCACACGCACACGCACACGCACACAACACACACGGCGCATGGACGCCCGACTCACATGACACTCGCGTTGGATGTGCATTTATTAGAACAAGAACCTGGAGCTCTCGGAGTCGTCGAGTAATCTGGAGGTGGACCCGAGGCGGCTGACGGCGGACGACAACAACCTCCTCAACACGCTCCAGCTCGAGCTCGTGGTGCAGAAGATGCTCTTCAAGCTCTTCTCCTCCGCGCCCAGCTTCCCAGGTGACCACCGCCACCCCCTCGTCCCCCCCTCTCCTTCTCCCTAAACACGACACACAACTGACCCGGGCGCGATCGACACCCGACACGCGCGCGCATGTGCGACGCAGGGAGCTGCGCAAGTTCTGCCAGATGCTCAAGAAGGAGATCCGCAAGGTCTTCCCACGCAAGGCCAAGAAGTACCACCTCCCCCTCCTTTGTGTTTGTTTACCCCACTTCTCTATTGTTGTTATTATGCATCGTCATCAATAATTTTATTGCTATTATTGCTTATTGCTATTGCTGTTGTTGTTGTTATATTATTGTTGTTATATTATTGTTGTTATATCATTGTTGTTATTGTTTCTGACGTTGTTGGGCGTGCACCGCCAGGTTCTACCGGATGGCGGTGGGCAATTTCCTGTTCCTTCGGCTGTTCTGCCCGGCCCTCGTGGACTCGTTCGAGTACGGACTCATGGACTCCCCGCCGGACACGGCCTCCCTCCGCCTGCTGGTGCTCATCTCGAAGGTCCTCCAGGGCATCGTCACCGGCAGCGCCTTCCGGTGCGCTGACCACATATTTTTCTTATTTTTCTTATTTATGTATCTATTTACTCGTATTGCATTCATTTCTTATTTAATTATATTATCATTATTATTATGGGTTTCTGTTGAAAATGGAAAAGGCGACTGACGTTCGTCGTTTCAGGGAGGACTACATGCAAAACATGAACGCGTTCACCTCCCAAAACCTGCAGTCCCTCGTCCAGTACCTCGACGACATCGCTGTACGGACCCGCCCGCCCGTCTGCCCGTGTGTGTGTCGTGTCGTGTCGTGTGTTGTTCCTGAGCCGGCCTGTTTGCTCACTTATTGCTCGGATGACAGCGAGTGGAGGACAACGAGGAGTCGGACAAGTCCAGTGAGGAGCCGGACAACGACGATGACGAGCTTGTCGAGGAGAGGTACGCACACAACACACAGAACACCACACACAACAGACACCCGCACCACCCATTTCCAACCGTATTGATGTGTTATTTATGTATTAATGTGTGATTGTGTCGCCTCGGCAATATAGGCCCGTCATGGAGATGTCGGTGGAGCTCGACGTGTTCGATGTTGAGTCAGGCCTCAAAATGAGCCAAAACGTGGACAAGGCGGCCAGGAAGCAGATGTCGGACAGTACGCACTCTCACGGCCCCGGATTGCCTTCTTTCCTTTGCTTTCTTTTTCTTTTGCTTCTGGCTGGTCTGTCGTGTGTGTCGTGTGATATCGATGTTTGTGTGATGCCGTGTGCCTGATCGTGTGCTGTCTATCAAACGCAGGCCAGCTGCAGGGGATCCCCGAGATCCTGCGAAACAACCGCAAGTCTCTGCGCGTGAATCGAAACCAGGCGATCACCATCCTGTGCGCGTTCGCCGTGTCCGTGGCCCCCGACGTGATCGACGCCATCACCGCCACCCTGCCTGGCAAGAAGAAGGCCAAGGTATGCCTTCCTTTCGGGCTTTCTAAGAAGCCATTTTTGTGGCGGCGCTTAACGCAACGTTGCTCCGCACGACACAACACACAACACGACAGGCGTTGGAGCAGACGTTCCGGGAAGTGCTTCCGCTGCTGAGCGACAAGGGCTACTCCGGCGATGACACAGGGGAAGACAGTGACGAGGACCGACTCTAATAACTCTTCTATATTTTTTTTAAAAAAACAACACTATTGTATGATTTAATCATCGACAAAACCATCCAGGTGGTGGTTGCACCAAGAGGAGAAGCTGTGCTCATCTTCAGCAGCACAGAACTAACATCAACGTCCACATGGATTCTTGACACACGCGCGGAGACTGACCAATCAGTTGGCAAAGCAAGGCGAGTCAGGTCAGGTGTCTAATTAGAGTGCTTCACAGAGAAGAAGGTCCAGCAAGATGAAGCAAGAGTGCAGAGTGGGCGCAGTGTGTCCCTCCTTCACTCGCCTCGCTTGAGCACCTGCATGGCCTTGGCACACAGGTTCACATAGACGCCCTTGCTGCAAAAGGAAGAGAAAAACACAATGAAGCCACGGGAAGGGAAATCAGCTAAGCTCGCATGACACACCCGACACACACGACACAGTACCTCTGGCATTTTTGGTACTGCTCAGTCTCCAGGCGGACGGCCTCATCGATAGCTGTCTGCATCCAGGCATCATCTGGCTGTCCCGCACCTGTCGTGTGCGCCATGTCACGTTGCGTGTCACGTTGTGTGTGTTGTGCGTGTGAGCAGGACAGGTCGCGGTGATGGGAGGGACCAGGAAAAAAAGAGAGAAGTACAGCTGTCGAGGGCAAAGTGGAGGAAGTGGTGTTTGCGGAGCGTCTCCTCGAGGAACTTGTCGAGGACGGCCTGTCGCACGGCGCGCGGGACCTTGGGCTTGAGGTCGAACGCCACCGTCGGGTAGCGGGGCGCCGGCACAATGTCCCGCGGCTTGCCCTGCAGCTCCCGGTACTCCACCTCCTCCATGTCGTCCTCTTCCTCCTCCACCCCGCCGCCGCCGCCCATCACCGCCACCTGCTGCTGCTGCTGCTGTTGCGGAGCGCCGGCCACGGCACTCGCAGAATGCGCCGGCCCCAGGCCCAGGCTCGCCGCCCTGTTTATTGTCATTATTGTTAGCGTTAGTGGAATTATGCATAATTAGCATAATCAGATTATCATTATCATGATTGACGATAAGCAAGAGTTTGTGGTGGGGGGCGTACTGGCGGGCGGCGTGGGCAGCCGACTGGTGGCGCCGCTTCTCGGCCTCGTCCCGCTGTCGCTGCTTGTCTTCGAGGTGCTTCCTGCGCTGGTCCAGCATGGCCCGCTGCTTATCGGCTGCTGTCAGCTGCCGCTGCCGCTGCTGCTGCTGGCCTGGGGCAGGCGCTAAGGAGGCGGCCGACGTGGCAGCGGTCGTGGTGGTGGCAGTGGCGGACGGCGTTCGGGCGGCAGCGGGGCGCACCAGCACGGGCATGTCCTTGCGGAGCTTGGCCAATCGGGTGCTGCCGGACGACGACGACAAAGCTGATCTGTTGACTGACGGCCTCGCAATGGCCGACGTCGACGTCGGCAACGTCGGAGCGAGCGACGACGATGACGACGATGCGTAGGCAGGCGCGAACGATGACGAGGCGGTTGACGAGGTCGAGAAGGCGTAGGGGAGCGAAGAGGGCGCGACCGAGAGCGACGACGCGCCGGCGCCGGCGCCAGCGAGGGTCGACGGCAGCACCGGCGCGTAGAGCTGCGAACCGCTGGGCCGCGGCGGGTGCGAGCCGGTCGACGACGAGGCATGCGCGGTACTACCCGAGCCCTGCCCTGCGCGCTGGGCCATCATGCGCTTGTGCTTCTCCACGGCGAGCTGGAGCTGGGCGCCCTTCACCTCGAGCGCGCGCTCCGTCGGCGCGTCATCGGGCTCGGCCGGCCTCTTCCGGAAAAAACCGGGTATCTGGCCCGCCGCCGCCGCCGTCGGGCGTGACTGCCCGGCCGATACGGTCACGCGTTGGGCTCCAGGCGCGCCCGCTGGTCTCGCGGATGACGTCATGATGCCCTTCGTGGCGGTGGTCGTCGCCGGCACCCGCTTAAGCAGCTGCCTGGGCGGCGGGGCGGCGGCGGCTTTCTTGGCTTTTGCCTCGAGGAGGAGCACATCGTCATCGTCTTCATCATCATGTCGTCGTCATCGCCGCTGCCGCTCAGGTTGAGCGGGCTGTCGAAACTGCCCATTGGCAGCAGGGGATCGTACTCGTCCATGGGCGCGATCGGTTCGACCCGCGCTCGCTTGACAATGCCAGCAGGCGGCGACATGGCGGCGGTGGCGGCCACCAGTGACTGGGCGGCGGTCCGGCTGCGCGGGTGCGGTTGGGCCGAGGGCGGGGCGGGGCGCGCGGGGGCTTCGAGCTTCCGCTTGTCCCCCGCCTGTGGCGGCGCCCTAGCGGCCTGCTTGGGACCCGTGGTGGGTCCCTGGGCCGCACGCTGTGGTCCACCCTCGCTCGCCGACGGCTTGGCCGACACCAAATTTTTGGCTGCACACGGCACGACACGCACAACACACGACACACACACAATGCGTCAGCCATTGGGAGGAGAGCCACACGCGCGCACACATACGCGCACACGCACACGCACGCAGCTTGAGAAGGCGCAGCGGCAACGTACGCTCGGGGCGCGAGGCGGGCTTCTTCTTGGGGAGGGCGAGGCTCATGGATGGGAGGGAGGATTTGGCGCCGGTTCCTCGCAGCGCGCTCAGCCCGCGCAGGCCCTCGCGCCGTCGTCCCAGCAACAGCGGCTTTTTCACCGACGGCGCCGACGCTGTGGGCTGCTGCTCGTAACTCGCGGCCGAGACGTCCATAGGTGCCGGCGGGGCCGCCGACGACAAGCGGGCGGACATGGCCGTGAGCGTGGCCACCAGCGACGCGTGTGGGTTGTAGGCGCCCGCGGGCGCGGGCGCGCTGGGCTGTGGCGGGCGAGCCTGGTAGCCCCCGACCGGTGCAGCCGACGACGAAGATGGCGGCTGCTGCTGGGGCGGAGCTGAGGAGTAGGAAGATGATGAAGAAGAAGAAGGTGGTAATGGCTGTGGTGGTGCGGCTCCGAGAGACTGGTAGGGAAGTGGTAGGCCGCCGGCTCCGGCCAGCGCCTGTGCGAGGACCCTAGCGAGGTCCACCGCTGCCAAGAGGGGAATGGTGGGTGTGATAAGTAAGAACAGGCAGCCGACAATAACGACATTGGGCGCTTCTACACGACCGCGACAACACCACAACGTACGAGAAGGCCTTGGTGGGGGGGGGACGTACAGCTGCCACCGGGCGGTGGCGCGAGAGGAGGCGGTCCGAGCGGCTGCGAAGGGAGAGGGTACGCTGAAGGGACTGGGGCTGGGGCGGGGGCTGGGGCCAGAGGCGCTGGTGCTGGCGTGGTGGTAGGGGCAGCTTGAGGCAGCTCCTCGGTGGCTACTCCCTTCGATGCTGCCAGCAGCGCCATCGCGTCATCTGCGCGTAGCAGATCGCCGTCAGGGCCAATGCGTAGCGCCTAGTACGGGAGGGGAAGGTCATACCATGAGAGTAGGGACACAGGCGGCCGCGTGGACAGGAAGAAGGTGGTGGTTGGCCATCGTCGTGTAGTCGGTTGAAGAGATAATGGTGCAGATGCGGCGGGAAGTGGTCGGTGCAGCCAAATTGCGAAAAGTACTGAGTCCCCCGAAACATTCTTCCTCCTGCATACACCCCCATCGTCACCCATCAGCACTCAATTTGTGCCACACGATTAATCGTGAAAAAGCCTTCTAATTCACAAATCCAACCTTTTGTTGCCGAGACGGGCCAAGAAATGTAAGAAAACAAGCACTAAGGCTGAGTGTCCCACTCCAACGCCCACTTACGACTTCAGCCGCACGGCTTTGCGCTTGTGATTGTAATTCTCTGCTAACGTATGAAAATGCAAGATTTTCTTTGTCTTCAAAGAGAAAGAAACAGGTTCAGGAAATGATTATCTCTTAAGGTTGCAATGTAGCGATCAAATCAGCCAATGGACAACAAGAATAGTGACTGAATTTATGGAGGAAGGGTGAACAAGGGTGCGGCAAGTGATACACAAGCCCAAGGAGAAAGGATGGCGCTCTATGCGCCATTGAGTCAGCTGTTGTGGAATAGTAGGAGCGAAGGGAGAGAGGAGAGTAGGTTCAGTTGAGGAGGGCCGAGATGGACATGATGTTCGCGCGCTCCTGCATGGGCGCGGAATGCGACGCAGGTGACGACGCGGACGAAAATGAGACGAACGGCCTCTTAGTCGATGCTGAAGAAGCGGGCTGCGAGTCGTTGTCGGGTTGAGGCTGGAGGTCGCCGGTGTCGTCGAAGGAGCTGTAGGGCTCGGCCTCCTTGGCCTTCCCGAACGGACTGGTGCAGCCCTGGGCTCGCTTGGCGTCCCGCTTGCTGGTGTGGGCCAGGGCCAGCAGCTGCATGGCCGACACGGCGGCCGCCTCGTCGGCCAGCCCGAGGAATGCTGCGGATTGGGCCGCGGCCATTGTGGACGACGACCAGGACCCACGTCGACGAGCAGCAGTGGGCTCGGCGGTCGGGAATGTCGGGAATGTGGTCGAGCTGGTGGCGGTGCTAGTCTTCTTGAATGTCGACTGGGACACGGGCGACACGCTGTTGCGTCGCGGGCGCCGCGGCTTGGCCTCGGCCGTAGTGGCGCCAGTGGTCGTCTTGGTCTGTTGCTTCTGGAGGAGGGCCAACAACTGTGTCTGGACTCGCGTAGTCTGCAGATCACACAAGGAATTAGCGACCAGGCAATGACAGCGCCAACACAACAACCTTGTTAATCCACAACCACCACAAGACCAGCAAGTGCACGCACCTCTTCCCAGTAGCGCTGCTGTTGGAACCATGTGCTGGAGTTCAGGGCGTCATCGACTGAGCGCGGAGCATCGGAAGGGATCGAAACAGACGTAGAGGAAGAGGAAGCGGTTTGCATGGCGATGTATGTGAAGCGGAGAAGAAGAAGAGAAGAAGGACGTGAAGCGGATGGTCTAGGTTGAGGATGATGACGATCTTATGCTGGAGAGGTCGGCGGACTCGTGATATATCGTATTGAGTGGTGGATGTGTTGGCTGATTTCGATAACTGCTGCCGTGGCCGTCTCGCCAGTACTTGTAGTGGAGGCCTCCGACAGCTGGACATGAGCTTGTCACGAGGTGGACCTCACGCCGGCCCAACAACTCTGCATAGTGCTGTCCACAGCTGAACGAAGGGGCAATTCGTCAGAAATTCGCCCTACCAATAAGAAAAAGCTGACAGGCCAGATTAAAAGGGTGAAATTTCACAATCGCCTCCAGCAATTCCTGCCTATGGGCGAACACGTGCATTCCTTAAATTGTCAAGGATGAATGTTGGGAGCCGCGGGTTCGAACCTTGGCGCAGCCCATATTTTCAGCTTCAAAAGCTCTACTTGATGTAGCCACACCATTCTCTCCAAGCAAGAAGAAACACAGTTCTTGTAGTCTCTATGGGTGAGCGCCAATGACCATGCCAGGCAACTGAAGGACTTGCGAATGTCGAAGAGCTCTTCGTAGCAACGGACAGAACTGTCGGAGTGAAGCAGCGCCAATCACATTTAAAGTCCGACCAGCCGACAACGCGTGCCTTCCGTGCGGCACCACGCGAACAACTCAACTTCGGGCAGGCGAGGAAGGAGAGGCCAGCTCGACTTCATCTCCATCCATCCATATTCTTCTGGTCTTGAGCTATTCTGCTCTCTCATCAAGGGCTGCACGAAAAGGATTATCATCTTTTTTCAGCCGGACGACGAAGAAGAGGCCCTCAGCATTTATTTTACCTCTCTTCTTCTCTCCTTCATTCTCGTCGCTTTCATCGGAAGCTGGTCCACCACAAAAACATAGAAAGCGAAACATCTATGAGTTTCATGCTACGAAAAACATCAAAGGGGGCGACGTGGGACCTTCCACCTCCCTCTAACGATATGGCCCTCCCACCCCCTCCCGCACACCTGGGCGCCCCTCCCGCCCCTCCTGGTACCCCCCCCCTCTTCCCTCTTTCGCTTTCGCTTTCGCTTTCCTCGTCGTATTTTGGCTCATGTCGCGATCAACGACTCAAAGGCGCGGCGTCACCTACCGACCAACATCTACAACGAGGTACCTACCACCCCCAGTCTCCCCAGCCCGGGCCTTGGGTTATTTTGGGTTGCACACACCTGTCCAAAAGTGGCCACAATAATAAACAATAATATTATAATATTATTATTCCTATTTTTGACAATGTAGACTCACCATACACATGTATGTGTTGCATGTTGGCTTTTTGTCGTGTGTCAATACAGTGAGCGTGGCCTCGCGCATCAACCGACTCTCGACACCGCTGCCGCTACGCCCGAGCTCGTTCCAGGCCGGCTTGCCCTCCGCCGGCGGATCCCTCTCGTCGCCCTCGCTCCTCTCCCCGGCCTCGTCCCCCACCCTCGGCCGCAACCTCTCCTCTTCCGCCTCCGCCACCACCACACCCGGCACGCCGCCGCCGCCGCATTCAGCGGCGCTGACGTCATCATCGTCGTCGGCCGCCGCCACGTCACCGCTGACGTCATCAGTAGGCTACCGGCGCTCGGTCATGGGCGGCAGCCCTCTGCACAGCTCGGGCGACACCGCACTGCTCTCAGGCCAGGCCGGCCGCACTGCGCGATTCTCTTCGTCCGTGTCACTCCTCGGCAGCCCGTCGACACCGCCACCGGCCGGCGGCACTGACGACGGCCAAGGCAACAGCGGCAGCGGCAGTGGCAGCGCTTCGCCGGCTTCGGCGCTGTCGCCGACGTCGTCGCCGCGGATGAGCAAGCGGAAGAGCATGTTCGTCAATCCGTTCTCGCGGTCGTCGTCATCGTCGCCGCCGCCGCTGTCGCCCAAGTCCTCCGATGCGCACCCGGTGACCGCCGCGTCGGCCTGTTCTCCGCTCGACTCGCCCAAGAACCGCAAGACCGTCGTCATCACTCCCTCTTCTTCTTCTTCTTCTTCACCATCTTCTCCTTCACCGTCATCTTTCTCTTACGCGTCTTCATCTTCTTCTTCATCGCCATATTATTCTTCCTCGTCGATCAACTCCTACACGCCCGTCGCATCGCCGTCGTCGTCGTCGGGCGTGACGACGCTCAATCCGCTGACCGTCAATTCGTCGGTGTCGCCGCGGAAGAACAACGTGCAGCTGCTCAACATCACCGGCGGCGGGGGCGGCGGGGTGATCAAGGAGATGTCGGCCTCGCTGCTCAAGACCCTGCTGGGCGGCGACAACGCCAAGTACCCCGTCATCCTCGACTTCTCCAAGGGCTACCTGCTCGCCAACGACTACTTTGTCGCTTCGTGTCCCGACATCATCAAAGAGTGCGACACGACACACGACACGCACGACACGACGCACACGACAAGCATCGAATCTCACGTGTGGCCATTTGTGTGTGTGTGTGTGTGTGTTCCAGGATCAATCTCTCGCACAATCAGATCACCGAGTGCAACTCGCTCTCCCACCTGAGCAAGCTCAAGCACCTGTTCCTGGACAACAACAAGGTCTCCGACATCTCCTTCGAGGTGCGTCCACGCCCCACCACCATCACCTCTCGAGACCGCTCTGACTCACCTGTGTGTTGTGTGTCGTGTGTGTATGTCGTGTGTGCGTGTACGGTGGGTGTGAAATGTGCAGGGTCTGGTGAGCCTGAAGATTCTGTCGCTGATGGGGAACGAGCTCGAGTACCTGACCTCGATGTCGGACCTCGACAAGCTCGAGCACCTCAACCTCTCCGGCAACAAGCTCACCGCGGGCTTCCACGAGCTGGCCAAGCTCAAGTCGCTCCTCTCCCTCAACCTCAGCAACAACAACTTCAACTTCACCCTCCGCAAATTCTACAGCTTCCTCCTTGTACGCATTTCCAACCTTGATCTATTTATTACTATTATTTATTATTTGTTATGTGTGTTTATTTTAATGTAGTGATTTATTATCTTTATTTATTCATTTATTTATTGTGTTGTGCAGTTGCCGTTGAAGAAGCACACGAAGCTGCAGTCGCTGGCCATTGGGCGGGGCAACCCCGGCGCCAACAACATTCCGAACTTCCGGCTGTGGGTCATCCACGAGCTGCCCCAGCTCAAGATCCTCGACGAGCGTCCCGTCGAGAAATCCGTTCGTCCTCCTCCCCACCTGCACGTGTGTCGTCGTGTGCGGTGTCTGACACACACGCACACACGCACGCACACACACACACACACACACACACGACACAATGCAGGAGGTGGAGGAGGCGGCAAAGCTCGAGGCCACGGGCCAGTGGGCCGACAAGGACGGCGATCGGCTGGAGAAGAAGGGCAACTGGACCGCCCCCGCCGAGTCCACCACCCGCGTCGTGGCCTCCCACCTTAACATCGGTACCACCTCTCGCGCACTGCTGACGTCACCGTCACATTGACATTGACGTCGGCACTAATTATTGCACTAGGCACGGCGCCGGCGCCCGAGGAGCCCGCGGCGGCACAGCCGCGAGTGGTCAAGCGGGCCGACCACCTTAATGTCGGCGGTGGCGGCGATGCCGTCAGCGCCCCGGGTTCGCCATCGATGACGTCCGCCCTCAAGCGACACTCCCAAGGTGGTCGTGCGACGGCCCGACCTCAACGTCACGATCGGCGGCGACAGCAGCGAAGACGAAGGCAGCTCCCACGGCAGCGGGCGCAAGAAGAAGGAAAAGGAAAAGAAAGACAAAGGAAAGAAGGAAAAGAAGGGCAGCGGCATCAAGACCACGACAGTGCTCGGCAAGAAGAGCAGCGGCAACGGCACCGTGCGCAGCCGGGCCGGATCGGAGACCGACGATCGAGACAAGTGGCCCACCGACCCCTCCATCCTCGCCAAGATCGCCAGCTCCCTCCCCGTGCCGGCCTCTGCCGCAGCCGCCGCCCAGGCTCGCCCTCCCTCCACCGACGTACGTCGCACTCTCACCCGCCTTCGCTCTTTGCCCCCCCCCTTTCGTTCTTTGTTCTTTCCCTCGCTTTCTTTCTTTGACATTGGGGGGGGGCAGTTGACGCAGGGCGCGACCGCACAGCGCTTGTCGCAGCAGTTGACAGCCAGCCAGACCCAATTCGTCGGCGGCGCGCAACAGCAGCACCAGCAGCCGAAGCAGGAGGAGGGCAGCGTCGAGACTCGCATCGACTACCTGCGCTCGTTCTTCCTGCTCGACGAGCTCTCGCACACGCTGTGCCTTTTCGCGCAGGCGGCGGCGACGCCGGTGTGGGGCGCCACCGAGTTCCTGCACCTCAACAATCAGCTCAAGCAGCTCGTGGTCCACACGAAGGTCATGTACGAGCGCGTGCAGCAGTTCCTCGCCCGCTACCCGTTCGAGGAGAAGCGCATCACCGACGCCACCGTCGTCGTCCAGAACAACATTCGCGGCCTCGTCATCTCCGTCAAGCAGCTCAACGAGGCCCAGGCACGCGGGGTACGTCTCGTCGTGTTGCGTGTTGCGTGCGTTGTGTGTGTGTGTCGTGTGTCGTGTTGTGGAAACTAATCGCTGCGCGTGCACAGGGTACGGTGGCGACGGCTATCAGTGCGGCGAAGGAGCTGGCGCTGGCCCTGTTCCGGATGTTCAACATCGTCGAGGAGGGCGCGATCCCCTCGACCGACGAGACCGCCGCCGACATCCAGGAATGCGCTCGGTATGTGCCCTCCCTGCCGATTGAAACTTTCGTGCGCGCGTCTCACAGAACACACACACACACACAACACACGCACAACCGCAAATGATGTCGTTGCTCCAGGGGTGTGATGAAGCTGATTCAGATCGCGACGGGCATGTCGCGTGAGCTGCACATCGACCAGTACTCCGAGCTCCTCCTGCAGCAATCGGAGCGGGTACCGCCCACTCCCGCACGCGCCGACTGCACTCATCGCACACACTGACAACACGACCAACGAAACACGACACACGACACGACACACACAGTTGTCGCATCAGTTGAACATCAAGATCCCGACGCTCCAGAACCCGGAGGTGCAGCGACGAGCGGCCGCGTCGACGGGCAGCATCAACGGAAGCATCACCAAGCTCATCGCCCTCTCCAAGCAGTACCAGGCCGACCCCAGCCCGCTCCTCCTCCAGGAGATCCGTCACACCGGTACCACCTCGTCGGCCGTGTGTGTGTCGTGTGTCGTGTGTGTGTGCGTTTGTGTGTGTTGTGTCGTGTCATTGACTCACACTCGTGTGTCGTGTTGTCAGCGCAAACGATTGCGACGGAGTTCCAATCGATCAATTCGATGGTGCACACGTCGCGGTTCGCGTCGCCGCTGTCGCCCTACGACGAGCGGGTGATGTACGAGACCAGCCACCAGCTGCTGGTCGAGGAGAACAACTACGTCGGCATCCACGAAGACGCCATGCTCCCCAACGAACGCCAGGTCCTCGACCACATGAAGGTACCCACCCACTCCGCCAGTTCTCTGCATTCCATTCATTCTTGTTAATTCGGCTCATCATCGTTGGGTGGGGGGAGCAGACGATGATGCAATTGGCGGGCGAGATCAAGGCCGTGGTTTCGCTCAAGCCGGTCTCCACGCCGCACCTCATGCAGCTGGTACCCGCCCAAGCTTGCGCCCCCTTTTTTCTTTGCGTCCTGCACCGACCTGACCGCACACGCACACGCACACGCAGGTGTTGGACATGTCGTCGGTGGGCGCGGCCACGTGCCACCAGCTCTACGTGACCGCGGCCAACTACGCCGACCGCGCCACTCGAGAACAGCTCGTACGCGCTCTCGCTCCTCTCATCCCCTCTCTCAGGGTGGCCGTAGCTCACCAACTTTGGCCATTTTGTTTTTTTCTGTGCAGGAGCGGTACGGGCGGGCCATCCGGTACTACTCGTTCCTCGAACGCATCGCCCTGTGCTCCCTCATTCTCAACTTTGCTGCTCCCGGTACCGCCTCTTTCGCTTTCTCTCTTCTCTCTTTCCTCGCTTTCGCTTTCGCGTTATATTAATTGCTGACGTGGCTTGTCGACGCACTTGCGAACCAGACGTGCTGCACCTGTCGACGAGCATGAAGGGCCAGGCCTTCTGTACATCCAACGCCATCAAGATGATCCTCCTCTCGGCCCTCACCCAGGCCCCGCAACTCTCCGGCCCCAAGCGACACTCGGGCGTCAACTTCGACGACCTCCTCTCCATGCTCCAGTAATGATTCATCACATTACCAGGTTATGTTGTTGGGTTGAAATTGTTTAGTCACAGCGAAAAGCAAACAACGAAAACGACTGGCAGAACGCCAGAAGAACGTGTGTTCTCTGATCGCACACGCACACACGAAAAAAACACGCGTGGTAAGAACGTGTGTTCTCTGATCGCACACGCCCAAGCTTGGGCGCAAATGCTGGCTTGTTCGCTCATTTGTCGTAGTAGAGGGAGGAGGCGAAGACGATGTCGCGCTTGACGAGGCGGGAGGCCTCCTCCATCTTGACGTAGAGGCGCGAGTCGCCGATGATGCGCGCCGCGTTCTTGATCTCCTTGCACGTCTCGTCCAACCGCACAATCGTACGCACGATCGAACCCTCGGCCACGTCCGTCAGCCCCGTAATGTCCGCAAACGGCTGCACACACCCACGTATGCTTGCCGGTAAGCACGACACGCGCGACACGCGCGACACGCACGACGGGAAGCTGTGGACGCACCATGCCGCGAGCCCACTCGTAGACGACCTCGACGAGGCCGAAGTTGAGATTTTTGAGGTAGTCGTGCCTGCTGAGATCCAGGCCGCACTCGGTCTGGATGTCGAACAGCCGCTCTCCGATCTCCAGCATTTTCAAGCGCCCCTAGATCACGCACGCACCAGGTGAGCCAAGCCGTGTGTGTCGTGTCGTGTCGTGTGTGTCGTGTCGTGTCGTGTCGTACTTCTTCGAGGGTGCCGCCGAGCTTGACCTCGACGTCGGTCTTGAGTTCGAAGACGAGGGCCGAGAAGAGGGCGATGATCTCCTCCGCCGGTAGCTCCGTGAGTGCGTTCTCAAAGATCAGCTCCGTCGCGATCAGCTCGTCCTTCACCGTGTTGATCTACACGACACACACCCACACGTCACACCTTAGCACCGCACGACACGACACACACCACACACACGACACACGACACACGGCACGACACACACACGACACATGACACAGTACCTCGCGAGCGACGCGGCCCTTGAGCTGAACGGCGTTGTTGTCGTCGACGTAGTTGAGGAAGCGCAGGACGGACACGCGCTGCTGGAACTCGGGCATGAGCTGGAGGTTCTCGTTGGAGAGGTTGCGCCGCAGCTCGGAGATCTCGTCGACCAGCTTCTGGCGCTGCTCCATCGCCACGTACTGCTCCTTGAGCTTGGGACACGTGTGGCACTTGGACTGCTTCATCCGCTCCAGCATCCGCTCCCTGCGCCATGTGCGTGTCACGTGTGTCATGTGCGTGTCGTGCGTGTCGTGCGTGTCGTGCGCGTCGTGCGCGTCGTGCGTGTCGTGCAGTGTACCGGCGCATCCACTTGTCGGCGAACTCGAGGTCGTTGATCTTGAAATCGCGGACCGGATGCAGCGTCTCCAGCGGCTTGTCCGCGCCACCACCGCCACCGCCACCGCCACCACCTACACCCATCCCGCTCAATTAGTACCCGTGTGGCGTGTGTGTCGTGCGTGTCGTGTGTGTCGTGTCGGCGAACCCTTCTTGCCCTTGGGAGCGGGGCCGCCCTTGCCGGCGGGTACGGGCGCGACGACGACGGAGCTCTCCTGGAGGCGGATGAGCTGCTGGGTGACCGAGGCCAGCTCCTTCTTGTCGAGCCCCGGCGGCGCGAGCTTGCCGGCCTCGACCTTGAGCCGCTGGCTGGTGATCTCCACGATCTCCGACTGCGTCACCTCGATCGCCTCCGCCATCGGCACGCCGCCCGCGCTCGCGTAGAGGTCGTTGCCGGCGTCGGGCACCACCAGCACCCGGAAGATCTTCTCCGGCACCACGGGCTCGGCCGGGGTCTGCGCCAACGCACACGCACACGCACAACACGTGTCATGACACGCACGACACACGCCACATGACACACGCCGCGCACAGCACGACACACGCCGAAACGACACACACACACGGGAGGGGAGGGCAGGAGGGTACGTCTTCGAAGAAGGCGTCGCGCGAGGCGGCGGCGGTGCTCTTGGGGGCGGCGGGGGCCTTTTTGGAGCCGATGATGAGGGCCACGGTGTTGATGGGGTACTTGGCCGTCGAGATCCACACCACCCTCCCCGCACCCAACGCCTGCACCCACCACCTATCAGCCTCCACGCGCGTGTCGTGTCGTCGTGTCGTGTGTGTGGTGCGTGTCGTGTCGTGTCGTTGTGGAGGATGGATGGTCGGTACCGCTTGGGCGACCTTGGAGGCCATGATGGTTCTCTGGCACTCGGCGTCGAGCTGCTTCTTCTGGGAGGCCAGCTGGTAGTAGTTCTCGATGTCCGGCTCGCCGAACAGGCACTCCAGGTCCTGCAGCCCCGACAGCTTCGCCTCGTCCTGCCCCGCGTGCGAGCGAACACCTCACGTGAGTGTGCGTGTGCGGTGGTGCGTGTGTCGTGTGTGTGTCGTGTGTGTGTGTTGGTGGTGTGTGCAGCGAGAGATGAAGTGTTACGAGGATCAGTTTCTGGCGTTGCTGGGGCAGCGTTCGCTGGGTGAAGAACTCGGAGAAGGAGCGCTTCATCATGTCCTCCACCTTGAAGTCCTCCACACGCAGCAGGTTCAGGATCCTATGTTTGTCGTGCGTGTCGTGCGTGTCGTATATGTCGTGCGTTCATGTGTGTGCGGTTCGTTTCGCGTGAGTAGTGCGTGTGTGCGCACATGCAGTCGGGGGGGGGGGCAATACATGTTGTAGGTGAGGCGGAACTGCGACTCGAGCTTCTGGGGCTTGCCCAGGATCATCGTCTGGAGCCCCGCCGACGGAGGGAACTTGTCCTCCCTATGCCGACCGATCGCGTCGTGGCCGTCAGACCAATGCGAGGAAACGGGGGGGGAAGGGGGGATGTGTACTTGGTCATGATGATGACCGTGCCCACGGTGTCGAGACCACGCCTTCCTGCGCGCCCGCTCATCTGAATGTACTCACCTGATCGCGAGTGTGCCATTATTACGTCATGTGGCACGCGTGCTAACCCAATCACGACACACACACGACGCACACGACACACACGACACACACACGACACACACGACACACACGAGAGAAAGAGGTGTGGTGGGTACCGGCGTGGAGTTCGCGGAAGGCGCGTCCGTCGTGCTTCTGTACGTTCTCGAAGACGACGGTGCGGGCGGGCATGTTGACGCCCATGGCAAAGGTCTCCGTGGCGAACAGGACCTTGATCTTGCCGCGGCCGAACAGAATCTCAACCATCTGCGACGCAACAAGCATTCGAAATATTTGGGTGGGCGAGGACAGGTCAGCCGCCACCTTAACTTGAATGGGGGTAGGCAGGTGGGTGGCACCTCTTTGATGATGGGGAGGAGGCCGCCGTGGTGAACGCCGATACCGCGCTTGAGGAGGTCCTTGATGCGCAGGACTTGCGGCAGCTTACGGTCGGGACCCTTGAGGCGGTCGAGCGCGGCCTCCATGAAGACGTGGATCTCGTGCTTCTCCACCGACGTCGTCAGATCCGTGCTCGTCAGCCCGTGGGCCACATCCTGCGCACGACACACGACACACGACACACGCGCGCACACAGACACGCACACACACGCGCCGTTGCAAAAATTGGTCAGCAATCGGGCGTGGCCGAGGTGGTGGTGGGGGGGGCGGTACCTCGCACTTCTTCTTGGAGAAGGCGAAGACGACGACGGGCAGGAGTCCCTTCACGCGCAGTTGGTCGATCATCTTCACCCATTTCGTGCGTTGCTGCTTGACGCCGCTGGCTCGTGCGGCCTTGGCCGTAGCACCCGCGGACTTGGTCTGTTGGATTGGGCCGCAATATAAATATAACGCGAAAGCGAAAGCGACGAAAGCGAAAGCGAAATAAGAATATGTAAATAAAAACTAATAAATAAAAAAGGCAGACCTGCTTCTGCTTGGCCGCCTGCATGGCGGACTGGTAGCCGCCCATGAGGAAGTTGGACCGGTTGTCGACGATCTTGTACCGCTCGTTGCTCACCCACAGGTAGTGCTCCAGCGGCACCGGCCGCTTGTTGGTCGTGATCACGAAAATGTTCTTCTTCTTCGTCCGCCTGTCCCCCCCCCCAATCACAATGAGCAACAGCTGCGGCGAGTGTGTGTCGTGTGTGTGTGGTGCGTGGAGAGTACCCGATCCAGTCGGCGAATTCGAGGGTGTTGGGCACGGTGGCGGATAGCAGGATGAGGTTGACGTGATCGGGCAACATGATGATCACTTCCTCCCACACCACTCCGCGCTCGATGTCGTTGACGTAGTGGACCTCATCGAAGATGACCCACTCCACGTCTCGGATGAGATCAGCGCCGCGATAGAGCATAGACCTGATGACCACATCAACGATCAGCACGCTGCTGTGTGTATGTGTGCGATGGTGTGTGGTTGTGTGTGTGGTTGGTGTGTGTGTGTGGGGTGGTGTGGGGTGGTGTGGGGTGGTGTGGGGTGGTGTGGGGTGGTGTGGGGTGGTGTGGGGTGGTGTGGGGTGGTGTGGGGTGGTGTGGGGTGGTGTGGGGTGGTGTGGGGTGGTGTGGGGTGGTGTGGGGTGGTGTGTGGTTGTGTGGTTGTGTGGTTGTGTGGTTGTGTGGTTGTGTGGTTGTGTGGTTGTGTGGTTGTGTGGTTGTGTGGTTGTGTGGTTGTGTGGTTGTGTGGTTGTGTGGTTGTGTGGTTGTGTGGTTGTGTGGTTGTGTGGTACGTGCATACCGAAGGATCTCGGTGGTGAGGATGAGGCAGGAGGCCTCGGGCTTGATGGAGACGTCGCCGGTGATGAGACCCACGTCGCCAAAGGTTTCCTTGAAGTCCCGGTACTTTTGGTTGGACAGCGCCTTGATGGGCGACGTGTAGATCGTTCTGTACACACCGCACTGTCAGGCAAGGAACGCGGGTTGTGTGTGTGTGTGTGTGTGTGTTGTCGTGTGTGGTGTGTGTGTCGTGTGTGTGTCGTGTGTGATGGGCGGTAACGAACCGGGTCATGTGCTTGGAGGCGAGGGCGATGGCATACTCGGCCACCACGGTCTTACCGGCGGACGTGTGGGCCGCCACAAACACGCTCTCCCCGTTTTCGAGGTGGCACACCGCCCGCTTCTGGAACACGTCCAAATCGAACGGATACTAGAGAGAGGCAAACAAACCACCACCGACCACACCACACACACACACACACACAAACTTTAGCACATGGTGGGCACGATCGCGGAGGGAGGGAGGATGTGGCGCACCTCGAGCGCCATCTCGGGTACGATCTCTTCGAAGTTGGAGACGTCGCTGTTGTCCATGATGGCCCATTCGTCCTTGCGCTTCCTCGGGGCACCCGTGGGGCGCCGGAGCACCGAAAGCAGGTCCTGGCGTGATTGGACACACAAACAAAAAGAAATAAAATGGTTAGTCGCATGACGTCCCTTGACTTTAGGGGAAAGAGTGTGCGTACGTCTTCGCCCAGCAAATGGTCCACGTCGGCTTCTTCGTCGCCTGCGGCGGCGGCGGCCGGCGCCTTGGCCTTGGCCGCTTCGTCCTTTTTCTCTTTTCCTTTTCCTTCTTTTCCTTGTTCTTCCTCTTCCTCTTCTTCGCCCTCCTCCGATTCTTCCTCCGATTCCTCCTCCTCTCCACCCTACCCACATCGCATGGCACGCATGGCACACACGACACGACACGACACGACACGAGACACGACACATAAAGATCGAGTGAGGTCGTGCGGTACTGAAGCGAGAGAGGAGCGGGAATGGCGGCGCAGGTACGGGAGCTTTGCGGAAGGGATCGATGCCGTCATCGACGAAGATGTCGGCGAACGAGATGAGGCCCTGGCCCGCGGGCGCCTCCTCCACCGGCTCGGACTGCAGGGCGCCCGCCGAGGCCTGCGCGTCGGCCATGATCTTCTCCTCCGCCGCCTCAGCCGCCTTGACGTTGTCTTGAAACACACACGACAACCACACGACACACCACACGACATACATAAACACGTACCACACACGCACGACACACACGACACACAGGGGCATCAAGTTGAGCGCAGGGTAAGAGCTAAGGGGGGGGTAGTAGGGTTACCTTGGAGGATCTTGGAGAACGAAGTGCTCACCGACGAATCGAAGTTGAGCCCGCGATCGAGCCCCGGCGCCACGGTGTACAGGTTGGCTGCAAAAGACAAAGTAAATAAATAAAAAAAAATAGAGAGATAAAAATATACATAAAATGTGGAGGGCGCAGGCCTGTACCGCCGTTGAGGGCGTCGCTGAGGAGCTTGACCACGTCGAGATCGAACGTCGTCTCCGCGGCGGCCTCGCCCTGGTGGTCGGCGGGCCGCGGCACAGGCTCCTCCCTCTCCATACCACCTGAGTCACAACAACCATCAGCTGACCACATCAAAAGGAGTGCGTGTGCGTGTGCGTATGTGTGCGTGTGCGCGTGCGTGTGCGCGTGTGCGGAGGGAAAGAAGAAGACGTACCCGGCATGAAGGGGAAGTTGGAGGAGCTGCCCTTCGTGAAGTCGGAGATGCTGGCCGGAGCGCGCAGGAGCGACGTCGAGTTGGTGGCCTTGGTGTCCGTCTCGAGCACAGGCACCTGCACACAACATGTCAATGTCGTGTGCGTGGCGTGGCGTGTCGTGTGTTGCGTGTGCGTTGGTACCTCCTTCCACATGCGGCCAGCAGAGCCGAGCTTGTCGGTGGCGACCTTGATGGTGGTGTGGGGCCGCGAGGGCTCCAGGTGGAACGGAGCGCGTTCCATCGGGCGCGCCCACATCCGCGCGTACTTCTCCTCCGTCGCCTCGTCGCCCGCCTTCGCACGGCGATCTGCTCTCTCGCCCACCATCAGCGCCTCGTCAACGTGTGCGGCGGGTGTGTGCGTGTGCGATGGCGTGCGTGACGTACCGTAGGTGCGTTCGGTGTCGGAGAGAAACGCGTTGGAGAGGTCGAAGTAGGTGTCGACCACCTGCTGACGCGGGTGCGTCGGTGCGTGACTCTCTTCTTGATCAACCCACCACCACGCACCCTGCCATTCACACATGGAAGCAATGTGATCAAAGATCGCGAGCGATTTAGAGAATGCCATTGAATGGAATGCTGGCGCAGGAGTAGAGAATGAGGGGCACGCACGGAAAGGGGCAAGGGGTGGGTGGCATCGTCTTGCAAGGCGGGGAAGTGAGCCTCGACTTCGCCTACACGGGAGCTGCCCACCGGCAGCAGATCTGCCATAAGGCCAGAAGACGCATCTCCTGCCTTTTTCGTCTTCTTCTCCAGACTCTCCAGGTGCAGCAGCACCTCCTCCATCTGTCGATTTGTTAACAAATTTGGTACAAATCGCAGCGCAAGCGTTTTCTTTCTTTCTATTTCTGTATTTCTTTTTAATATTGCTTCTCGAATCGAAGATGGCGCACCAGCAGCAACACGAGCATCCACAACTGCACTATAAGAAGGGCGAGCACGGCTTGGTGCGGCATTCGCCCTATACCATGTTGCCCGTCCCCGACGTACGCTGCTCCTCCCTCTACACGATTGTATTTTTTTAACAATCGCGTAGAGCCAGCCATGGAGGCTCATCTCACGATGTGGGGTTTCTGGCAGGCGCTGGAGATCGTGCTGCGCGAGGCGGTCGCTGCACGTCGCGAGCCCGAGCGGGTAGAGCTGGCGCGAGCCGCGGGGCTCGTCCTGGCCGGCGATGCCCGTGCCACCATGGCCCTCCCGCCCTTCCCCGCCTCCATCATGGACGGCTACGCTGTCGTCGCCTCCGTACACTCATCTCTCTCTCTCTCTCTTGCCTCCCCTCCTACACGCCTTTGCTCACGTGTCGCATATGTGTGTGTTGCGTGTGTCGTGTCGTGTCGTGTCGTGTTGGGTCATGTGCGTCGTGTGCGTGTGCGGTTGTAGGACATGCCGGGTACGTTCCCGGTGGTGGGCGAGGTGAAGGCGGGTCGGGTGGCCGACTTCGAGGTGAAGCCGGGCACCGTGGCGCGCATCACCACGGGCGCGCCGGTGCCCGCGGGCGCCGATGCGGTGATCAAGGTCGAGGTGACCGAGCTCCTCGCCGAGCGGGACGCCGAGGGACGTCAGCTGGTCAAGTTCAACGTCGGCACGGCCCCGGGCCGCTGCATCCGGCCCGTGGGCTCCGACATTCAGCCCGACCAGACCGTCGTCACGTTCGTGCGCAGCTGCCCCCAGATCTCACACATACCTCGCATTCCTCATCTATTTCCTTCTCTTTTCTTTTCTTCGACACGCAGTGCCAGCACGATGATTGGCGCGGCTGAGAGCGGCTTGTTGGCCACTGTGGGCGTGAAGGAGGTGCTCGTGCACCCTGCTCCGCGCATCGCTGTACTCTCCACCGGCGGTACCACCCCACATTTTCCTCTCGCATATGCTACAATCGCACACGCACACCACTGCACACGCTGCACGACACGCACGGTGCGGGCACGAGATTAACTTGGAGAGGGCGCATCACCAGACGAGTTGGTGGAAGCCGACAAGGAGCCGGGTCCGGGACAGATCCGCGACAGCAACAAGTCGATGCTGATGGCCGCACTCCACCAGTACTCCAGCGGGCGGTGGGAGGCCATCGATGTCGGCATCGCGCACGACGACCCTGCCGACCTGCGAGCCAAGGTCACTCAGGTGTGCCTTTTCCTCAACACACACACACACACACACACACACACACGACACATTAACGCACGTTTTCTCGGGGACGGCGCAGGGCCTGAACGAGGCTGATGTGCTGCTGACCTCGGGTGGAGTGTCGATGGGCGAGCTCGACCTGCTGCAGCCTCTGCTCGAGGAGCTCGGCACTGTCCACTTCGGTCGCGTGCTCATGAAGCCCGGCAAGCCGCTCACGTTTGCCACCGTGCCTGTGCCCACCCCTGGTGCGCTCTCTCCCGACAACACGACACACAACACACGACACTCGAACCACCGCACACACACACGCGCGATGAACTTACTCTTGCTGACGTGTTGCGCGGCAACTCGCAGGTGGAGGCACGAAGACGGTGCTGGTGTTCGCTCTGCCGGGCAACCCGGTGAGCAGCCTGGTCACATTCCAGCTGTTCGCCCTGCCCGCCCTACGGAGCCTCGCCGGCCACCCCCAGCCCAACCTTCGCCACGCCACCGCCAAGGTACTACTTCTCATTCAACCCAACCCTAATTGACATGCAAACAAAACACTTTGACGAAACTTCTTTCGGCTTACTGACGTGTTTGCCCCCAAAAAACAGCTTTCCTTTGACGCGCCACTGGACCCCGAGAGGCCGGAGTACCACCGGGTCAAGCTCGAGTGGAACGATCACGACAACTGCTGGGTGGCCTACTCGACGGGCAACCAGGTCTCCGCTCACTCCTCTCGCCGCACACACCACAACATACACACACCACAACACACGCGCTTGCCATTCTGACAATTGAAATTGACGTCGTTCCGTCCGTACACACAACAGATCAGTTCGCGCCTGCTGAGCATGCAGTCGGCCGACGCGTTGCTGTGTCTCCCGCAGGCCGAGGGAACTCTCGCGGCCGGCACCTTCGTCAAGGCACTCCTCATCGCCCACCTCAACTAAGTGACCTTGACCTTCAATTCATTTACCAATTAACTAATTTATTTGAAAACAATTTAATAATTTATTTTTATAAATAATGTTATTTTGTATATAAATAATCATGACGACAACTCAAGCGAGGGGTGGATGCTGAAGCGCAGGCTCACCCGCCCGCGCTTGAGTTGGCTGCCCGAGTGGTATCGAGGGCCGGAGGGGGTCTCCTCCTCGCGCGACAGCACCAGGCTCACCTCGAGCGAGTCCTGCGCGTAGGCCTTCTGGAGCGCGTGCACCGTGGCCGGCTCGATCCGCACCGCGCCCACAAAGTCCTCCTTGGCCTTGCGAAACACACTCTCCTCTCGCCGTCTGGGCCACGTGCGTGTCGTTGGTCGTGTCGTGTCGTGTTGTGTCGTGTCGTGTCGTGTCGTTGGTCGTGTCAGAGGGTGAGAAAAGAGCGAAAGAGAGAGGCGGTTGGCGTACCGGTTGAGAACAAAGACACGCAGCTCCTGGTAGAGCTGGGCCTCGAAGGTCGCGTACGGCTTGCGTTGGTCGCCGTCGGCGGCAGCACTGAGGTCCCACCGCCCGTTCTTGGCGGCGGACGACCACAGCACGGCCTGGTTCCTGGTCGGCTGCCCGTTCCACGCCCACTGTTGGACCTTGATCGCCACCTCCTTCGCCACCACATCCTCCACCTGACCAACAATAAAATTGTTGATTCGAATTAAATCAATAAAAATATAATTCTTTATTTCTTTATTAGGGTCATAAAAATAAATAGATTAAAAAGAAAAGTACCTTGAGAGACCACAGGCGCACGGTGCATCGGGCCTCGCTCGCGGCGAGGAGCGAGCGCCGGGTGTCCTCCCAGGCGGCGAGGGGCCGCTCCCACAGGCGCTCCTTGTTGAGGTGCGACCCGAACGTGTGGAAGCGGCCCTGGGTCTTGATCAGCCGCTTGTTCCGCATCTGCGCCACCTCCTGCCGCCAGCCCTTGTTGTACAGAATGTCCAACGCCCCGTTCACCTCGTTCCACGTCTGCCCATCGAACGGCTCTGCGACCATCATCCATAGCGTCAATCACCCGCGCATGTCGCGTGCGTGTTGCTTGTGTCGTGTCATGTCGTGTGCGGTGGTGCGTGCGTGCGTACCGTTGGGTCCCCAGGGGGCGTAGTGGTGGTAGGTCTTGCCAAGGGTGCGGATGAGGGGCAGGATGGAGCGGGCCTCGACGTCGGCGAGGGCGCCCTTGGATGAGATGTCGCCCAGGAGCAGGCTCACCAGCTCGCTCCCCTTCCGCTGCAGCAGGGCCACCCGGCGCAGCCGGCGCAGCAGGCCCGTGAGTATGTACATCCCGCCCAACTCGAACACGATCGCTCGTATTCTGCACAACACGCACGCACCGCACGACACGCACAGTGAGCACACAGTGAGTGAAACTATGGTCGGGCGTGCGTGTGCGGTGGTGCATGTACCGCTCCTTGGTCATGCCCGCATGGGTCAGGCTGATGGTGCAGCACAGGTCGTCCATGCACCGCATCGCCTGCTGGACCTCGTCGTCTTCGATCGAAGCCTCTGCGAAGACACCTCCAATCAACACTAACACACGCACACTGACACACACCACACACACACCATACACACACAGTGTGTCGCATACGTTTGAGTACGATGTCGTAGATCTGCTTGAACAGGCTGCGCAGGTCTTGCTGGCTCTTCTCCTGCGTCTGCTCATGATCTGGCCCACCATCCTGCAGCCACGTCTCGAATTCGTGGCTCACCTGCTCTCTGCGCCCACACGTCAACAACACACCGCACACGCATACAGCACACGCACACGCACACGCGACACGCGACACGCGACACGACACGCACTTTTCAAAGAAGGCGGACTGTCGGGGGACTGCGGGCTGCTGGTCCTTCTTCTGCTGCTGCGGGCTGCCGCTGGCGCCGCCCGAATTCTTGAGCATGGCGTGGTCGTGCAGCAGCTGCGCAGCGGCGATGCGCGAGGCCGATGAGGCGCCGAAGCGGAAGAAGGCCAGGTCGCAGTCGATGGGCCGCGGCAGGCGCTTGCACGGACCCACAGGTTTGATGTAGCACTCGCGCTGCAGCTGCGCCAACAGCGCGACCCCGGCCGCACGCGATGGCGCCAGGTCGTGCGACAGCAGCCAGTCCACCGCCTCCTTACCTGAACCAAATTAAAATAGATATTAAAATACTAAAATTCAAATAATGATACACGTTAATTTAAATGGTAATAAAATGCAACGCAATAACAAACGAAAAGCGAAAAGCGAAGAGCGAAGGCCGAGGGAGGTACCGACGAAGCACTCACGGAGGAGACGGGAGCGGTTGGGGAGCTTGCGGTCTTTGATGGCCACCCCAGAGCTGGGCGAACGCAGCTGGTGCACCAGCACGGCTGGGTCGACGTCCACCGCAGGCGCCTCCTTTCCGTCCGACCGTGCCAACATGGCCACGTTTCGTCCGCCCTTTGTGTTGTGTTGTAGTCAAACCACCAGTTCTTACCTTGTTGGCGCAGAACTAATAACTACGATTTTTAAGGTGGCTGAATCGCGTGCTGCCACGTCAGCAAGTACAACCGCCACGTTAAACGAGCGAGTACAACTGCTTCTCGTGTAGACGCTCAGTCCTTGAAGAAGATGCGGGAGCTGTCGAAGGAGAAGCGGAGGAGCTGGAGCTCGTTGCGGTAGGAGATGAGCTTGCGGAGGGTGAGATTGAGGGTCTGCTGCTCCTCCTTGTCCTTGACCTTGGCCTTGGCCAGCGCCTGCAGCTTGGCCTCCTCGTCGCGGTGGCGCTCCTCCACGGCCTCCCACCAGTGGAGCGAGTCGAAGGCGTCGTGCTGGCCGAGCAGCTTGAGGATGTAGACGAGGCCGATCGCGAAGCCGTCGTCGCTGAAGGCCGGGTCGAGCGCGCCCTTCTTGGTGAGCTTGTCCTTGGTCTTGAGTATGTGCTGGACAAAGTTGAGCGTGAGCGGCGGGATGATGATGTGGAAGTTCTTGAGGTGCACGTTGCGCGCGTCCCGGAACTCGGGCGCGAACACGTTGACCAGCATCTTGAAGTACTCGGTGCCCTCGGCAAAGTTGCGCGCCAGATAGTTGATCGTCGCGTCGAGGTTCTTGGCCGCATCGACCGTGTGCTCCGGCAGCTGGTCGCTCGTCGCCAGCGTTCTGCACGTGTCGTGTCGTGTCGTTTCGCGTCGCGTATGTTGATTGTCGTGTGCCACAGTCAGTTTAAGGGGCTCAGGTGCCACACACACACACGACACACAACACGACACGACATGCACGGCACACGAACCCGAAGGAGGGGATGGAGGCCAGGTCGGGCACGAATTTGATGGCGTTGGAGGTGTGGTAGAGGCCGCCCGACCGGATCATTCGGATGTAGCCCATCGCATTGCCGATCTCCGTGATCAGGATCCTGTTGGTGTTTGATTGATTATTGGTTGCCAATGTCAGTCGACGCGCCCGCGCGGCATGTCAGCGACTGCGCGAAGCGCCTAGGGCTTGAGCGTTGATTGATTGGTGAATGCGCGCGTTATGTATTACCTGAACTGGTCGAGGTAGCTGAGGCCCTGCTCGGTGATGCCCAGCTTGCGGATCTCCTTGTTGAAGGCCTCGGCCCGGGCGTAGGGGTACCTCGGGTCCTTGCTCTTGTCTGTCTTGCTCTCCTAATCACCAAACATTATTAATAAAAATAATAGCGAATAATAATAATAAATAGAAGAAATAGAAGAAAGAACAAAACTACAAATAAAAGGATAAAAAAATACAATAAAATAAAATAGTATTATTTACCTTGAAGAAGCGGATGTCCTTGAAGAGGCGGGCCTTGATGTGTTCGTCGTAGAGGAACTGGGAGAAGATGACGAACTTCTGTCGCAGGAACTGGTAGGTGAAGTTGACGGTGGTGTTCATGATGCCCGTGCCGTGCGTTCGGATCGAGTTGGCGATGTGCGCGATGTTGATGGTGTTGATCGTCTTGTTGGGTCCGCCCGCCTCGACGAAGATCTGGTTGTTGAGGTTGTAGTTGTACTTGGACACGAAGATGTGGATGTTGCGCATGATCTCCAGCACGTCGAGGCCCTGGTCCAGCGTCTGCTCCCCCCCCAGCAACACATTCACGCCCGCCTGTGTGAGTCCACACACCGCACACACCGCACGACACGCGAAGGAAGGGGGCAGGGTGGCACACGGACCTGGCCGGGGAGATGGACTTCGGTGAGGTGGAGACCGTACTTCTCGGCGGCGAGGTTGCGCATCTCGCCGTAGGTCTGCCAATCGTAGAGGGCCACCGTCGTGAGGTTGTAGAACGTCGTGTCTAGGTAGTGCCCCACGTAGCCGGCCACGTCCACCACCTGCCCATCACCACCAGCGTCAGCACTCGGCCCCACTTGGACACGACACGACACACGGGGGGAGGGGGGTGAACGTACCTTGTCGAACACTCGGAGGGGCCGTAGCCGCACGAGGGAGGCGAGGTCCTGGAGGCCGTTCTTCCACGGGTCGCGCTCAGACACGGCGAGGTGCGAGTGGATGTGCAGACGCAGATCGGTTTCGATGTCCCGACACAGCCGATCGAGCAGGTGCTGCACAAACACACGCATGTGAGCCTAGCTCTATGGCACACGACACACAAACGACACACACGACGCGCACGACACACACACAACACAAACGACACACGCTTTCTGGTTCGCAAGAACTGAGAGACAGATAAATAACATCTGGTGCGCGTACGCTCTTGATGATTTCATCGATGTGATTCTTGAAGGCGGTGAGCATGTCCTCTCCGGGCTTGTGAACCGCTGCTCGGAGGAGCGGCACCACATCCTGCAGAGCCGCACACAAATACTGCACAAAGTATTGTGTGTGTGTGTGTGTTCGTTACGTCAGGAAACGTGGAGCGAACAGCAAGGAAAGGGAGTGGGCCGCGTACGTGGAGCTTGTGTGCGGTCTCGGGGTTGGCGTAGATGTCGTCCAGGTGCGGGGGCAGCATGTTCTTGGACCAGAAGAGGAACTCGCACTTGGTCGAGTCTCGGATGCGCTCGCCGAGTCCGCTCAGCAGCTCGAGCTTCTTGACGCCGGCCTTGAGCTCCTCCATCTCCTGCTCCTTCACAAAGTCCTGCTCTTCATCACCGCACACGGTGAGCACACCGCGCGCAACACGCAACACGCATGACTTCGTTGATGCGTTTGGAGGGCGCGTACGGGCTGGAAGAGGACGTGGAGGCACAGGCGGAGAAGGAGTAGGCGATTGTAGGTGGGAGCGCCCTGCAGGATGTTCAGGCTCAGCGTGGCCGCCGCCAGCACATCGAGCTTCGCGTCCGAGTACTTGTGTGCCGCCTGTTGTAGCAAAACGACACACACGACACGGCACACGACACACACACGACACACGACACGACACACGACACACACACACGTTCGATTAAATGAGAGTTGTGACAACGAATCGCCAGGCTTGAGGTGGTGTCGCGGCGTACCTCGAGGCGGGCCTTGATGGGCATGAGGGCGGACTGGAGGCGGTGGCACACGACGCGGGCCATGAGCGGGAGCGACTGGCCGATCATGCCCGAGCGGCGGTGGAAGGTGGCCTCGATGGCCTTGACCAGCTCCACGGCCTGGAACAGCGCGCGCACCTGGCTCCGCTTGATGGGCGCGCCCAGGGCGACGTGGAAGTGCACCGTCTCGCGGAAGATGCCGACCAGGCGCTCGGCCAGGGCCGGCCCCTGGGCCAGGAGCGCCATGCGCGTGTTGAGGATGTCGCGCAGCTCGGCCCGGTTGGCCAGGTTGGACTCCATGCGCACCATCCAGACCGACACCTTAAGGTACATCTGCTGGATCTCGATCGGCAGGCTCTTGTCGAGCAGGGCCAGGTGCTCGGCGCGCTGCTTGGAGATGGCGATCTTGCCCAGCGTTTTGACCAGCGGCGCGGCGTGCTTGATGAAGAACTCGGGCGCCTGCCACGACGCGTTGGCCGCCAGGTGCACCACCTGCAGCCGCTTCTGCAGCTCCCAGATCTTCTTGAACACGTCCTTCGTGGCCGCCACGTCGCGGTACACCAGGTAGTACAGCGCCACCAGCGCGCACGCCCCCGCGTACTTCATGCCCAGCTCGTCCCTACGTAGCACGACACGACACGACACGGCGATGAGCGAAAAAAACGAAAGAGAAGAGAAGGAAAAGAAGAGGAGATGATGATGACGACGACGACGATGATGACGATGAAGGGAGAGGGTACCCGGTCATGGGGTTGGCGAGGCGGGAGGCGAGGCTGGCGTGGATGGTCTGGAGGTTGAGGAGGAACTCGGTCTTGAACACGCGGTTGTTGCGCACCTCGACGAGGCCCGGGAAATCAAACTCCTGCTCGATGCAGCCCTGTAGAGTGCGACCATCGACGAGACAGAGATGTGTGAGAGAACCGCCGTAGGACAAAGAGCGCGTTGGTTCGATATTTGATGTTCGGTGCGCATTCCGCTTCCTGCGTACCTGGAAGATGAGGCCGTCGAAGAGTTGGCCCTCGAGACTGAGGAGCAGCTTTTCGAACTGCACCAGCTGCTCCTCGTCTGTGTTGAAGCGCGAAGGCGCCGCTCGCATGGACTTGGTCATTCTGACCGTAGACGAGACGAGACCAATGAACACAGCACCGCGTGACAGAAAAAGAGAAAGAACATTCGTCAGCTTCGTTCGATCCCCTCTCTTCAAGAGGCCTGCGGGTTGTTGGTGATGATCGGTTGTTGGCGTACCGCTTGTACATGGCCCAGGCCTGCTTGAAGGACTCGTTGGAGGTGATGATGGTATCGAGGCTGATCAGGGCCACCAGAAGCTCGCCCAGCTGCTGGTAGACGGTCTGGAGGTGGATGGCCTTGAAGCTGGTGATGTAGAGCTTCTGGGCCGGGTGGTAGAGCGAGGCCAGCTGCCGCACGACGTTCTGCACCACGAGGTAGACCCGATTGACGAACGTGGAGAAGTCCATGAGGAACGGGTTCAGCATGCGGCCCACTTGGGTCTGCGCCTCGCCCTCGCCCAGGTCGCCGTCCTCCCCGAACGCCATGAACGGCGGCGCGAAGCGAGTGTTGGCCTGCAGCGCACACGACACACGACACGACACGACACGCAGCACGCCGACGATGCCAGAAGAGCCGAACAAGTGAAGAGGAGCGAGGGTTTGTGAGCAATAGGGAAGACTTGTAGAGCACGCTACTTGAAAGATGGCGTACTTCGTCAGTGAGGCGCTTCATTTCAGAGCTGAGCGAGGCGAAGACAAGTAGGATCTTGTTGAAGAGCTTGTTGTCGCTCTTGGTGAGTTCAACGATCTTGGTCTGCTCATAGGGTTCGAAATTGAGGCCGATCGGATCGACGGTCGAATCCCACACATCGCTCAACGATTCGTCCAGCGTTTCCTCAATCACACGCAATTGGGAGGCAAAATCCTGGACGAAGCTCTCCATGTTGGCCACCAACTTCTCGCCCACCATCTCTGTTCAGAGCATTCATATTCCATTAGCGCCGGCTCATCTCGGGAATGGCGATATAATAAGTTTTTAAAAAATGCAAAATTAGTGTGACACTACGCGAGCAGAGCGAGCGTACTTGACGACCCATCGTCGAAGGGGTCGAACTTGTAGTCTTCTTCAGCATCAGCCATTGTTGTCTCCACAAGCGCGATGTGCAGCTCGGCTTTCTCCTTTGCCTTTTGCGCATCTTCGGTCATCCGCCTCTTAACCCATCCAAAAAGAAAATCAAAAATTAACGCAAAAACACAAACAATTGGATTGGAAAGATGAACAAGGGCGGATTGTCGTCTGTGGCTAATGCGGCGGTGGGAGAAGCCCACCGCAGGCACGTTTGCCACTTGTACAAGCGAGCGCTTAAGCTTCAGCTCGATTGGTTGGTGAAGCGCGAGACGTGGTACCCCGAGGCCAACAAGACCCGCGCCCTCTTCCGCCAGCACATGAATGAAACCGACCCGCGCACCATTTCGCGCCTCGTCAAGGATACTGAGAATCTTCTTTATACCTACCGCCATCCCGACCCCTACGTTTGTACGTGTTCCCTCCTGTATACATTGGGGGGGGGCATTTCTTTTATTTTAATTTTGCGACATCCTCAATCTAAATCCATTTTTTTCTCTTTGCATTCAGCTCCAATGTCCGAGGGAGGCACCAAGTGGCAGCGAAACGTGCCCGTTCCCCCGGAGGTTCGTACCTTGGCTCCCGAGGCGCTAGTCCCCTGGTGCGTGCAGACGTCTGACTGTGCGGTGTACGTGGGTGCAGGTTGCGGAGAACGGCTGGGCCGAGTTCGACTACGAAGAGTTTGAGCAGCCTCCGCCCAAGGCCGACTTCTGAGCGCGGCTGCTGAGGAGGACGCAACAATAAACCATCATAACCCACAACAACCATCAGGGCGTGCACAACGTTGAAGGCGCTGCCCTGATGCCCAACATTCGCAGACCGCCGTGGTTAGGGTTGCATCGCTACCAACTGGCCAGTCTCGTCACCTCACGAGGAGACAGTGATCCTGCGACCACGACAGGTGAGCCACTCTTGAGCCAAACGAGCGGCATTCCCAGGGAAGCGGTGGCCCACGACCACGCCAAAATGGTGTGCTGGTGATTTCCTTCGGGTTTTTTGGACATTTTAAAAATCTTTCGTGCGCAGGCAACACGACAAGGTTCACCCATTCGCATTTCTTTCGAAAGAAATCTAGATCAACGTCAGCCTTCCACCTTCCTCTACTCGCCCATCTCTCATTCCTCAACGACAAAAGCAAACATGGAGAAATACGTGAAGATCGACAAGCTGGGAGAGGGCACCTACGGTATCGTGTACAAGGCGAAGAACAGAGAAACAGGCCAAATCGTGGCCCTCAAGAGGATTCGGCTCGATTCCGAAGATGAGGGTGTGCCTTGCACCGCCATCAGAGAGATCAGTCTTCTGAAAGAGCTCAAGCACCCGAACATCGTGAGGTAAAGTGGCGCGATCATTCTCATTCGTGATCTCTCATCTTGCTCACCCGCTTTGCCACATGCAGCCTCTTTGATGTTATCCACACGGAGAAGAAGCTTACGCTCGTGTTCGAGTTTTGCGATCTCGATCTCAAGAAGTACATGGATCAGCACAACGGCATCATCTCGAAGAACACCATGAAGGTGCGCGCGATGCTCAACCAGTGCCATTTCACCTCTCTAACCCGTAGATTTGCAGTCGTTCTTGTACCAGCTGCTGCGTGGCGTGGCCTTCTGCCACGAGAAGCGCGTCCTTCACAGAGATCTCAAGCCTCAGAATCTGCTCATCAACAAGGCACGTAGCCTCTTTGTCGACGACTGCCGCGTAGAACATCGCTTCAAGAAATCTCATCGTCAATTCGCCCACAATCGTGCAGAAGGGGGAGCTCAAGCTGGCCGATTTTGGCCTTGCGCGGTCCTCAGGAATCCCTGTGCGCAGCTACTCGCACGAAGTTGTCACGCTGTGGTACAGACCGCCTGATGTGCTTATGGGATCGCGAAACTACTCGACTTCGATCGACATCTGGTCCGCCGGCTGCATTTTTGCTGGTACGCGCTCTCACCACTACGTACTCAATGAACGCAGGCTCCTCACAACGTGCATGCAGAGATGGTGACCGGACGGCCTCTCTTCCCTGGCAGCAACGCCAACGACCAGCTGCTGCGGATCTTCAAATATCCTCTTAGCCCTTCTTCCCTTCCCTTCCCCTCCCTTCTGCTTCTTTGCTCCGTCCTTGTTCTCTCTTGTTCTCTCTTGTTCTCGCTTCGCTTCGCTTTCTGCTAGTGTTGTGTTTGCCTTAATTCCATTGTACGAAGCTTGGCACACCGACTGAGGAGTCTTGGCCAGAAGTCAAGCAGCTTCCGGACTACAAGGTGCTCCCTCCCTTCCAGCTGCGCCTCGTGGCCACTGCGAGAAGACCGAACAAATCGTTGCTGTGACACCTTAGCGCCTTGTCGCACAGTCTGACACCCGAATGCTCTCTCGGCCACACTAGGAGGATTTCTCGCGATACCCCACCATCTCTCTGAAGACGCTGGTGCCAGGGCTTGACGAAGACGGCTACAACCTGATCGAGGTTCGTTTGCGTTCCTCTCCAGTCCTGCGTGCGACGCGGACGGCGGACTTAGTGAGTAACCTTTCCACTTCTCACACGACTCTGGTGTGCGTGGTGTGTGTGTGTGTGTGTGTGTGTAGCAAATGCTGCGGTACAACCCCAACGAGCGAGTCTCGGCAGAGAAGGCCATGAGACATCCGTACTTCTCCGACGTGATTCTCCCCAACTAGAGCCTTCAAACGACGAGCTTGCTTGCTTCTGTCCTCTCTCCTCCTCTACGTACGGCCAAGACTACATGAGCCTTGACCGCACCGCCCTAACGGTACCACCTTCCGGCAGAGGAGTGGAGCAAGACAGGAACAAGACCCCCGTCTGTAGAGCAATCTCTCTTCTTCTCTTTTCCATTCCTCGTTGTTCTCTATTTTGTTTTTGGTGTAGAGGCCACCCAGTTACAAATTACACGCGTGTACCATCCGCTCCCCGATTCTTGGGGGGGGGGAAGAACGAAAGTGATGAAGGTGCGGAGCAGAGCGAACAGCCAACGTGCTCAGCCCTTTGTTCGCTTTTTCAGATGGCTACATTAAAAAAGCACACAGCCCCCGCCCTTAGTAATCAGCTGCTGCGGCGTAGGGGCGTTGCGGAGCCTCTCCTCGGCTTCGCCACGCAGTTTGGCCTCGAGTTCGGCGCGTGCTGTCACCAACTTGAGCTCGGCCTGCAGCTCGGCCTGCAGCTCGGCCTCCTGGATGGCCAACCTGGCCTTCTCCTTCTCAAGGGCCATCACGGCATCAATCTCGACCTGCCTCAGCCGCGCCACCTCGGCTGCGCGTTCACCCTCAGCCGCGGCCTTCATGTCATCATACTCCTTCTGGGCAGCCTCAAGGCTCTCAATGGTGAACTGCACCAGCTTGTTGCTCTGCATCACCTGAAGGAGCAGGTCCTTGGCCAACTCATGGCCCTTGGTGTACATCTTGTCCATCTGCTTGTTCTTCAATGATCTGTTGTTGATGAAGAGCACCTTCTGTGCACCCACCATTCTAAGCACATGGTCAAACATCTTGTTATTGCACACATCATGGAGCCACTGGGCCTGCGCCTGGGTGTTGTTGGCCAGGTCCTCAGTGTGGGTGACCACCAGCCACAGGTTGCCCAGCAACTGATCCCTGAGAATGGCCCTGAACAGGTACCTGTGCTCACCCAACAGATAACATGTTTATATTAACAAATGTTAATAAACCATGCTCTTATACACATCATGCCACATAAAAACAAAATCAATACATGAAGAAGGTGTGTGTACATGACAATGAGGTAGTTCTCCTCAGTGAAGTGCTCCTTCTTGATGCAGAGGAAGAAGAAGTCAATGCCACCCACCAGTGATATGATGCCTTCAGTGATCTTCGGCTGCACCAGCTCAGGTTGGTGGGCCATGTCACCCAGGCCCATCATGTTGAGCAGCACAAGCAAGATGCTGTGCACCAAGTATTCAATGTGGGCCTGCTCAGCCATTGACATAACACTGGCCACACCAGCTGAGGTCTTGAAGTTGGCGCCCAGGCACAGGAGGTTGCCCAGGGTGGACTTGCCTGTGCTGGTCTTCCCCACCAGGCACAGCTGCACTTCATGAAGTGGCAATTGTTGTTTGTCTTGTTGCATGATGCACTCCATGAGGAAGCTGGGTGATGTTGGCTGTTGGCTGTTTGTTGAGTGTAAGTTGAGGATTTGCCAACCTTGCCTACTGTTATACTTTTTCCGCTGAAGTTTGAGATGTTTAATTTTGGTGCAAAGCAATCCCCAATCATAAAACCTCCGTTTCGACCGAATCGGAGAATAAAGTTCTTCCAGATCTTCGGCCGAACCGAGAATAAAATTGAACTGCAAGCGCGTCGACTTCACAACACAACCCAAGTCTCAACAACAAGCCTACCATGTCGACCACCACACGGAGGGCTGTGTCATTCCAGACCCGACCTGTTCACCCGGCCTCCAGCCAAACGCCCGGGCAAGTGGGCCAACAGGCCTACCCCGAGCTGCACCTCCTTCTGCGCGTCTTGGACGCAATGGGGCTCGACGACACCCAGCGCCCGCCTGAAGTGGTGCGGCAACAGATCCAACCTACGTTGCCTACAAGTACGAACACGACGCACGACACGACACGACCCCGCACCCACACTAATATCTTTATATTGGCAAAAGGTACCTGAGTGCTGGGCGAAGGGTGCCTGGGCAACGTGTGGCTGGTGGTGGCGGCCTCGGGCGCCGATCTGAGCCGCGATAGCGGCGCCCAGCAGGCGTGGGTGCGTCAATCGCGCAGCAATCGCCACTTTGAGGAGATGGTGGGCCGGCTGGGAGCCGATCGCATCGTGTTCGTCGAGAACCCGCCCGAGCCTGCCGCCGCCGCCGCGGGATCGGGGCGCGAGGAGGAGTTCAACGCGCAGCGCCGGGACGAGGCTCGGGCCGCGCTGCTGCGGGTCATCACCGCCAACGCGCCGACGCGCTACACGATCGCCGAGCTCGAACAGGCCCAGGAGGCCTACGATCGCCAGTGCCGCAAGCTCGAGGCGAGGGCTGCCGACGAGGCGCGTCAAGTGAGGGAGGAGCAGGTGCGCGGCGACAGAACAGGAGAGGGCGCAGCTCGAGCAGAGGCTGCGGGAGATCGAGGAGCGGCTGCAGCGGCAGCTGGGGGAGCTGCGGGCGAGTCAGCAGCGGGCCGTGGAGCAGGCGGCCGTTACCTACGTCCAGCACAAGACGAGGGCGCTCGACGTGGTCATGGAGGGCTTGCAGGTGGTCGGAATGGTTGTCAGTGCCGGCAAGTGTTGCAATAAACGAATGACTTAGCAATTACACTCAGAGGGCGTCCAGGAACTTTTGATAGACGCGGGCGCAGATCTCGGCGTCAACCAAAGCCCCATGTGTACGCCTGGACCGCCACGCAAATAAAGAAAAAAAGAAAAGAAAAAGAAAAGGAGGCGGGTAAGGCAAATAATCGCACGCCGCTACACCACAAGGGGCGCACGTACCGTTCAATGATCTGGTCAATGCGGAAGTGGCTGGCCAGGTCGTCGAGCGAGTACGCCATGCCCGGGTACTTGGCACGGTAGTAGCGCAGCGTGCAGAACACCTTTCGGTCGCGCACACACCGCACACACCGCACACACCGCACACACCGCACACACCGCACACACCGCACACACCGCACACACCGCACACACCGCACACACCACGCACACGGCAAATAAATACAATGGAATGGTGGTTTGGGGTGAAGAAGAGAGTGAGGAGCGCACCTTGTTGCCGTGCATCGGGATGTCCCACCGACGCAACTCCTGGCAGAGCATGCGCATATCGAACCTTGAAGGCCAAGTGGAGCGGAGGTGTGAGAAAGTGTTGGCCTTCACTTCGCAACGAAACTCGCACGACGGATATGGGAAACCTTACCGGCTGTTGTGCGCGACGAGCGGCGAGTGGCCAACCCATCGCATGAAGTTGGTGAGCACGATCTCGATGGACTGATGGTACGACAGGACTTCTGCACCGGTGAAGAATTGTTAGTGTCGTGTGTGTCGTGTGTGTGTGTGTCGTGTGTGTGTGTCGTGTGTGTGTGTGTCGTGTGTGTGTGTGTCGTGTGTGTCGTGTGTGTCGTATGTGACCTTCGGAGAGACCGTGGGCCTTGAAAGCATACGGGTTGATCGAGCCCATGGCCTTGGCGTAGCTGCGAATAGAATAGTAGTTCTTTCAGTCCACGTGCACAAGCCTCCACACCACTTTCTCTCCCGACCCACCTCTGAAACACGATGCCCGTCCGCTGCCCGTCTATCAGCTCCACGGCCCCGATCTCAATGATGCTAATGGTCACCAGGGGTCAGTGCAGCGTTATTAATTATCGTTCACGCACCGCCGCACACGGACGATCATATATCACGCACGTGCACAGCGCCGTGAACTTACCTGTCATCAGCGCCAAAGCCCGATGTCTCCAGGTCGAAGATGACGACCCGGCCCTCCTCGATGGGTAGGAGCACGTCGGTGTAGCGCACGGTGTCACTCACCAACACCTTCGTCTCGAGCGTCACCGGCGCTACTGCGATCAGTGGCTTGGCGTCAAGTGCTGTGTGTGTGTTGTGTTGTGTTGTGTTGTGTTGTGTGTGTGTGTGTGTGGTGAGCGCTAGTCCATGTCGCCAACTCTTATCATCAGGGCATACGCGAGGCGACTGGCAAGCCCTGTGCCGCACCGGCCGCCAGCT